TAATTGGTGGAGAGGGAGCTCGGCGTTTAAAAGTTTTTGAAAGTTTTGTAGATGAAGGTTGAAGTGCATAGCCAGCAGAAAGTCTACCTAAATTTCTTTTTTGAGAACCTGATGTATTTTTAGTATTTTCGGTATTATCAGTATCACCACACATTTTGTACTTGGTTATACTTCTTTTCCTTTGATCAACTTTTGGTACAGGGCCAATTTTAACATGAGAAATTAAAGATAAACCAGAACACTTAGCTGGCGTGGAGACTCGTGATGATTCTTCCTTAACTTTGGTAGATTCAGATGAATCAACTTCCCTCTGATCACAATTAATCCCAGTTTCAATACAATTATTAGGGCCGGAATTCTCAGTTTGTTTAGAAACCGAATGATTGTTTGCAGGAAAATTAAATGGTTGTTTATATAGCATAAAATTACAAGGTTGTTGTAAATTAATGTCAGAAGATGACGGTGGCTTTAAAGAAGAAGGAGTTCCAAGTCTCAAATTTGACCCAGAAATCCCTCCAGAACAAGCTGAGGTTTTAACCCGATTAAGACGAGAATTTTCAATTTTTTCCAGGTTAGCTCGTAAAGCTCTAAGCCTGCTTTCAAATGTTGCCATGCTACTAGAAAACGCGAGTTTGTGTGATTTAAGAGTACTTTTCCGAGAGAATGAATCAGAATCAGAACTGGACTCGGTATAAACTGTGTCATATTCGTGTTCTGGAGAACAATTTCTATTTTCATCAGAAGAAACAGAATCAAATGAATCGGAATCAGAATCAGAATCAAATGAATCAAAATCAGAACTAGACTCAGTATAAACTGTGTCATATTCGTGTTCTGGAGAACAATTTCTATTGTCATCAGAAGAAATAGAATCAAATGAATCAGAATCAGAATCAGAATCAAATGAATCAAAATCAGAACTAGACTCAGTATAAACTGTGTCATATTCGTGTTCTGGAGAACAATTTCTATTTTCATCAGAAGAAACAGAATCAAATGAATCGGAATCAGAATCAAATGAATCAGAATAATCTGATAAGTCAGCTGGATTTTCATGGCTTGGTCGAGTATTCTTTTCCTGATTAGCTTGTTGATTCATGTTTCTTTCACAACTTTCTTGATTATTGCTCTTTCCACCACGTTCAGGTGAACTATTTCCAAGATAATTTAAGTAAGATTGAGATAATTTAGAAAGAACAGCCTTACGTAAAGCACCCATATTTGGTCTCTCACTTTCAGATTCTGAATCACCAGATGAATCAGACCCAGTTGTATCAATTGAACTTACTGGAGAGATACAACATCTCCTATTTGGTCGTTCATCATCCGATCCATCATTACCTCTTTCTCTGTAGACTGCCTTGGTAAATAACAAAGAAGGTCTAATTTGACTGGGAAAGATATAATATCCATTAGATGGCAAATCGTTAGAAAAGTTACTTAAATATCCATTCCAAGTTTGAAATAAAATAGCTATTTCAAAGATACATGTTACCAAATTTAAAAACACTTTCATATGTTTCAAATATGATTTTTGTTTTCGTAAAATAGATAATAAATTAATAATCTTGCGCGCCAAATATCGTTCATAATAAAGATTTTATAAATTTTTATATTTTTGTAAATATTGTATTTTATCTATTTTTATTTTTATATTTATATCTTGTATAAAATTAATTATTAAATAATATAGGTTTTTTTTGTAAGATCATTTAGCAGAATTTATATTACTAATACGAGTATTATACTTAGTTATCAAAGATGTTGAATCTTTAATTTTGTAAATGGCGGAAATAAAATATATTCAATCAATCCCAATATTTAGCTTAAATACCATATAAAATTAGTGTTTATTTTTTTAAGAAATCCTTTGTATTAATATTTTCTTACAAAGTTTAGGTTTAGTTAAAATTGAATTGAGCCCTTAGATAATGTGAACTTTTGATCCCAATTTTTTAATGTGAAATATCTAGTGACTATAGACGTAGCTAAAGGTTTTTTATACTCAAATGTAAATTATTTAACATTACTTAAAAAGAATATTATTATGTTATTGCTAAATATCCTTGTTGTCTATTATATTCATGTGGTAACTTAAGTGTATTATCTTTAATGTTGTTTAGTATATATTATTACTAATTAGTAAATTTTATAAAAATTAAAAAACGCTATGTTTCATAAATCTTGAAAATGATTGCTTAACTACTAAGAAATACTTTTATATGCCATTATTTAAAATATTTCTACATTAAGAAAATTATATTCATTTGATTTTGTTTATTACATTTTTCTTCTAAGACTTTTTTAACAGAAATTTAGAGGGGTTTTGGGTAATTAAATACAAAAATTAACTTTTTAGTACAAAACTAACGAAACTAAATTAATTTGAATCAAAATAATATTTCGGTAACAAACAAATTTGAAAATGTTCTTGATTTTTTTTCAATAATTACAATCTATTCAAAAAAAAGAAACGGTCAATAGGGTCAAAATTACCAGTAATCTTTTTCAATTAAATTACTTTAGAATTCTTAATGTATTAATATCTCCATTTATAATTAAATCGATCTGAGTTCGAATCAACGCGTAATTAGTTTAAAAATTATTCATTTAATTGATTTTTGGAAAAATGATGAACTTATATTTCAAATATTTCCTTAAATAAAGATTGATTAATGTAACTGTTAATAAAAAAATTCGGATTTTAAAAATGAATTTGATTCAACTTTAATAGTATATTCCATATTAAAATAATATTCTTAATAAATTAATTATGGGCATCATGGTAAAATTATTTATATGAATAAAGTTTCATAAAAGCTTATTAATTTTTTATCAATCACTCTAAAAATCAAATACGTTTGATCAGAGATTTACATTAATAAAACCACTAATATTTATCTTGAAAATTCCTACGAGTAAAAATATTGTTTAAAAAATTGATCTGAAACCCTATAAATTTACTTAAACTAAAGAAATGAGTACTTTGATCTTAAAGAAATCTTCGTTTCTCTGGATCTGCTCTTTGACCTTGTCTTCGCTTTCCTTTGGTAATCTGTATAATTAACAATTCCATTTAAAACAGTATATTTGTCTTTCAAAAGAACACAATCATTGAATTTTGACTTAAAATTACTGATATCTAATCCATATAAGGTCATTATTTTACTTTTTACACTATAAAATACATTAGGATCATTAATTAATAATGATATACATTCTGTAATAGAAGACCCAAATCTACCAGCTACCTTTAAAATATCTATTGAGAGTAATACCTCTGCTGCCGTGTCCATTCTTGACCCAAAAAACAACGTCAATAATTTATAATCACTTATTCCTGCCCCATTAGCAGCAAGTTCCAGAATTGACAAGCAAAACTTAAAACCTAACTCTTCGACTGAAATCATTTCAGTGTATATAGGGTTTTTAATATTTTGGGTTTCAGGGGAAACAGGATATTTTACATTAGAGTATTGATAGCTAACTGCTTTAATCTTGTTTAATAATTCTGAAATGTCATTCCCACCTAAATAAATTAATATTGAACCCAAATTATGTTCATTTTTCATAACTTTTATGAAACTCAAAGAAAATGAACTAAATACCAGTTCCTTGTAAGAACATATTAATAAAAAAAGAAGAAATCCGGAAATCGTATGTTTGTAATCACCATTAAAAATCAAATAAATCATTGCTAATACAGTTTTCATTCTGTAGCAATTAAATTTACTTGTATTTCTCACAAATTTTGTGACCATAGCTTCTAAAAGCTCACGATAGCCATTGTAATCACTAAGAACTTCTCTTTTGATGCTCACTTGGTTATTAATATAGTGTCGAACTATCCTGTTTTTGTGTATCATGTGGTTTGGGTTGTGTATACAATTTAAATATGTTATTATAGCTAAAACTATTTGTTCGTGTGAATTCATTTCATGCAAATCAAACCAAAATCTAGTACCTATTAGATTATTTAGTCCAACCAAAAAGAAATCTATTTCAATAATAACTAATTCTTCCGATAATAATTTAATGCTAGCTTCTTCCTGAATACTAATTTCTTCATTGTTATAGTTTGGTTTTCCATAAAACTCTAGGAATTCTTTTTGTTCTTCAGATTTAATCAATTCAAAAAAAAATAGTAAAAAAGTTGTCAAAAAAACAACGAAATGAAGTTTTTTAGTTTTCATTCCATATATTTATTCAAAATATTGTCTTCTTTTAATTGTATCTAACAAACAAAATTCTATTTTATTTTACTTTAGCTCAAATGAATGAAAGTATTTGTAACTTAATTTTAAATTGATTAATAATTATATAATAAAAATAAAATTACTTTCTTTGTTTGATTTGTTATCATAAAATGACTTTTTAATGATTGAAATTTATTTGTGTGCAACGACAGTGATGGCAAACTCATTTTTGAGATTTTACCACAAAGAAATTCCTATTTTTGTTTATATTGGATTAATAAAAAACTATAAAATAATAACTATTTATTATGATTTTGTATAAAAACTATTTTAATTATTTAAATTATTATATTTATATATAAATCAATTCAATAGTTTAACATATTAAATCACTGTTGTTATACTTTTTGGTTGGTAATAGGTTGAATAAACTTTAAAAAAACGATTAATGTTAAATTACGAAAGAAATGTTGATAACAAAAATTTTGAAAAAGACATTATTTCTGAAATACATGAATAAGACACAAAAAAAAAAGAAAATAACTTAATTATGTGAATAATCTAATAAGAAAATATATTGAGGATGTAAATGTTTAAATTAGGTTCGAATTCCAATATTAATTCTATACCTACTAAATTTTAATAAAATACTATAAAATTAAAATTAATTATTGATAATTATCATTTTATAATTTTTTATATAACAAAAAACTTTACATGCCAATAAAAGATATTCTTATTTAAGCAAAAATGTTGAATTGATTTCTTAAAAAAACTTGAAAATAATTCATTCTCATTTAAATATTTGACTTGAAATAAATACATTTTAATTTAAAAATGGATATTTTAAGTTTAATTTAACTTTATGACGATTAATTGTTTTTATAATACTCTTTTCTTGAATATCAGTATTTCTGCGAATTCCAAGAAGTTCATTAAAACCTTCTTTAATTTCAAAACAATAATTGAACTGATTTTTCAAATTTTTAAGATCTAGGTTATGTAATTCTAAAATCCTTTTTTGTATTCTAATGAATGTATTATTATCAAACAGAATGGAAGCTACAACATCCGTAGTAATATAGGTATTTTGTTTTGCAAGCTTGTAAATATCATTTGCTAATAAAACCAAAGGAGATGATTTGAATCTCGAACCAAAGAAAAGAAAAACTTGTCTATCACTAAGTTCGTTTTTACTTAAAATATGTAACTCTAATAATACAAGACAAAGATTTAATCCAAACTCTTCAACATTAATCAATTTAAAATTTAAAGGGAATCTTAGTTGTTGATATTTTTCCATTCCTTGAATTTTAAAATTTGAATATTCATCAAAAAAATTTTTTGTGTAATTAAGAAATTCGGAAAAACTTTCTCCTCCAATAACTGAAATTTTAGCTCCCAAATAATGCTGGTTTTTTAATACCATAATTAAAGATTCATGAAATTCCATATCCTCTAGCTCAGTATACGAGCAAAGCAGTAAATATAGTAAAAACATATTATAATTAAAGAATAGGTTGTGCTTAAATATCAAATTAATAATTACGAAGCTCAACTTTATTTCACTACATTTTATTTTTTTAGTATTTTGTTTAAATATATTCATTTGATTAAAAACACTCTTCTCATTACCAATACAACTTGGAACTAAATTTCGTTTTATTCTATTAATTTTTTCAAAGTAATATCCAAGATTTAGTGATTTAAAGCCTCTAAAATGAGTTTCTTGTCGTTCAATTGCATTCACAATATCAAAGACGAATTCCTTTTCCAATTTAAGTTGGTTTTTTTCTAGCCAGTAATCTGTAGTGACCAAATTTTTTGAGTTAAACAACCGAATTTCAATTTCAGCTATTAATAATGTTAAGTGATGTTTTAAGATAAATTTTCTAAGTTTAGATTTCTCTGTTTCAGAAAGTTCCTTTTCTCTTTTTAATTTTTTAATTCCTCTAACAGATTTTTTTGCATATGATTTTTTCCTTTTTTTCCCAACTTGTTTAGATGTACTAGGTTCTTCATCAAGACTTGAATCACTTGATGTCTCATTATTACTGTCAGTATCATTTTCACTACTGCTACTGCTGCCACTACTACTATCGTCTTCACTGCTACTACTATTATCGTCTTCACTGCTACTATCACTATCAGTACTAGTTTCGTCACTACTGCTACTGCTATCACTGCTTTTTGTGTTTTTATTATCAGATGAAGAATCACTGTTTTTACTTGGATCTTCACCGATATTGGGAGCATCTGTAAATTTAAATTTTGAATCTATTGAACTAACTAAATGTGGTTCTTGTTCGGTTACAGACATTCTGTCGACTTCATCCTGGTTATATAAATCAAGTTTATTATCACTACTTTTTTCTTTGTATTTTTCAAGTTCTTTTCCTAAAATAAAGTTTTTTTGTATTTTATTAAAAAATAACAGTATTGTTATAGAATAAATTATTAATAATTTTTGTGAAATATTTTCTCTCATTTTTTAAAATTATTTTCAATATTTTAAATTAAAATTTTTCCAATTTTTTGTGTGAATCTAATTAAAGTATAGGTGTATTATACTATCTGTGTGTAACCGTTCCGATATCTTAGATTTAGGTTCTCGAATTACTTAGAACTTAAATTACTTTTATTAGCCTAAGTAATGAATAATATAATTTTGTTTGATTAGGCTCTTTTTACCTTACTTTTTATTAATTACATAATAATTACGATTATTTTTTTTGATAGTAATTCAAATTTGTATGCTAATATATTATATAAAATATTATTTTCTGAAATAAATATGATTAAAAAATCATTCTAATAACTTAATTCAAATGGTGTAATCTTGGGTATAAAGGGCCAATTATTGGAAATCTGATTAACTTTTAATTGAATCATTTTCGTAAAAAAAATAATATATTTTAAATAACCAAACAATATTTTTCATTCAAATAAATTAAGGCACTATTAAAACGTAGATTTTGCAATAAAGTCTTAAAGAAAAAAAGATGTTTGGGCTTAAGAATTTAAACAAAATTGTTGACAAAATTTCCCCCTCTCCCAAGTAATTATGAATATACATTAATTCATTAACAGTTTTAAACACCGATCTTAAAAGTTTGGAACAAAAACATATATAAAAAATCCACAAATTTAAAGATCATGAATTTTAGTAAGATTGAATTACATCATTTAATTTGAATTGGCTTAATAATTCAAATATAGAGAAGACCAGTTGTCAGGTATTTCTAATAACCCAAAAAAATACATAAAACATATTATGCAATCATTCATCCACAATCTAATGAGAAAATTTTGAGAAATATTTATATCTTGTCTATCTATAAAACATAAAGTTCTGAATATTTTAAGGAAATAAATTATACCGCCATTTCCATCTTTATGGGTGGATAAGGACAATATCCAATCAATTGAATGTCCTCCCACACAAATTCCTCAATATTTTCAACCTTTCTTTTAAATCTGAGTTGTGGAAATGGGCGTGGAAGTCTGCTTAGTTGCTCTTTTAATTGAGTCAAATGATTTTCGTATATATGAGCATCACCTATAAAAATAGCGAGCTCACCAGGTTTGTAATCACAAACATGAGCTAACATCATAGTAAGTATAGCGTACGATGCAATATTAAATGGCGACCCTAATCCCAAGTCGCAACTTCTCTGGTATAAATTACAACTAAGACAGTTGTCATTGCTTACATAAAACTGGGAAAGCACATGACAAGGTGGGAGAGCCATTTGAGAGAGAGCGGATGGATTCCAAGCTGTTAGTATATGTCTTCTATCTTTCGGTTTGTTCTTTAAAGAGTCGATAAGCTTTGCCAATTGGTCAACTCCAACTCCGGTGTAGTCGTCATGCATTGTTTTGTATTCACCATTGAAGTGACGCCACTGAAAGCCATAAATTGGGCCTAAGTCATTCTCCTCTCTGTGTCCTAAACCTATTCTTTCCAAATACTCTTTTGAGCCGTTGCCTGACCAAATATAAACTTTTTTTTCTATTAAATGGTTTCCATTAGTATCACCCTTAATAAACCAAATCAACTCCTCAAAAATGGACTTAATTGCAACTTTTTTTGTTGTTAAAAGTGGAAAGGATTCTCTTAAATCAAATCTCATCATCTCTCCAAATATTGAATATGTACTAATACCCGTCCTATTTTCTCTATATACTCCATTTTCCAAGACTCTGGAAAGCAAATCCAAATACTGAAATTCATAGTGTTCCCTTCCGAATCGAATACTTGGAGTATTGTAAATTTCTTCCTTCGGGAATCTATGCCTGTTTCCCATTTTCCTAACCCCGAATATTTCAGTAAGGAGATCAACTGTATCATCGATAGATTTTACTTGGCCTCTAATAGGATCCCCGTAAGATAGAGATTTACCTCCTTTGTTTTCAAAAATCATAAAATCATAAGAAATATTCTTACTACAGAATGTTTGAGACATATATATTGGTAAAAATGTCTCTGGTATTTCTGGGAAATAGGTGTCAAATTCTATATCATCCAGTGCTACTCTAGTTAGGTAGATTTTATTCACATAATTCTCACTTAAAGCTTCCTTGTATATAGATTCTCCACCGCAGATAAATATATTTTCAATTTTATTGTCATTCATAAAAACATCAATTGAATCCTTCAAACTTCTAAATATACAAACATTAGGATCGTCTCCATCTAATTTTAAACTGGAAGAAATAACGGCAATTATTCTGTTTTTTAAAGGTTTTCTTCCAATAGAATCCCATGTTTTTCTCCCCATAATGAGTACATTTTTTTTATTTTCATCGCAATGATTACTAGTTATCTTTGAGAAAAACTTCAAATCTTCAGATATGGCCCAAGGTAGTTGCCCATTTATACCTATTCCCCTGTTCATAACAGAAGCAGCAACAACAATTGAAATATCCTTTTTTTCCATAGTTCAAGATTTAAACTGCAAACAAAAGAATTCAATAACAATTTTTAATTTTAATTTATTTTTTAGTTTATCTCGATTTTTGATTCTACGATGAAGATTTTTTTTATCAAGTTAAATCCCCACATAACGTTGATATTTTGTCGACAGTACATTTTATTGAATTACATGCATCAGTATAATTAATTATTATTTTAAGGAAAAATGAATTATTTGAAATATAATTTTAAAACCAAGGTGATCAATAAAAATCTAATAAGTGATCAACCTATTTTCTGTTAATTTTATGAAAGTAATTTAAGAATATAATATACGTTTTGTATTAAAGTGAACCATAGATAACACATTTAAGAAGTTTCTACCAAAATCTGAGGTTCCAAAATAAGAGTATAATTAATTCAATAGAATTAAGTAATAAAAATAAAAATTAGAATTGAGTTAATTAGTTATTTAAAACAAATAGTGGCTGAGTTAGTGTTTAATATTACAAATAGATTCGTTAGAAACGCTCCATGAAGAGAATGTATACCAAATGACAATAATTGAGGTAATTACTCCAGAAACTATAAGTAAAATGTCCAAAATAAAAATTGGAAGTGAGATTCTCTTTCTAAACAACATTAGGTGGAAGAGTGCGGGAAGAATAATACTGATTGGAACACAAAATATACCTCCAACAAGATTTACAAAGTTTCCGAGCGAGTTGATGAGGAAAAAGGCTGTCATACAGCAAACTACACTCAATATTATCACAATGAGTGAAGGTGCTGCTTTGACTAAGTAATAAGAATAATTTTTCTTGGAGTTTTCAATTTTAAAGGAAATTGATCCACTTGGCTGTCTAAGAAGGATTTTTGAACCTAATTTCGAATTAACAGAATTTGGACTTAAATTTTCCTTTCCAGGGGAGTTTTTCTGAGAAATAATTGGAGTATTTAATTTACTTGGTGTTTTCTGAATGCTAAGTTGTCTAATCTGTTCAGCAGGCACAATAAATTCCACAATTTTATTTTTGTTATGTTTCTTCCAATAATTATCGATATATTTGGTAACAATTTCTTTTACTGGAAAGATCATTAATGGAAATGAAAGCAAAATTGAAATAGCAAAGAAGATTTGACCAGACATTGCTCCAATTGTAATAGGAAGATTTAAAGTAATTGCAGAAAAAGTATGTTTGCCATATCCAAAAGCTGAAACAAAAGTAAATGATACAGTAAGTATAAAAACAAATGTTATTGCAATAAAATATAACCAAGTAAATCTTTTTCTCGCATTGTAATCCGCAATTGACACATAATAAGATATTACAACTGGGCCAGATACCCACAAAAACGCAGCGGTACCGACAAGACCTGCAATCGATTCTAAATTTGTGAAATATGAAATTTCAGCCATATTATTATTTGATATATTTGTTGCTAGTTCTAAAGCTGAGTAGGTGAATACTGTAACAAGGCCAACAAAAAGTGCAATATTTGCCATTATCATAGCTGGGCCTAATGACTGAATCCTACCAAAACATGACATAGGAATATATACAATAAGCTGGATAAAGGTAATTAATGCTGTGCCGTATTCTATATATGCTGGTGCACAATCATAAATGCCAGAAATTACATTTTGTATTGCTTTGGTTACAAAAGTTACAAATACTGCGCAAAATGATAATTGCGTAAATATGATTGAAATGTCAGCCAGAATTTTACCGGTTTTACCCATTGCTGCAAAGGCGATACTTGAATATGTATCATTAACTTCATCAGCGCATTGAAACATAAGAAGAGTGCAAGTTATATTTAATAACCAATAAACCAAAATGAGCACTATACTTACACTGTAACCCGATTTAACAATTGCATAGGGAGCAAAAAGTATCCCTGTTCCAACTGTTGCTTTGACTACTGTTACGAACCCAATCAACATTTGTACCCATATTGCAGACTCTTTAAGTGGAACCTCAACTACTCGAACATTACTAGCTAAAGTATTAGTATGATTTGAACTGGCTAGTGCAGAATTGAGTGAAGATGATTTATTAGAGCCATATTTTAATGATTCAATAATGGATGAACTCTCTTTTGTTTCATTTGTATTACTTTCTAAATCACCTTGATTCCTACTGTTTCTGCTTTTGAACTCTATACTCATATTTGGTTATTACACATAAAACTTAGAAAAAAAAATAATTTATGGTTGATTTAAAATTCGAATTTGATTCTTAACCTTTCAGTTAAAAAGCTATTCTTAAAAAGTTAATCAAAATCTATTATTACTTTATCCCTTAATTCGCAAGATCCCACAAATAAAAATATAAAATTATATTGGCGGGATCCATACTTTAATAATAAAAAAAGAGGCAAATACATTACAAATAGAAAATATTATATTAATAATTAACTTAGATTTCCTATACTTATGGAAATAAACATTTTTAGTTATTCCCTGTTTGTTCTTCAAACATGTTTCTATAGTTATTAAGATTAATAATTCTATTGCAGTATTTTAAAGCATCAATATTGTGTGAAACAATTACCACACAGCAATGCTGGAAGTAATCTCTGATCAGATTTTCAATGGGAACAAGCTTTTGATACTCATAGAAAGAAGTCAGAGCTTCATTTTCCAGTTTGATTTGTGGTTCTATTGTAGGTTCATCCAATAAAATGATTTTGTAATGTTTTTTATTTAATAGTAACCTAATAAAATTCAAATATTTCAAGTGGAAATCTGTCAGCAAAAGGCAGTTTGTGTCTTTAGAGTCTGAGATTTCAACTAAATCAAGATTATTGGTAATTTGTATTTTATTAGAAATTATATTGTAAAATCCTGTAAGTTTTAATACTTGTAAAATTTTATCTTGGTCATGCTCAGAAAATGGATCCAGGTATTTTCTAATTGACCAATTATTTATCTTTAGTGGCGTTTGTGGTACAATACCAATAATTTCTCTTCTCTTTCTTCTAGACAAACTACAAATCTCAACTTCGTTAAATAATATACTGCCGCAAGAAGGAATAACTGTTCCTAAAACACCTTTAATTAAAGTTGACTTTCCACATCCCGTTCTACCAATAATTCCGACGTGCTCATTCGGGCTTAATTCAAGATTAAAATTTTTGATTGCCTTAAATGCTAAATGATTTTTATTGCCAGTAAAATCTGAAACTTGATATGACAATTCTACATTATTAAATTTAAGCTTTAGATTACCATAATTGTTAATTTGTTCATCTAAAATTGCATCTTCAAGTTTAAAATCTTCAAATTTTGTATTTACATTAAGCGGATTATTCGAATATTCCATCATCCTTTCTAGTGAACACATATCTTTTTCCAAAGAAGAAATTTTAATGAAAATTAAATTCAGAGTTTCAGTGAAGGTAATATAAAAATAAATAACATATGCCAATTTTATTGCCATTAAATTGACACTTTCTGAATTTTTTCCTTGAAATAAAATACTGAAAAGTATATAAAATAAATATAAAAAAATAACCAAAGGTCCAGAAAATAACTGTATTCTAAATGAAGCCCATTTAACTACTGAAATTTGCACCATTCTCATTTTAATTATGCCTAATAAGTTTTTACATAATATTTCTCTGTATAAACCATGATTTTTAAAGTCTCTGATAATTCTCCACCCTATTAGTGTTTCAGAAAAAGTATTATTTAAATTTGAACTGATTGACAATATCATCATTTGAGTCGCTTTGTAAATATGAAACAAAGGAAATCCATATAAAATTATGATTAATATTATATGTATAATTGAAAATGGAATAATTATAAGATTAGTAGAAAACACTAAGATTAAATGTATAAATGGTTCAAATAATCGAATCATCACACCAACAATCTTTCGAACTAAAACGTCATCCAATACAAGCAAATCCAAATTAAACCTGTTTAAAATCTTGGAAATGGGTGTAAATGAGTAAAAACTTAATGGAGCTTTTAGCAATGAAATAAGGTAATAGTCGTGTATTTTTGAAGACGATTTTGCTGATAATACGGCTTCTGAGATAAAAGCAAAGCAATCAAGCAATAGCTTTATAATCAATAAAATTTTATAGTAAGTAATGAATAGTTTTCTTGATTTAGTAAATGTGAAGTTGGCTAAATAAATATCCATAGATTTTGTTATCCCTATCTTTAAAATACATATAAATAAAAATATGAAAAAGTACACCTTTCCAATATATTCAAAACAGTAGATATACTTAGAATAAAAACAATCATCAATAATCTGAAATGTTGATGTTTCTTCATTTTTCGTATTAATTAGCATTTCATTATCTACTATTATCTCATCTTTCGACTCAATCATATTATGTTTTTTCTCATATTGATTAAATACATTAATCAAATTTAATCCACTATTCAAATCTATATAATCATCTTTTTTTAAAGAGGAAAATTCTTCCAAGTAGTTTTGAAGTAAATCATTATATGATATTGATCCCTTATCCATTATAATGACTTTTACAGATTTTCCCTTGAGAAATTGAACTTTAGAGGTCAGCATTGAAATATATTCAATACCAATTGTTACTATACAAGATATGTTTGAAATCAAACCACCATTCTCTTTGAATAGATTTTCAAATATCTCTATTGAAGTTTGAATATCTAATGTGGAAAATATATCATCTAATATTATTAGAGTCTTATTTTCTTTTTTTTTTGTTTTTTGTGTATAAAGTAAGTAATAAAGTGTTCTAGCTAAATTAATTCTTGATTTTTGCCCATTGCTAAGAGTTTGATCAGACTCATCTAATTGTCTTGAATCTCCATCTTTCCACATACTGATGTCTACATCAAGCGAGCATGCTTTGATTACTTTTTCATAATTAACTTGATCAAATTCTCTTCCAAATAATATTGCAGATTTAATCGTGCCTTTTGGAAACCAGAAATTCTGTGAAGAATGGAAAATATTGATACTTTGATCTTCTATTGAATAAAATTCATCTAAAATGCGATTAATTAAAAGTGTTTTACCTGAACCTGATTTACCTGAAAGTATATATAATTCATTAATTTTCAATTTCAAGTTACTAATATTCAATTCTATTTTTGAATTATCAGTACATTTCATATTAATTAAGTAGCTTGTCTCAGAATTCTCAGCATCAGATGGATTCATATATTCAAAATTAAAGAGCTCTGAATCGCGTTGATAACCTCCTTTTAAATTTAATTTGTAAATAGATTGTTTCTCTTCAATTAAATTAACCTGATTTTCCCCAACCATTTTATTAGCTAGTGTGTTACTAGAATTTCTTTCAAAAAAGTCCATCATTCTTTTGAAAGATATAAATCCTTCAACAATACTTGAAGCAATATTCCTTGTCGGATTTGTGAGCATATTCAAAGCATGTAAAGTAGAAATCCTTGAAGTAATTGTAATTTCATAAGAATTAGAATTTGATATTTGAGTATAAGATTTATAAATAAATGAGGAAAACAAAATATATTTTGCTATAGAAAGAGCATTATATTCCAAAAAAGTCCCAGACATTAAATATAGAAACCTTGTTAAGTTTGCCTTCACCTCCAATTTTCTTACAGACATTAAATCCTCATAAACGATTTCTTCCCAAAATAGTTGGCGAATTGTCGGTAAAGAAGAAAAATATTCGTAACATTTAAGGATCCTTATATCTCTTAACTTCATAAAATTTCTTTTGTATAGCGATCCAACTATTTGTAGAGTCAAACCCATAAAGTGTAATAATATATAAGTTAATACGGATAAGTTTGCAGAAAGTCCAATATGACTTTTAAGTAATATCCAAACCCCTAAAATTTTAATAGGGGATATAATGAGCTCAATAAATGCTTGTATAAAAGCTTCCAGAGAATTTAAATCTCCAAAAATTACGTTGTGGATATTTGGAGTGTTGTTTAACTCATTCTCTGTTTTATCAGCCAGAGTAAAATGAATTCTTGTTAGATCTTCATATGCTGCTCTAATTATAAATGTTTGCATTTTTAATGACATTTTTGCTATCAAAAAGTTCGTATGAGAGTCCATAAATATCTTAAAAATTTGTAAGCTCAATAAAATGAAACATTGTAACAATTTACTTGATGGGCTAACTATTTCCATGAAACTTTTCAAGGTAATGTTTAGACGTGTTGATAAAAGAACAGTTAAAACTTTAAGAACCACACAAAACATAAACTCTCTCCAAAACATCTCAATAAGTTTTTTACCAATTTTAAAACTTTTTTCATTTTCAATTAATTTATATTGGTATTGAAATAGCAGATTATTCTGAAACTCCAGATCTTTATCTCTTAAATACAGGTTACCCAAGAATGGTATATATGAATTAATGTTAAAAGTACTATCGTTTACATTGGGTACTGTTCCATACTCTTTGATATTATTAATATATTGATTTACCCAAGAGAAAGAAACATACTCAAATAATCGATTAAATTTTTGTTTCATTATATTATAGACATTAATTAAAATGAATCTGGCAAATAACTCAAAAAACGTTTCTTGAAAATGTAATTATAATATAAATTTTGAATTCGAAATTATGATATAACATTTAATACTAAGAAAAAATATTCAGAATGCATTAATTATAGTTTTTGCGGGAACAATAAATAATCAAATATTACTTCAAGAGGCTTAAATAAACTAAATCTGAAAAAAAAAAGAAAAATGAAAAATTTTGAATCAGTAAAATATACTTATTCACAAATAGTCATTTTTTTTTGGTGGTTTATGTAGGCTCTATGTCGTTTTATTCCATTAAAAAATAGATTCTAGAAAAAATGAGTGTAAATAAAAGTAAATATGGGGTAAGAGAGATAAGAATACATAGGAAAGAGATTAAAGAAAGTATTTTGGGGTTCTAGAAACCCATTTTAGAATTAAATACTAACTGTTGAATTGTAATGTGGACCACTTGCAAATAAATGAATATGATAAACTATATATAAAGTATTTCCATTAAAATTATTGCTTTCATCCTCTTGATAGAATTGTTCACCATACGACTCATTTCTATGATTTAATGCCCTAATCACAGTAATGGGGACTTTTAAAGAGTTAGAAAGAGCAACCAATTCAACTTCGCCACCCCATTCATTAGTGCTTCTAATATTATCACAATAATTTTCAAATGTTATGTCTGTATTCTCAACAGAGGCTAGAACAAAAGGCTCCATAGTCTGTTTATTTGATTCAATATAGTCAACTGCAATACTTCTTAATTCTTTTATTGAGTATAGCCCTTTATTTTTGACTTCCAGTTGATGTTTAATCGAGCTATTGGGTATAAAATGAATAATTTAAAAGATCAAATGATTTAAACTTACCCAAAAAGACAATTTCCATCTGCACTAATATTAAAAATCTTCAAATTCATTTCTTTAAGCTTTTTATTGATTACTTCAAGTTCAATTTCGCCTTTTCTATCATCTGTTTTAGATTGGAAATTTCAATAAAAATTGAATATGTTATAATAAATGTATAAATTAAACTTACTGTTAAGTGCACATTCTTCTAAATTTTTCATGTATCTCTGTTCAAGTTCTTTTTGCTTCTTCTTTTTTCGCTTCTCACTCTTAGTCATTTGAAAACTTGCATTGGAGTATAGAGAAGGAATTTCGTTGAGAGTTTCAAGTTTTTCCAACAAACTCGGTTTCTTATTTGTATTGTTATGAACTGTAACTTCATTCTTTTTTTCAAGCGTTTTTATTAATTCCTCTTCTTGTTCTGTATTATTTTCACTAGAGAGCTTCAATAACTCCATCTTATGGGATAGTTGCAGTGATTCAATTTTTGAATTGTATTCTTTGTCAAGCTCTTTTTTAGATCCCTTCTTATTGCAACTAGCAAGTGCCTTCTTCCATTCCTCTTTTAAAGCTTTAATTTCCTGGTTTTGCCTTTGAAGAATTTTTCTTCTACTTGGTTTTCCTTCTTGAGAGTCAGAGTCCATCCTTTAATTTCACTAATGCTTAATTAATTAATAGTAAATTATTGATCCTCTTTATAACATGAAATTTTAGCAAAATCAATAATAGAACCAATTCAAAACTTCAACCTGTTTTTTAGTATTCCTGTCTTTAAAAACTTATAATCCGAGTAAATCTGATATTTTTTAACCTTCAAATCAATTCCAGTTTGACACTTACGAATTCAGTAAGCCAAAAAATGGCGGGCAAATGGTTTAACATCCTCAACATGGGAAAGAAAAAAAAAGTGAAATAAAATTTAAAATAAATATTAAATTAAAAAAAAGGTTATAGATAAGATAAAGAAGATTAAAGTATTTTTGATGAGTTAATCAGTGTGGGAGACACTTAGAAATACAAAATAACTAGTTTATAAGGGTATATAAGTTAATGTTAAAAGTTCAAAGTAATTATATTTTGTATAGGTTACATGTAAATGTGTAAAGTACTTTTTATATTACTTGGACCGAAAGATTGAGAGTAATTAAGATTAAATTTGTGGTGAAGATGGATGAATTTGATGAAATTGATGATGTTTTATTGAATTCAAATGAAATTGAAAGTCTATTTGAATATGATCATAATGAAAATATTGAAGGAAATAGCATAAATGGTTATGAAAATGAGAATGAAACCAAAAATATAAATATAAGTCAGTCTATGCTAATGTCTCCTGAAAATATTTCTGGTAAGACACATTCTTCTCTGAGAAGAGTTGTTTACAACTGCAGACAAAATAGTGCTTTAAGGAGTGAGAATTATGGCTTGGAAACCCCTAAAAGTATAAGTTCAAGGAAAGTAAGTATAAATATAGAAAATAAAGAAACTAGTGGAGAGACTAAGTCTGAAGAAGTACAAGAAAGTAATTTATCAGATAACACCATAGAATGTGCAATATGTTTAATGAGCCTTCAAGATTTATTGAATTGCAAAAATAAAGAGAATGAACAAGGGAATACTAATGGACTAAATAAAAATATAGGTGATGATAATTCTATCAATAATGAAGAAAAGCTTGAAATTAATATGAACTCTGTTGCAAAAATAGAAGCTGTTGTTGATATTCCAAGTATGGAAAAAAAGGAGGAGTTATTAATAGGAGGATTGAGTGTTTGTAAACACATCTTTTGTTTTGTATGTATTAAACAGTGGTCTGATGTTGCTACTCAATGTCCTCTATGTAAAAGAGACTTTGATCACATTAATGCTTTTAATGTAATCCCAGGCGAATTTTCGATACCTATAATGGTTATTCCTGTAGAAATGAAAAAGTTGAATTGTAATGAAATGGACGATCCATTTGCAGATTTTGCATGTGAGGTTTGCAGATTAAATGATCATGAAGAGGTGCTTTTACTTTGTGACAGATGTGATAGGGGCTACCATACATATTGTTTAGATCCCCCTTTAGATAGTGTTCCAAGTGGAGAGTGGTTTTGTCCAAGATGCATAAGAGGTAGAAGAAGGAGAGCAAACAATAGAAGAAATAATACAAGTAGGGCCAATAATAGCAATTTGGACGCAGATTTTATTATCGATGATGACCATGATTTTGTCGTAGAGTTAGGCTCGGAAGTAAATGTTAGAAATAGAATAACTACGAGATCTTCTAGAACTGGCCGTTCAACTAGAACATCAGGAGTAACTACAAGATCTACAACAAACAGCAGATCTTTAAGATCAAATAGAGAAAGAAGATTATCCAGTCATAATGATGAACAAAGCTCAACAACTAACAATATTTCAGTAAATACAACTACAATTCGAGTAGTCTCGATAGATAGTGACTCTTCAACATCATCCGTAAATGATAACACACTTTTATCGGAAAGAAGAAGCATGTTAACCTCTAATAGAAATATTAATCAGAGAAGAGGAAGGTCTAATTTGAATGTAATATTTGAAGGGGTTGAAACTGTTGAAGAAAACATTCAAGATAGAAGCGGAGACAGAAATGTTTTGGATTCACAATCAGATAGGCCAAATAGATCTGGTAGAAACAGAAGAACAAGGCCCGAAAGACGTACTAGGAGTGGAATCTCCAGAAGAGCCAATTCAAGGTCTGGAAGGTCAGCTTCAGGAACCAGTATATTAGAGATGCTTGAAGGTGCCATTCATATATCTTCAGCATTTTCCTCAGAATATGTTGATTTAACTAGATATACATATAATGAAGAATCCTCTTCTAATACAGTTTTTGGAGCACCTAGAAGTAGGAGTAGTTCAGAAATCATGAGAACAAATATTAATAATAATTATCAAAGGAGAGAGAACAATAGCAGCTTGAATGAAAATTCGAGAAGTAATCACACCAACAGGCAAAGCATTCAAACCAGTTTAAATATTTCAAATTATAGAGTTCCAAAGGAAAGCAAAGTTCAAAGAAATAATTCGAATTCTAATATTCAACAGAGTTCAATGTTTAGTGGTTCCCAGTACAGTAAGTCATCAGACGATGAAAATAGTATAATAGAATTACTTGAGAATGAAGAACAAAGCTTCCCCAATAATTTTGATAGTTCTACAATCAATATTAACAACTCTAAAAATGTTAATTCAATAAATGCAAATAAAGAATCTGACCTAGTTACCCAGTCTTCCATCTTATTTGACTCTGATGAAAATCTTTCAAGTTCGAACTTTCCCAAAAGCTCTCAAAATGTATCTAATACTGGAAAACTACATATATATGGAGATGCAAAAAATGCTGTTGAGTCAATATCCAATAAGATTCCCTATTCCTCTTCATCATCATCATCTTCAAGTAATGTTAATAGAGCGAATTCGCACTCTTCTTCTGATAGTAAATCGCAATTGGAGATTAGAAGTGCTAATATTAATATCAGCAGCAACAGTAGTGCTAATATTATTGGTAGAAACAATGATGGGGAGTCTAATAATAAAAACGAATCAAACAAAAGCAGTGGACCAGTTATTTCTCTTAGAGCTTATTACCCTGAAAGGTTCGCAAGTTCAAAACCGAAATACATACCCGGAAATGACTCTTTGAAATTTAGAGATGAAAACAAGTTAATAAAAAGTTTTTCAACTTCTTCTTCTTCTTCTTCCTCCTCCTCCTCATCCTCTTCTTCTTCTTCCTCTTCATCATCATCATCTCTTGCAAATATAATTACTTTGGTAAGAAATCAAATAGGTACTCCAACTCAAATTTGTTCCTCCGAATCTAATGGAACAAAGAGAATCCATATTTTGGGACAGGAAAATGAAGGAAAGAATGAAGAAGAAAGCACAAAGGGAAGATCTCAAGAGTTTTCACCAAATAAAAATCTCAATCAGAAAAAAGCTAAGAGGCTTTAACATGACAGAGATATTTAATATTAAACGGTTTTTGGAAATTGAATCATGTTATACTTAAATTTGCATTTAAATAAGCAAAATACAAATGAAATAGCCCAATTAATCTATAAAAAAACTAAACTTAAGTTATATTATTATCTTATTAATTTATTATATATATAAATATTTTTTATTTTTATACAATTTTTTTTCTGTTTTAAAATTAACACATAATTTACAAGAAAATAAAATGTCACACAACAAATTCAAACAATTAATATAATACACACAAGTGATTTAAAAGTAAATTAGTAATTAACTTTGAAAAATAAGTTTTTCCTTATATTTTTTCAAAAATATTCTTAATTTTCAAATTAAATTGATAGTATTAGTACAATTTAATGCTATATGAACAGTCCAGGAAAAGAGACCAATGACTGGTACTCTCTACAAGAGAGAGCTTTAAAATTATCTGACCAGGCATTCAAAAACTTGGTAGGTGAATATGAAGAACAAATCAGAAACTTGAAATATGAGATCAATTCTAGAGATAAAAAAATTCAGGATTTAAAAAGCAAGCTTGATATTACAAATAAGCAGGTAAATACATTAAAGACAGAGAAAAACGAGCTTTGTAATCTTTTAGATGCTTTAGAGACACAAAATAGGAGTAGAGATAGTAAAATAGAAGAACTTTGCCTAGAAATCTCAGAAATCAAAGGAGAACATGAACTTTCACTTGCTAAATTAGAAAGATGTTTAAATAAATATAGGGATGTCTCTTTTATTAATCAGGAATTTGATAGAAGAAGAAATGATCAGTTAAATTTAGATAAAGACGATAACAGATCATTATTATCAGAACAATGTGAAAATATTGAAATTAAAGAGATACCAAATTTATTAGTTTCTGAAGCCATCCATCATCCAAGCAACTTTATTACAATGAATAATGGAGCATGCTTAGAGAACTGTACTGAAGATGTCGAGGGATTACTTTGTAGTCCCCAAAAAATAGGATCTGGGAACTCTCCTCGCAATGATATATCCCAATATTCAGTTAGTAAAAGTGGAGTTTGGAATAGGATTAGTCAAGTACTTCCAAAAGATTCGTATTTTTCACTCTTAAATTGTGTTAGACAGTATCATCTCGGATTAATGAATGAAGAGGAACTGCAAACTGAAATTCAAAACGCTCTTTTATCAAATAATGAAGCTGTTAGGAATGCCTTTACAAAAGATATACTCCACTTATCTTCAAAATGAAGGTTATTTTATGCAGTTAAAAATAACAAACTTTTTTCCTATTTTCTTTTCAGGCCTACGGCTAAAATTGCAATATAAAACATTACTGGAGCTAAAATTAAGCTATAGCCAAACTTTAAGCTTTAGATAAAATGAATATTAATATTAGTTTCCAGAATTACAAATATGAATATTTAAAAATGAGAATAGGAAGACAAGATAAAGTTTGAAGAAATTTATCACTAAAAAAAATGACTGAATTTATGATTTTGCTTAACTTTTCTTGATTTTTATCCTATAGCTTGAGATTAAGGTTTGTTTTCTTACTTTTTATTTTTTAGTTGTTTTTTTAACAACCTTTCTATTCATATTTTTTCTTAATAATCAGTATTAACAAAACTAAGAAAATCAATGAAATAATTTTTATTAAAATCAAAATTCTGATAGCTATAATTTTTAAAATGATTTTTAATTGTATTTTTTTTTTTTAATATTAAATATTGGAAAAAAACTTTAGGATTATAAATTAACAAAACAAAAAAAATTTTCAGTATCTTTCTTTATATATAAATAGGCGTATTTTATTATTGTAAATATAAAAAATTGAAATATTAAAAGTCAGATTGAAATATTTCAAGTTTTTTATTAATTGAATTTAGGCTTGATTTTTTAATTTTTTACATAAGATGCATGTAGTGGAAAAATATCTTTTAGCGGGAATTTCCAATATTTTACTATTTTTTAATAAAAAGAATAAAAAAAATTTAGTTAAGAATTACTAGGATTTAATGGATAGAAAAGAATTTGGTCATGCAAAATAATAATGTATCATTAAATAGAGTTTACCCTCAATCTGAAAACATTTTTTTTTAGTTTTAAGATAAAAATATATGAAGAGTTAATTTTTAATGTTGTGCAATATGGAAATAGGTAATAATTTAAGGCTTACATGTAAAGGGCTTCTTAGAGAATCACTTTCAAAAAAGAAGAACATTCCATCTTTAGTAAATATTTGTGTGAACAAACTAAGAACAATAAGAAACACTATTACGTGTTTGGAAGAAAAGAATATATCGAAAAACTTGATTTATTTAATATTTAAAGGTTCTACTTGCCATGAACTTCTTGCTGCAGAAAAGAATAACTCAGGAATACATAATATGTTTGGTAGTGATACTGGCCAAATTTGGGATGCACTTTGGGAAACTGCAGTTAAAGTAAGATATAGTAATAATGAACATATTCTAAGTAAAAAAGAAAATAATGAGAATTATAGAGAATTCTTTATTAGAAATCAAGAAGATGCAGAGAAAAAGTTTAAAACTCATATATTGAAGAGATCAAAATCTATTGGTGTATCAAAAGTAAAAAGAACTCCTAATATTGAATCCAATAAGGGAAATAGAAGAACTTTATCACTTCATAATGGTTCAAATTCTGGAAAAAACAGTACTTCTTCAAAACGAAGCATTAATATTTTAGAAAATACTCCAATATTTGACCTGCATAATCCATTATTTAAACCGAGAAATTCCAAGACTACAGCTTTGAATAACAGATCAAATAAATCTAGCAATCCAATATTAAGAGAATACTTTGAACAAAAATCGAAATATAAAAGTATAAATAGACTCTCCTCTTCAGTAAACTCGAGAATATCTTCACTTTCTTCTTCATCTGCTAATACTACCACTACAAGTGTTAAGTTTAATAGAAAACCTGAAGTTACTTTTAAATTAGATTGAACTTAATAATATTACTTTGATATAGTAATTGTTTATTACTAAGCAAATTATTCATTAAATATATATTCACATATATTTTGCTAGAGTTAATTTCTTCTATTATTATTAGGATTCAAAAGATCAGTTTTGCCTCAGGTTTTTATTTTCCGATTTTTCAATCTCTTTCAATATATTGAGATCAATATTACTTTCGAGTTCTATAATATAAGAGTTGTAAATCAGTCTCAATCTCTTTAAAACACTAATAAGAGCCATTTGAGAAGAGAATAGTTTGCATTCTGTGCAAATATTATTTGAGTCAAAGTCTAATATAAGTTTTTTAGCTTCATTTATCAAATCATTTCTTTGACTAAGTTCCTCAATTCTATTTAAGGCTTCTTTAACTGATTCTTTTGTATTGAATACCATTTCTTTTTCACCTTTAGATTTTAATTCTAATTTGAATTGGCCTGTTTCATTTTTAGTTGATATATTATATTTCAATAATTCCATTTTACATTGATTAAAACTTTCATCAATCGTGTATATTTGTGGAGTTAAAGTTTCTAAGAAGAAAATGTACTCTTTTTTCTTGAATTCATCTTCCAATAATTTTTTTACACTCATTTTTGCAAAATAAGACCAACTATTTAGGGCATCTGTACATTCTAAAAGTGAAGATTTATTTTGAATACTCTCAAGCTTATTATCAGCTTTTTGCTTTCTTTTAAAACTTAATTCATTAAATTGAAGGCATTCTATTCCGATTAATAAAAATATTGAGCATAAAGATGAAATTATTCCAATTGATCTTTTCATATTTAGTTTGATATTTTACTTAAAAAAAAACTAGAAGAGTAAAATATTACAGAATTTACACGACAGTAAATCTTTAGTTATGTATTAATTTAATTCTTAATTAGTATTAAGATGAATGGCTTTAATATAAGGGTTTAAAACCAGTCAAATTGTATACTTTCAATTTTTTTAAATTAAACAATTATTTTTAACGTAATTATACATCTAATTGAATTATTATATATATTTAATTTATTTACTTGAAATTTGAAAGTCACATATTACAAAAAAAGTATCATAAGGTGTGGTATATAATTCAATGTTAAATTAACTAAAATAAAAATATATATATGTATATATATGTATGCTCATAATATCATTTTTTAGATTGATTTGTTTAGGAATTTCTCCAAATAATATATTTTCCTGAATTAGAATAAATTTCTGGTTGGTCGAATTGTAGAGCTTTGGGGTTAATGCTTATAGAATTAGGAGGTATACTAACTCCTTTGTAAGTTGCCTCAGTTGAACAAACATTGAAGTTTAAAAGTGAATATGGGAAAATAAGTTCAATCAAATTTGAGTAAATCTCTTTTTGTGTAAGCTTTTTAGAATTCTCAGAGAATTTAGCAATTTTGGGGTGAAGTTCCATCAACCAAATAGGATTTACATCTTTAATTGGGCAATTTAGAAATGGTTGGATACCAGCTCCAAATGGATCAGGAGCAGAGTATAGAAATTCATTGTATTTATTGGAATGAATGTTTTCCAAGAACTTTTGTGAACAGCTTGGACTTCCTGATTCTATACCAACATTCAACATATAGGAATTAATTGCTGGAGAATTGAAAGATTGGACTTGAGATTGCAAAGAATAGTTCCCAGTTTTATTATTTTTATTTTCCTTATATATAATTCGAAGTTTAATACTGCCATACATTCTTACTTGTATAAATGAAAATTTCTCATTAGATCCACTCTTACCAAGAACTTCTTTTGGGTTATTTATTGTCCAAATAATGTGTTTTTTATCATTTGAAATAACTATTTGACCCATACTGGATTTAAGGTTATGGCTAAATATCATTACACTTGGGATATTATGTTTATTGAAGCTGTTGTTTCCATTACAATTAATATTTTCTAGTGTTCCAGGTAGTAGTGGAATTGAAACCTGACAAACTTGCATTCCTTTTACAATATTAGGGTCAAAACAAAGACAATATTCAATTTGGAATGAGTGGGTTAAAATAGGCCTAAAGTGACCTTGAGACTGAGTAATTTGTTTGATAGGTTCTTTAGATTCTGGAGATATAGTATAATAACCTTTAATAGGTATGTTCAATTCATATGGGTACCAGTAATTAAAAATTTTTGATGAATTGCTTTGAGAGCTATTCCAACTCAGTTTAAATCTAGAAACAGGAGTAAATGAGTTTTCAGAAGATGAGTAGATTTCAGAATTATGCCTAATAGGTATAAATGTTTTTTGGGTAGAATCAAATAATTCGTCGACCAATTTAGTGCATGAAATATTATCTTGTACTGAAATATAAGGTTGAATATAAATGTTCTCTTGATTAACTTCATCCTTTGAATTTATTGTAACTTTTTGCCAAGGAAGAATTACATTACAAGATATTAAAACGGAGTTTGGTAATTTTCCAGAAAATTCAAGAGCTCCTGAAATAAAGCTTGCATAGGGGTCTCCAATCTTTTTAATAAAGTTATCCATAGAATCTTCTCTTTCTGTTATTGGGTTCCTATTTTCAATTCGAGTTATCATTGGATGTTTTTTTGCAAAACAACAAATCAACTCAACAAGAGAAAACTTCATTGAGTAATTTATTGAAGATTGATTTGTTGAGGTTCTTGTTTTGGAGGAGAGCTTTCCAATTCCAAGATTTATCATACCTCCAAAGATAATTTGGTTTTTTGGATCATTGTTTGGAATAATTGGGATAAATTCATCATTTAAGTTCATACTTGCATCCATTTCCTGTATTAATTGCTGTTCTTCTTCTTGAGATAAATTATTAATAGACTCTAAATAAAAGCTTCCGTGAAGCAATGTTTCCTTTTTCTTAGTATCCATGCTTTGCTCATCTTGAGTAGATTTTAATTTTTCTAGTATTCTGGAAGAATCAATAAAATTTTGATTAAGTAAGTTTTTCAAATAGTTTGGTATACCTTTGTTTCTTGAAAGCAATATTAAATCTCTTACCTCTTTTTTGTCCATTATTGGAGATCCAAATGGTATAAATATTCTCCAAACTTCAAGAATTTGGCTAACTTTGAGTATTCTTCCTTCCTGATTGATCTCAAGTAGTTCTAACAAATCTTCCAGTAACTGCATTCCTACTCTAACCTCAACTAATTTTATGGATAAACTTTCTAAATTTTGAATAAAATCTTTAGAACGTGTTTTGTATATATTTAACAATTTGTGATCCTCTGATATGCTAGTTTCTAACGAAATCAATATTAACATAAAGTAACCTTTATTATAAGAATACATAAATGGCCACAAATATTTTCCTTCACTAACTTTCATATAATGTAGTAAATTGTTTTCTGAAATACTCAATAGTATTTCCTTATTTAGTTCATCCTTTTCACTTGAAGCCGGAGCTTTCAAATTATCAATGGAAAAAACCCCCAAAGAACTTTTCTTAAATATATTTGAGAGCTTTGCTGCTTTGAATTTAGATACATTTTCGTATAATACTCTGAATTTGAACCATTCTAGTATATCTTTGTCATTTGGTACTTGCACATAATCTTCTTCAAGAAGTTTTTGAAGCCTGTTTTCAACAGATTTGAATCTTTTGCTCAAAATTAACTCCAGGGAGCCTCCTTTTAATGCATTTCCAAAAATCCATATTCCTCTAATATATGTCATTTATTTCTGATTAAGAATATATAATATTATCTGAAATAAATTACATTTCTATTTGCTGTTCTTTGATTTGATTACTTGTAAGATTTAAATTCAATAAAACTCAATTAATCAGGTTTTAATACCTTAGTTCTCTAAAAATCAAATACTAAATTTTCTAATTCTATCAAATCGTTGTTATTTATTATTAATTATTTTCTTCTTTTTTTTTTTTTTATCTTTAGTTATTTTCAGTTAATATTACGTGTATTTGTGTGGCGGTTGTCAGATAATACTGTGAGTAATAAAAATATGTATGTAAATTAGGGCAATAGTTAATATATTATTTTTTTAATGTTGGTATTTTAATAAAAAAAAAATTAAGGAGAAAGAAAATTCAAATTTATGAAAAGTTACATTACACAAACTTGAAAGATAATTTTATTTAATTTTTAACACCAAGCTTTAATATATATTTACTTTGTATTATATAATCTAAATTATCATTTTTACATGGATTATGATTTTGATTGTGGATACTCTACTCTATCTCTAATTTATATTATGGATAAAAAGATAGAAATTTAGTCGGATTTAATTTTGCTAATTATATTTTTTTTATTTTAAGGAAAATGAATGAAAACGACAATATACTACTGGATGATGAATATATTAATAGAATTTCAAAAAATAGCATCAAAAAGGTACTTAAAAAAAACCATATTAACCACTCAAGTTTAAATAATGGGTTTATTGGTTTTATAAATAATTCTAATAATTGCAATACTAGCATTAGTTGCAGTGCCAACAGTACTAGTAACAGCAGTAGTAGTAATGCCAACATTATTGGTGAAGGAGAGGGTAGAGGAAGATACAGAAGCAACAGCAGTAGCACTATTATCATTGATGGAAACAATTATTTAGGCATTCATTCAGGCGAATTATGCCATAGCAAGGATTTTTATGAAACAGGAAACGAAAAAAGCAATGTTAAAATTTTGAGTAATAATTCATATGCTTTAACAGATCTAAGAGAGAATAGTGATGAAAAAAATGATAATTGTGGTAATAAAAAAACGAGAAAAAAAGATGGAAATGAACAAATTAACTTGGAAGAAGTTAAAAAGCTTAAAATCCCTGACTGTTCTATATGTAGAGAATACTTAACTAGAAACTTAACAGTAATAACAGTATGTGGGCATGTGTTTCATAAGCAATGCATAGATGCCTGGCTTTCAAAATGTGATTCAAACAAAAATTTAAATATGGCTCAGGGTAGATTGAACTATTTGTTAAATGATAATGGAGAACCAACATGCCCATTATGCAGGGTTCCGTGTTCATTATTCACCCTTTGTGATTTGGTGAATATTACAATAGACGAAACTTTAATCTTAGACGATTCAGAAGATAAATTTCAATGTTTTCAAAAAGAAGAGGTAGTTAGCCCCAAAAATACGGGGGAATGCATACAGATTAATTGTAGGTTAAAACTGAAATCTGCGACAGATGAATCAGAGGCAAAATCAAAAGAAATTGAAGAATTACGCACACAGCTTAATGAGGAAAAAACAAAGGCATTGGTAAAAACAGACTTGAACGAAAGTTTGGAAAGGAAGAATGAAGTATTACGTGAAGATTTGAATAGGATAACTCATGAACTCGGAGAAATGAACCAAAAGTATTCCGATTTGCATAGAAAATATACATTTATACAATCAAATAATGCTATTAATAATTTTATGGGAGAAAAACTTCAAGATGATTTAACTGATCCAAATATTCAAGTGGATGAAACAAACCAGATATCTAATTTAATAGGATTTAATCCATTTGAAGGTGAAGATAGTTTAGAAAAGAGAGAAGACACTTTTCAAGCATTAAAAGTACTTTCCAATGCATTTATCAAACTATCAAGCAGATATGATCAACTTAAGGAGAAGTCTAGTAAATGGAAAGCTAAATGCTACCAGCTTAAGGACTCGCATACAACTTCGATAAATGAATGTAATTTTTTAAAGGAGAAACTTAGAAACTTAAATAAAATAATAAATACATCAGAGATTGTGAAAGAACCAAGCACAATTGTCTCAAATGTTTCTAATGTAGAAAATTCTGCAAAAACTCCTAGTAATATGGAGAATGATGAGGAGTCATTTTCTTATATTTCCAAGCTCATTCAAGACAAAAAAACTACAAAAAATTTTATCGAAAGTAACTCAAGATCACAAACCAATCAGGAAAACAAAATATTCAGTAACTCCTCACAGATTTCTTATTTGAAATCTAACAAAATTCTAAAATCCTCCAGTTCTATTAAAAAAAACGAATTTGGAGGTATAAACACTGAGGGTAAATCTGAAATAAACACGATTAAAAGCAAAACACATGAATCTGAAAGACTAACGTCCAGAAATGAGGAGTCTCCAAACCCAAACTACTCAACTTTAATTAAAAGCAGGAGAAATCATGTCATTAAAAGAAATATCCCGATAGATTCACAATCTATTTCCAGCTTTTTTTATACAAGAAAACCAAAGCTTAAATTAATTGACTGATTTTGCCGCCAAAAATAACCCCTCAAAAACATGTAATTGCGCACATGTAGATCGTTTTATAATAAGAAAATTCAAGAAGGTCTAAAAGTATTTAAAGAATAAAAAAGGGGATCAACTGTATATATGGCATATTTATATATTATATATATTTATATATATAATATATTCGAATTTAAAGATAACGAATAACTAAAGTCTTCATTTGGACAAATATGAAATACTATTAAACTGAAATATTCAAAAAGTCTTTAGTTATATTGAGAAAGTGATACTTGGGATTTTCTATTTTTAGATTAATTTATTTTCTTGAGCTACTGGAATACTCTCAAAGGCTGAAATCTAGGATTTGAAGGGGGAAAAAAAGAGAAGAGTGGGGAGTAAAAGAGAGAAAAGGATTAGAATAGCTTTTTTTTTTTTGTTAAAGTATTGAATCTGGACTTTTTAAACCAATAATAAAGATAATAAAGTTTTAATCAGTTTAAGATGAAGCCTTTTCGTAAAGTATTTGATTTTTTTTTTTATTTAGATAATTCTAAAAGAAAATTTGGTGGAAAGTATGATAAAAATGACTCTTTTGGTGAAAATTTAATTAAAAGAATTGAAAGCGATTCAGAAAGGTCGAATATATTATCTGACTGTATTGAAGCAACCAATTATAGAAATAATGAAAATAGAATGCATGAAATATCTCAAAATCCTCAGATAGAAGAAATCATTCTAAAAACAAATGAAAAGCAAATAAATAGAATTAATGATCTTGATCTGAAAACATTCAAAATTGTAGTATCTAATTTTGAAAATAATCCTATTGTTTCAAAAATGGTTGAAAATTTTAATTTGGATAGTACATTAATAACGACAAGTTGTAATAGTCCTTATTCACTTAAATCATATAATCAATCCAAGAAGGATTTTGAAATGAAATTAAATACAACTAATAACACTCCAATTACAACATCTCTGGATTTCCAATCCGACGAAAACTCAAAATCCTTGAGCAATGTTTATACTACAGAAGAAGAAATGACTCGTGAAAATAAGGATGAAGAAATTGACTTCTTAGAATTACTATTGGAGGAGGTATTAAATACATTTATGAATAACTTACCATATCTTGCTTATTGCAAATTTTTGGAACTTTCTGAATTTTTATTTAGAATTATTGAAAAGAGAGTGGGAATAGGTAAATCTATTGTTTTAGAAATGAATCTTATATTAAATAATAAAACGAGTAGTAATAATGTAATTTCAAATAATTATCAAAATAGCAGCAACAATACTACTCAATCCACATCATCTTTCCATAATACACTAAAAAGCTTAAAGTTTGGCTCGAATAGAAATAATACAGTGAATAATAATAATAATATCGATTTTAATAAAAGTAAATTCCTTATAGAACCAGTACATTTAAATAGAAATGGAGTCCCAATAAAGTTTTCAAATGGAAATTCTTCAAACTCACACAGCTCATCAGGAACAGGAAGCTCAAGAAAATGGAGATACCATATCAGTAGTAGCTGTAGTAACGGTGGAAATAATGTTAGCAACAACTCTAAGTCATCTAAATCAGATTCAACATCTCAGATGAATTTAGGTTATAAGAAAGCTAAACTTTTTTTGGAGTCTATTTCCTTACTTCCAAAAAGATCCGAAGAAAATAAGGAAGCTGGTCAAAATCAAAAAAGTATATTTATAGAAGATATGGAAAACTTCAAACCAAACTTGAATTCAAAGTTTGTTAGGCTGGAGGACTTTCCATGTATAATATTTTCACAAAATTGTTTTCCAGTAAGTAATAGTAAGTTCTCATCCATCATAGACCGGAATCTTGCATTGGAATTCTTAAAATTCCCAACAGAAATCAAGTGTTTGGGCTTAGAGCAGGAGTCCAGACTCTCTGAATTTATTACTAAATTAGTTACCAATATGCATATCCACAGATTGAGATTTACATTATATAAATGTTCAACAAGTTATACAGATTTAGTATTGGCTCTTAAATATAAGAAGAAACACTTAAATAATAAAAGTGAAGAGCAGTTTCGTCGCAACTTAGACGAACAATTACAGAATGAAAAATCTAACAAACCAGAAATTTCAAATTCTGAATGGAACTCGCTTGGTGATTCTAATTTAGGTATGTGGTGGACTATGGGTACAGAATCTGAATTTTTAATATTATGCGACTATATAGTAAATACTAATCCGATAAATGTAGTTAGTATTGTAAATGAGTGTGATTTACATCTTAAATGGGCTCCTTTTGTTACAAGTTCAGAATGTTTAGCCTACATTGGATTATATAATCAGCTTGTTCGTCACTATTCAAATATGCCTTGGCCAATTGGTCTTTGTCAATGCTCGTTATACTGTGTGGCTATTGATATTAATAGGCAAGAAGAAGATGATTCTGAGCCTTGTATTATTATTACTGCGGTTTCTTTACCAGAAAAAGCTGATTCAGTGTGTGGAATTAAGGTTAAAGAAGCTCAATCTAATGCCTCAAAGCTCGATATTCTTTCTTTATGTTTCGTAATTCAATCTGTGCCAAACTGTCCATCTCAAACAAGAATCTCATTTCTTTCCAAATCAAATATGCCAATACCAAGTTTTGTACCAAAAGCAGTTCCTTCCTTTATCGCAAAACAAATCGGTAAATCTTTTTTTAATAATATTATTAGTATAATTGAAAGGTTCAACTCTACACCTTTTTATCAACGTATCAAATCAGATACTGAGTTCTATGAATTTGTTAAAAAAAGAATGAATATTCTAGATGATTCAAAATTCGACTTTATTCAAGATCCTAGCCCAATTAAAAAAAAAACTCAAAAAGAAATTAAACAAAGAAAGGAACTAAATGAATCATATTCTAAGGAGGATTTAAGAGATTACCTCCACAAGAGTGGAATTAACTCTTCACAAACTCAGAATACAAATCATTTTAGTAACTCCTATCATATAAAGGAGGCTAACCCCTTTACAAATTTGGGAAACTATTCTGTAGTAAAAACTATGATGAGAATGTTTCCAAGCTTTTAAGAAGTCAATCACTAGGAAATATGAACTGATATTAAATTTAATTTATAAATTATCATAGAATGGTTTCACTATTACAAAATTCCCTCAAATATTTATATTGATTTTTTTCGAATTTTTTTTTATTAATAGTTAACTTTAAATTTTTTTTTTTTTTTTAATTCCAATTTTTACCAATGAATCAGTTTGGCGCCAAACTAGGCATGCAAATTAATCGCCAATTAAAATTGTGACCATATTAAATATAAATAGTAAAATTCTAATTTAGATAACGTGGTTAATTTATAAAATTACTATTCTATAATTTATGAAACTTTTTTAATAGTAAATAAAAACAATCATTCAAAAAAAGTATATTTATTGTTAGTAGAATAATAGTAACTAATGTTTAATATAAATCGAAAAATGTGGGATTATTAAAAAAATAGCTAGGCCCAAAGCAAGGCTTTAAAGAAAATCATTACAAATGCAATATGCATTTCTTCAATATTGCATTATTAAAATCTGAATAAGAAATAGTTATATTTTGTAAATTTCTCAAAAAAATGAAATGAAAAATGCTTTTTATAAACCTCAAACTGCATCAATTAGATTTAAAGTTATTAAAAAGTGTTGTAGAATGTAGGGCTCTATCTGTTTTTGCCTGCAAAACCTTAATTTTTCTAGAATGTGATACATCAAAATATAAAGGATGATAAGCAATCAAAAATTCCCCGTCAACTTGGAAATAAACTTTTTTACCCGTGGCAAGGGAATTCTTCTGCTTAAAATGAAGTCGAACTGGTCCCTTATTTTGGAAAACTCTTCTTCCCATGCCCTTAATAGCTATCTCAAGTCCAATAGCAACAGCTGAAGGGAATGATACACATTCAATAACTTCATCACCCATTTTTTGTTGTTCAAAAAGCATGTGTTCAATAGACTCACGTCTTGACTTAAACCTTATCCCACAGTTACCTTTACAATATCTCCAGATATCATTTCCAGAAGCAAAAGATGGAATGTTAATAAATATTAAAGAAGCGCATGGCATTAAAGTTGGTGAAGGATTTTCAACAGAGTTCTGATAGTGGCCAACAGCATGGCTGTGGTTGTATTCGGAAATAGAGTTTTGATTATCAACTAAGTCATTGCCTCCTTTAGAACATGTGCATGAATTATTTTTAAACTTGGCGGACTGATCGGTTACAAACAAAACTTTTTCTGATGAAATTAATAGATCGGAATCTTCTTCAGTAAAAGCAGTATTTAGTGTGCATTTATCAATTATATCATAAACGGGAGTTGTGTGACGAAATGTGTTCTTAAATCCTTCAAGAGCATACCTCATCTTGTTTAAGAATGCATTCTTAGTTCGGTATCTGTCAAAACCTATACCAATTCTTGATTCCACACCAACACTAAAGTAGTTCGACATTCTAAAAGTCAACTCAGTAGCAATAGTATTGGATCCTCTATCAACTCCTTTAGAAAATTCATGATTGCTTTGTCTTATACTCCCTCTACCTTGTTTATTAATAACCTTCTTTTTTCTGGAATAAGAGTCAACTTTATAAAAGCAACCATAACTATCCACCACAGCCTTTACTGACCAAATATCATGCTCAATGATGTCTGCGTTAACCCATTCGCTAATTAGTTGCCTAAATCTATATAGACCATTATCAAATGGGTTATCTAAAACTGTCATCCAATTTAAAGCTCTTGAGAAGTCATTCCCTGTCCCAAAAGGTATTACACCTATTACCAATTTATCAAAATCAACATTGGTTTTTTCTAATTCATCCACACACCACATAACCGTTCCATCTCCACCTGCTGCAATTATGTATAAAGGAATTGAATTATCATTCATACTATTTGTGATTTCTTTTACTCTTAGAAATCCCTCTTTCTTCCCTGTCTCTCCTTGCCGTATATCATATATATGCACACTTGCTGGAACAGGATTAGATATTTTAAACATATCCATTCCTGATTTCGTGAACACTGATGCTTTATTTCCTCCAGAAGTCGGATTCACAAACAAAAAAATTGTATATGTGATCGACAATCCACTCTTAAAACTGGAGCCTGGTGATAAATCCATCAAACTCATCTCTTGACCATTAATTCAAGTTTACCGATAATAAATGTTTGTGGGTCGTACTAAAAACACGACATTTGTGTGTGGCTATTTACAGAAGATATATAAATATATATATGTATATATTCTGTAAAAAAGTTTACTGATTTTTTTTTGTATTTTATTACGTAATTGGATCTTAGTAAGAGCGCCAAGTTGCTTTTTGTTTTTTTACAGTTATTAAGACATGAATTCATTTTAAATTTAAAACAAAAACAAAAGGAAATAAAAGTTTAGGAAAATTAAGTCGAATAATATTTTTAAAAATTTACTAAAAAGTTCTTCATAACGATATATTGAAACAAAAAATTCAATTTATTGACGGTATACTTAGCTACGCTTATTTTTAACTTTGAAATATTAATATTCTTATTTAAATATTAATTAAATTTATCTCTTCTCGTTAACTCAAAGGCTCTATAGTTTCAATCATTATTTAGAAATTCTATGATTCAAATAGAAAATTATTTAAAAAAAAAATTTTCAAATATTTAAAAATCTTGAATATTATACTTAATAATTAACCTACACACATATTTGTGTGCATGCAGGTATTAATTATTGAATTACATGTAACTACTCAAAAAAAGTAGTTAATTGAATTTTTTTTTTAAATAATTGAATTTTATAAAGGTCATTTAGAAGGAGAAACACAAAATTTATATTACTTTTTCACTTAAACATATAGTTCATTCTTTCTATTGCTATAGGAAAGCCATTTAACTATTTAATTTAGCTCTTAATATTTTATTTAAAAAAAATCCCAGTTATGGAATCTTTTTTAATACTGATTAATAAGAATTAGATGTGTAAGAAAAAACTCAATTTGCAAAAAAAGTAATAAATGGGTTGAAAGTAAAAGAATAAATTAAGATTTGTATGAAATATATTCAGACTAAACATTAATTAGAAAAATAATAGTAGTGATTAAACCATTCTTACTTATTAAAATTTTTTATATGCGATTTTTGGATTAATATTAAATATAATAAAGAATTAACATATTGAGTTTGAATTAAAATGACAGAAAAAACAATTTTTAATTGATATTTTCTGAATATGATACTTCGTTTAAACTATGAATGCCATCTTTATTATATATACCAGATTCTTGGTCAATGCTATTAATAGATATTTGACATTTCTGTTTTAAAGAAGAAAGTTCTTCATCAAGTTGCTTAATAATAGATTTACATTGATGATATTTTAGTGCCATATCATGCAAGCATGTTGACAAAAGTTTAAGTTCCATCTGAGTTCTTTTTTCAATATCTTTTTTTGCCGAAAGATGTAATTCGACTTCTTGTTCTCTAATCATTATTTGTTGTTTCAAAGTAGAAATAGTAGCAAAGTCACTATCTGAAGACTTTTCAGAATGAGATGTAGAGTCACCAGGGGCTGCTTTATTTCCTTGTGATTCCAATAATTGGATACGTTTTTGTTCACTAAGAAGCAACTGTTTTTGCATATTTAATTGTTCAGTTAAAATTGAAAGTTGAGTAATATAAAAACTTTCTGTTCCAGGCTTAGGGAATGACTCAACTTCTTCTAAATTAATATCAACTTTTCCTGCAATAGATATTCCGTTATCATCCAATAATTTAACTAAGACTTTAACTTGGTCTTGCTTTATTTTAAGCTCTTTCTGGAATTTTTCTTGTTGTTGTTTTACTTTATTTAATTGTTCATTTAACTCATCCTTTTCATTTTCATTTTTTTCAATTTCCTCTTCTAAATCTGAAATTCGATCCTTTAGTAATTGTGTTGACTTTTTGTTACCTTCAGAATCTCCACCGTCCCCACCTCCCCCACTACCTCCTCCATTCTCTAATTCTTCTAATTGCTTAATTAGCTTTTCATTTTGTCTTTTTAATTCCAAAAGACTATCTACCTTTTCTTTGAGCTTCTTAATTTGTTGTTCCAGCCCTTCAACTTTACCAGCTTCACTCTTATATTGATCAATTTCAGATTGGAGATCCTTAATATCTCCTTTTAGTTTTGTCTCCAATTCTTTTTTTTCTTTAATTAATTGTGTTTTTTCATTTTGAAGATTCCAAACTTCATTTTCAAGCTTTTCAGTCTCTTCAATAGCAGATTTAGGTTTTGCTGAAACCTTTTTAAGTGCATCCTCAGCAGTTTGTCTAGCTTTCTGCTCAGATTTAAGTTGCTTTTCCAGAGCATCTATTCTACGTTCTAATTCATCAGCATGAGCCAAACTAATTCCTACTTGTCCACCTCCAACTCCAGATCTATCTTCTTCAACTTCGTCAGATTCTTCCTCTCCTTCAGCAAATTCTCCCGTTATTTGAATCATATGTTGTAACTCTATTTGGGCATCTTCGCTTAAAATCATCATATTACTAATAACATCTTCGTTATACTCACTTTCTACTGCAAATACTATAACAAATCCACATACCCTACATATTTCACATAAAATCTCATTCTGTACTTTTCCTTTTTTTTCAATAGCTGAGGCAATCAAGTCATAATCTAAAGTATCAATTTCATCACGAAATCTCCCATCCATATAATCATTAATACCGTCCATTAAGAAATGTAATCCCTTAGCCATTTCTGCACTATGCTCATCAGTTAGAACATAATCAGCGAAAAACATTGGAGATAATTCCTGGATAAATAGAAGTAAATTACTTGGAATTAATACGTCAAATACATCATTACAAGTAACATCACCATTCTCCATTATTTTAAATGTTTTAAACCACTCAAAACAACACTTTAAAGTGTTTTGTGGATTCTTAATTTTTGCTTTCATTTTTAAAAAGTATGTAAATTAATTTTTTCTGTTTTGAAAATTTCAAAAATTAAACACTTAACTTTAACTTGGATTTAATTTATTTTCTTTGATTCTCCTTTTTTTAAAATATAAATATATTTATAACATTATATAATAATTGCTCAATTTTATGATTATTTACTTAGCAAAAATTGCCAAAATTCTTCTTTTTGTTATACAATTAAGAACAAACAGAAATAATATAATTCAGATATAAGCTACTTCATATATCCAATATGTTTTTAAATTATTCTTACACCTTTTTTTCTATTTTTGTATATACTCTTCTATATATTTTCTTCTATTTAAAAATTATCGGACTTTATATTATTCATATATACATATATATATAATATATATTACATAAATATATATATATATATATATATTTGAATCCTTAAAAATTCTTAGTCTTTTTGTGCTTCAATTTTCAACTTATATACATATATTTATATGTATATCTTTTTTTACCTTTTATTTTCTCATCTCTTATTCCCCATGTGTATATTTTGTGCAATTAATGCACCAATACACACTTGGCGGGAGAATTCTGCCGCCTTAAATTAAATATTTATAGCTAAAAATAAGACAAAATTTGTGGGATGAAAAAAGGAAAATCTCAAAATGAAAATAATTAAAATATCTGAATTTATTAAAATCAATTAGGAAGTTATAAATATTTATAGCTAAATTCCAAATAATTTTAAGATTCTCACGGCTAATAATATAAGTTGAAATAGAAATAATTGTAACATTGCGTTAAAGAATAAATAGAATTTAGAGAATTGTTCTTTCTTTAGGAAATTGAGTTCTGGACTATCAGAACACAATTAAATTAAAAATAAGTTGCTTTATTCATGATTTTTAATGAACTAAGATAATTGAATGGAATTTAATTAAATTAATAATTGTAATTTAAAAAGTACAAGTTGACATTTTGAAATAAATCCCCACTTTTCACCCCTCTTAAGTAATAATTTTTTTTTTTTCTAATTAAAATAGAAAAAACTAGTAATAATTAGTAGTTTTCTGAATTATAAAGAAAACTGACCATAATTTTAATTGTTAGTTATTGCAAAATAACTTTACCAAAAAGTTTCTTAATTTAGCTGAGGGAGATCTGTTATACCCTTAATTCATGTTGCTTATTAAAGAATAAACAATTAAGTAATAAATAACTAGCGAAGAAATATTTGATTAGATGGATTATTTTTAACAAACCATATAAATATAAGTAGATAGAATTAATTTATAAAGGAAGATAAGTGAAAATAATGGCCATAGTGGATAGAAGGATTACGAGCTTTGAACTAAGGCAGAGCACAGAATCTAAGCTCAAATCTTCAAAGTTGGTTGAAAGCAAAAGCATCTTGAAAAGAGGAAGAAAAAAATATGAAAAAAGGTACTTCTTGAATATTGAATATTTAAACATTTCTTGTCAAAGCTCGGTGGCAGTTAATTCATCCAAGGATTCAAATAGTAAGAAGAGAAAAGCTGACAAATATTTAGAAACAACAGGAGTGAAAACTAGGAAAGGGTGTAAAGGAAAGAATGAAAGCTTTAAATATTTTGAAAATTCTAATGGGATAGATCAATTTGAAGGAAATACTGGGATGATTAAATCTCCAATAGTAACTTCTCAAGGATATCACTTATATACACATCTTATAATAGAAAGCAAAGAAGAACGAGATGTTTTTACAGTTGGAGATCATGTAATGGTTTGTCTATCAGATGGAGGTGAAAGACCAGCACAAATTACAGCTTTTCTATATGATCCTGAGGAGAATTTACAAGGAGTAGAATTGAGATGGTTTTATTCAGAACATGATTTGCTTGATTTAGGTAAAATTATTGACAGATCAAAGCTACCGGATAACCTATTTACATTTGAGGAGGAATTTTTGGAAAGTGACAAATGTGAGGTTTTGGAAACAAGCGTAATAAAAAGAATGATTCGTATTTGGAATAGCAAAAAAGATTATTTAAAATGGACTAAAGATTGCCTAGAAATATATTCAGGTCCTCAAAAGTGTGATCCAAAAACAATTACCGGAAAAGAAGAGTCTTTTGTTATTTGTAATTATCATGATGAAAGATTAATGGAGTACATAAAAGAGTTTAATGACGATCTTCCTTCATTTTCAGTAGAAGTTTCTGATAATTATTTGGCTTTATATCTTGTTTTAACTGACACTGGTACAATAGTCCCAATAAGTGAAAGAAGAAATCTATCATATTTACTTTCAAGATGCAGTAATTATTATGGATATTATACAAATTATTTAGCATTAAAACTCTCAATGTCTTTTGGCCCACTTAGATCACATGTAAATGAAAATAACTTAGTCTTAAAAAATTCTTCTGGGAATCAAATTGAGGAATATCCTTTGAACCAAGCATCTGCAGACTTACATTGGTCAAAACGTCCAAAAAAAGTTCTTCCTTGTAGAGAAAAGGAACATGAAGAAATTACTCATGTGCTAAAAACATCTATTTTAAATGAAGGAGGTGGAGTTTTATTTATTGCAGGTTTACCAGGTACTGGTAAGACTGCAACTGTGTTGAATACTTTGGATATGCTTGAGATAGAGATGAATTTAAGTAATAAAAACGAAAGTAAGATTTCTGTTTGTTATATCAATGCTCTTCATTTAAGTAGTCCTGATCATTTTTATAGAACCTTCTTACAAAAGTTGAATGGAGCAAATACCTGGGCTCCTAGCAAGGAAGCATGCTATTCATCCTTAGATAAGTACTTGAAAGCTAAAGGTAGTCCAGTAACTATTCTTGTGATTGATGAGATTGACTGGCTTCAAAAGAATGCAAGTTCCAATTCTAATTTGGAAGGATCCAATAATTCATTGCTCTATACTTTATTTGATTGGCCATTCCAAAAAAATACCAAGTTGATTATAATAGCTATAGCTAATACAATGGATCTTCCTGAAAAGCTTATTCCAAGATGTACATCTAGGTGTGGATATGCCAGAATTAATTTTACTCCATTTTCTGTTGAAGACATGATCACTATTTTAAACGACAGAGTAAAGTATTTTTCTGTTAACTTATGTGAAAAAGCCATGGAAACTTCAAATAAAGTGGAAGAGGTAAGAAGAACAAGCCCCAGAATTAGAAACAAGAGCAAGAATATTGTCTCTGAAAACGATTTTGAGTCTATATTCTGTAGCAAAGCTATCGAGTTTTGTGCAAGAAGAATTGCTCAGCAGTCTTCTGATGTTAGAAGAGCTCTCCAGGTCCTTCACAGAGCTTGGGAGATATGTAAACAGGAATTTGAACAAAAGATTAGTTCAAAGGGAGATAGAAACAGTAAGAATAACAGAAAGTTTCAAGTTCAAATTCCACATGTACAAGCAGCTTGTAAAGAGGTATTATTGAATAATGTGTCAATTAACCTAATTGAAACACTTCCTCTAGTTTATAAAGTGTTTTTGGCCTCTCTGATTTTGGAACTTGAGCTTAAACATAGAATGAAACTTAAGGAAAAAGAAGATGAAAATGAGGATTTTTATGAGGATGATGGATTTTTAAACCTTGATAATGACAGAGTCTACGAAAATTCCGTTTCTTTATTTAAAATTGAGAAAAGAATGTTTACAATTCTTTCATTATCAGGATATGTATACATGGAGTACTTAGATACATCATTTATTAAGATTATTATTCAGAAGTTAGTATCATCAAGAATTATTCAGACGTTTAAAGGAGCTTTGATTTCTTCTTCTTCATCCAGTGAATTTGAGCAAGAGAATGAAATTTATTATGAGACTCTTAATATTTTTGGGTCAGATGTTTGGGTATCACTCCTAATAGATGCTTTGGTGTTGAAGAACTATCTAGTGAAGAATATACCCTTCAAAATTCAAGGTTTTGAGTAATTCATAAATAACTTAAATATAAAGGGTAGGAAATTACAAGCTATTTAAATGAAATGATTAATTAATTAAAATAGCATTTATCTAATTAGTTTAGCCTATTTGAATTAGCTAATATATCTTATTTTATAATTTAATATTTAAAATGAGCCAATAAGTCATCTTTACAAATGGGGCATACAGTTCCTCTTTCAAACCATGATGTAATACATTTTCTACAAAAACAATGAGTACATGGAAGCCATAGAATTTCCTGCTGATCCTTAAACTCATCCAAACAAATTAAACACATTTTTTTATCATCATCCAAATTCTGAGATCTGGATAAATTGAATTTTGAGACTGGTAATGCATTTTGAATATCTACTGGTAAACCTAAAATATCTTCTTGATTTTGCGATATTCTATCTCTAAGTCTATTAAGCACTATTGTTATATTACCAGCCTCACCATTTCCATATACTTCTTCATACTCATGATCGTCGTACTCTTGATTGTGCTCATGCTCATTTTCATTATACAAAGTCTCTTCATCCTCAGAATTTCCTGACTCATCACTATCATTTTCCTCTATAATAATTTGTTCTTGGCCAATAATCAATGATCTACTTCTAATATCGTTATTCCTTCTAGACATTATATCAGAAATCTCATCATCATCAACCTGAATAAGTTCAATTACATCATTATCTTCATTATCACGCTCTTGTTCGTCGTTATCTTCTCCTTCCTCATTAACAATAAGATGATCATGAAAATGATTATGAACATCTTCCATAGATAAAAATCTGGGTCTATTACTGAGTCTATGATTTACATTTATGTTTCTACCACATTCAATAGTTGATCCGCCACTTCTTGTATTTCTGAATTGAACATTATGACCAGAAGAATTCTCCCTTTGAGTAGTGTGCCTTCTTTGTATTCTATGTGATAGGTTGTCGAAAAGCTGCTCAATTTCAACCCCATTCCTCTGAATCTGTTCATAAATTGATTGGCTTCTGTGAATTCTCTCTGTTAACCGATTATGTTCCCTTTCTACTAAATCAAACTGTTCCATAATTCTATCAGCAAAACTTCTACTTCTATTCATAAAACTACTATTGTTCTCAATTGTTTCTCTAGAACTAATTCTAGGTCCAGAAGTAATTCCAATATCTATATTTGGACTACTCATAGACATTGACCTATTTAATGCTCTTATATCATTAATTCGGCGATTATATACAGTATTTCCATTACTTACTTCAACACCAAAAAAACGACTTTGTGGGTTTCTTACACTCGAACTATGATCTCTTTCAACCACATAGTTTCTATCTCTATTAAAATGGTTAGGTTCATTTACCATTCTCACTCTTGATTCATTTGCTAATCCTCCAAATATACTACCAGTTATATCCCTCAATGGAGTATAAGGCCTTGAAAAATTTTCAAAACTCCCATAGTGTCTGATATCAGGATAGCCGGATAAACATGTCTGAAACTCTCTAACTAATATATGGTTTGCTTCATCTCCTCTCTGTCTGGAAGGATATATATTTGGCCCCATTTACTTTATTCTTCTTTTATTCTCTATTCTAAAACTTCCAAATTACCAAATCACTCTATTTATCTAATTCTAATTATATTAATTTGTTGAATAAAACTTATTTCTACTCTTTACTACCTTTGTTTTTTATTCTCTTAAATCTTTTTATTTTTCCCTAACTCGTCCATTAATTTTATTAGATAAAGAACTTGGCGCCTAAACAGAGGGTACCGAATAATAATGCAAAATTCAAGATAAAATTAAGAGGGGAGCAAGAAATTCAAAAAATATCATGAATATAAGTTTAAATTGAGTGAATTCACACTTATCGAAAAAAATTAAGGATTTATTAATATTGATAGACTTGAAATATTTTTATTTATACTTGCATGTGAAATCATTAACATAGCTAATAGTAATTTAACATTTAAGGCATCTCTTAAAAAGAGAGCAAAAAAAAAGGTATTGATATAAACAATTTATGTTTTCAGTATGTACTATCTGGAGTTGAATTCAAATTTAAAATCTTTCGAACAAAGTTTAAGAATATCTTTTATTATGTTAAATTAAATTTCTGTATAATAAATCAAACTTAATAAAAATTCCGGTAAATAGTAAACGAGGGAAAAATAAGCCCTAAATAATTTATTTGATAATTAGCCAAAAATAAGGTAAACAATCAAATTTTGAGAGAAATCTTCTCCTTTTAAATTAATTAAAGAAAAAGAGATATTTTATACACATTTTATTGAATTATTTACCTAAATATACCGGCTAAACTAATTATTGTTCTATTTGTAACAAGTCTAGTATGAATTTAAATGATATTTTTAATTAAGGAATAATGAGTAACCAAATTAGAGATTTTTGTGATATAGCTATTTTGAAAGCTTCTTATGGGGTAAACATTGGTCAAACAATTTATGTGAGAGTAAGTTAGTATATTTCTTATCTATTTATATATATATGTAATTCTGTAATTATTATTATTTTTCATTTTTTCCTAAGTGGATAATAGGTACCGAATATTATGATGGTATTGATTTGAGAGAATGTACAGAAAAGGAGGAAATTGTGTGGTGGCCAGGGAAAATATTAATGACAGAAAAAGAGGAAAGAGATTCGAAAGGCAGAAGAATATATATGGTAAGTTTACCAATCACCAAACTTAAGGAGTCTTTAGTTAATTTATAAAGTTAAGACTTCATTTGTATTGTTGGAAATATATCTCATTTCTTTTTAAACTAACTAACTTCTTTTTAATAATGTAGTTAAAATATGAAGAAAGGGATGAATTCAAGTCAGATAATGCCAGAGTTGTTTTTGAAAACAATGAGAGAATATCTCATTTAGATTATAATGGGATTTCTTTAAGATATTGCAAGACTAAGGATGAGATTGAGAATATCAAAGAAAGTTATGAGAGTATGGAGCATACACATGAAGGAATAGAAGATTCTGAAGATGAAAAAACGATTAGTATTCAAGAAATACTGGAAGGAGATCTTTTTGGATTTAGTGGTTCAGATGAGAGTGAATCTGGTGAAGCAGGAACATTAACAGGAACAAGTGAAAGTGGTGGTTTTGCAAGTATATTTAACTCCTTACCTCATGAGAAGAAAATCAATCTAGCTCAAGGTTACAGAGAATTTGCTGATAAGTTTTTATCATTTTTAAAAAGTAGAATGAATGATGACCAGAACAAAAATACGATAACCATAGATGATGTAAGAGACTTTATTGCTTTTTTAGGCCTGGACACCAATAATGGAGAAAATGCAAATAATACAGGAAACAATAAGTAGTAATTGTAATGATTATTAACAGTACTATGGAAAAGAAAATTATTTAAAACTTGGTGGACAAATGTAAAACTTGAATTTTTTCTTGATTTTACCATAAAGTCCATACTTTATGTAATTAGCTCAAATTATAGTATAAAAAAATATGCATTCACAATAATTAAGTATATAAACGCATAGTATTAAACGTCTAGTTTTCTCTACATAAATTTACTACATTTAGAATCATCTAGTTAGTGTAACCTTTCTGTTTATAAAGTAGTAACATTAATATATCAAAAATTTTCCCAGTTAAAGAGACAACAAATCCATAGATGTGACACTATTATTGTTTGACTGTAAGTTTATACTTCCAGTATGACTAGTATCTCCTTTATTATCTTTTAATACACTAACATTAGAGACAGGAAGTCCAAAATCCAAAAGCTCTGAGCTTTGGAACTTGTTTGAGCTCATATCATTGGAATTTGATATAATATTGTTGCTGTTAATGTTTGAAATCGGAGTAGAGTAAGAAATGATATCATCAATATTTATAAGCTCGTTAGTATTTGAACAACTAACAGAAAAGTTGGAATCAATGTTATAAGGAAGAGCATCAATATTCGATTCTGAAGATGAAATTAAAACTGAGTGATTATGAGATTCAGATAAAGCCTGAGAATGATGTTGAATTGTATTATTATTGTTTATATTAACAAAATATTCTGAAGGTTTTTGGTATACAGATGAAATCATTCCAAGTTCTCCTATTAACTTTTCAAGAAGCTTTGGTTCAATATCAAAGTTTTTTGAAGATATTACTGTCTTTTGTGAAAGAACAACTTTTCTAGTCTCCTCAGGATTTGTAGAAAGAAGTCTCCAGTATATTAAGGCTCTATCTCTAACATCAGGATTTTCAGCATTAGTAGTTGCAAGCCTAAAAATATCAGTAACTAATTGTTGATTATGAATTGGAGCCTTAAGGAAACATTTTACTATGGTTGTAAGTATTTGGAGTTGAACAGAAACTGATTCTTCAATAAAAACATCTACAAAGTATTGGAGAAAATCACTCAAAGTTTCGTTCTTTGTGCTTGGTTTTGACCCTTGAACGAATTCATAAACTTCTCCTATAATCCAAACAAAGGCAGATCTCGATTCAGGCTCAACAATACATTCGGATACTTCCATTAATAGAGGAATAACATTCGGGGATAACTGTGGGTAAGATCTCAAAATATCCCTTAAGGATATAATTCCCTCTTGAATTATATGGTCCTGGTGAGAGGTTGTTATAAGCTCTGTAAGAATCTGAAAACATTTAGAAGCAGTTTCTTTGAATTTTATAGATATTAATGCAATAATCTTAATAGAATTTCTTGAGAATTCAATATTTGTATCAGTACTATATTCTTTTAATTCCTTTAATAGATTATTAGCGGTATCTACCGATACCATTCTATATAGTAAATTAAGCTTCTCAATCTTTATGTAAACAGGATCATTATATTTACAGTAAAAGAGCTTCATTTCTGACTCAAAAAAGCCAGGGTTTGATTGTACAATTAACTGAACATTCCTTAAGACCACATATTGTATTTCAGGAGGGGACGTTGTAAGTAAAGTAACTAATGGTGGTCTTAATTTACGTAAAGTACCTGTAATTAGTTCATCATTTTTAAAATTTTTAAGTAAATTCAAAATAGCTCTTACTGTAGAAAGAACTACTGCAGGATTAGCATGAGAAAGTCTAGAAGTTAACCTATCAATAATTTGTTCACTATCTTTCTCGGATGCTACTTTCCACTCTGCTACAACATTCAATATATAAATTTGACCCCATTCAGTACATTCATTTAAGGCTTGTAAGATCTGGTGTTTCTCTACCTCACTAAAAGCTAATCTATAGAACCTTTGATCGTCATTTATTGTCTTATCTTGATTTTCCTCTTTTATTAATTGTAAAGACTCAAGCTGATGACCTTTGTTTATGCTAGTCTCATAAATCTCCAATAAGCTTGCAACAGTATTAGCTACTACCATTGCACTTTGATCCTTAAGCATACCTTTTAATAAAGAAAAGAATCCCTGTTCTTCCATTAGAGTAGGTGAAATATCGTATAACTTTGCTATACAAATCGCTGCAGTTTTTCTAACATAAGGATCAGGATCACTACATGATCTTCTTAATGGTTCAACTAAATACTCTGTAATTTGTTCAAGTCTAATATATCCCATAGTTCGGATGGCTAATGCTCTAATTAAAGGATTTGAATCCATAGAATCTTTGAAAAAAGTATTCACAGCTAAAATAGCCAATTCTGGCTGCACTTTTGCATAGTTTATTATATAGAGATATACTAATTTCTTCAGTTCAATGCACCCAGTTTGCATACAATTCAATACATCTGGAAACAATGAGGATACGTCTTTTCCTACTGTCATTGCTGCAATCACCTTCTTAACTGCTTCCTTTTTTTTTTCCTTACTAGATGAGTGCAGTTCTTCTTTTAATTCATGTAGCTCTCCTCTCTTTGAGCCTTGAAAGTATCTTCTATCATTCATTTCTATTAAATATTGTAATACACATACACCAAACCACAATCAAAAGATTTGTTTTAATTTGAAATAACAATATATCCAAAGACTTTCAAAGGTTGAGATTCTTAGTTTTTCCTGTTCTTTTATACAATATTAAGGAGAAAAAAATAAACAAACAATTCAGATGTAAACTCTCAGTGTTAATAATTCACCCTTATTTGATTATTCAAATTTTCACTTAAATACTTTATCTTTTTTAATTATATTTTTATGTTTATACCTAATTTTATTTTGGTATTTATTTTTATTCCCGATTTACATATCTTATTTTCCCCTCAATTTTTTTCGGTACCGTAAAACGGCATATGGTTTGGGCGGGAATCCCTCAATAATATTAAATTATAAATTAAATCTAAAATTGAAAATTAAAAAGAGAAAAGTTTTAAAGTTTGAACAAAGTTATTTAGAATTATATTGGGAATTATGATGTCTAATAGTTACCATAGTAACTTTTGTTTGTTTTGAGAGAAGTTGCACTAAGTTTGGAACTTAGAAGATCAATATAGCTGTTATTGTTTAGTCCATCAACCATAGATAATGGATATTGATTTTGTTTGTTTTCGACATTGTTTTCGTCATTGTTTTCGTCATTGTTTTCGTCGTTATTTTCGTCATTGCTTTCATAATTATTGTCATAATCCTCGTTCAAAGTACTTCTGAATGTATCTAGTTCGTCTTTGTAGTTACCTTCGAAGTCATCCTGGTCATCAAAATAGTTGTCGCTATTATCTTCTTTGAAATCTGAGTAGTTTTCACTTTCATCATCTTCTGAGTGGCCTTCAATAGAATAAGTTATATTTTCTTTTCCGTATTCTTCTTCCTCAAAAATATATTCCGAATAGGGACTAGCAGAATTGGAAGGTAAAGTATTGTTGTATTGAAGATGGTTGAGGTCAGGAATATCAATATTCCATTTGTGATTATTAAAAATGGATAAAAGAAAGCTAAAGTGTTGGTACTGGATATTGTTGGAAACTATTGAAACTTCAGAGCAAAGATTATCCCAAAGTAGAATAAAGTTATTCATAAAGCTTATTGTATTTTTGATAAGAGATTGCCACTCATCACTCTCCCAAGGAAAATTAATTTCTTCAACATTTGAAAATGAGTAGTTAGCCTCAATAAATTCACTCAAATTATTCCATCTTGATACTTCTCGAAAAACTGAATGACTCCACTCGCTTGTTAAAATTAAGATGGATGTCAATGGGTTTAGAATGGAAGGTAAAAGAAACCCAGATTTCAGAATAAGTGTTTGAACAAGATCATTATGCTTTTGTATAATATTTTCAAAGTCTCGCTCTTCCTTTACTTTATCAAGAAATTCAGTGAAATTTTGGTCAACAACAAAATGTTGAAGAAATGAATAATATTCTCCAATAGTTACTTGCAGAACCCATCTACAATAAAAGATATAATTCCAGAAATGATTCACTGGATGTTCCATAAAAAATGAGGAAAAAGTTCCTCTTCTATTTCCATACCTTAGGTTAAAAGTTTCTCTCCATACCCTTTCAAGTCCATTATATGTTCTAAAAAATAGCCAATAAAAATCAAATAGATTGTAATAATGTTCCATATTCTTTTTTGTAAATAGAAGTGGTAAAGGCCAGTCAAATTTTTGGACTATTCTTAATCTGAAGATATGGTGGTCAAAGCTAATTCCAGTTATATAAGAATTCAATGAGACATTATTTAATAAATTATAGTTATAGCTTGTACTTGATATAGTACCTATACTGCAAGAGTTTGCTAGTTGAGAAATTACATCTGAATTATTAGAGGAACTTATATGGCACCACTTAATAACCTTAAATTCTTTCTCTTTTTGAACTTTCTCATAGTCATTATGTCTTATTAAGTGTATATAACATGACGAAGTTTGCAAAGGTAGGCAAATATCAATATTAATATGTTGAATACTTAATACCTGTGTTGGTCTTCCAAAAAGTGAATTTGAGCCAGCAAGACCATTCTTCAATGGCTCCATGTATATTGAAATGTTCGATTGTTTGAATAAAATCCTTAGTCTGTATGTGTATAAGTCACCTTCCATTAAATTAATAAAAGGATTAGGGATTTCAATTAAGTTAGTCTTTAGCATTGAATAGTCATTTTCAGTATTCAAAAGAGATTTCAAATGTTTTGTATGCCAGTATAACTTAATGCAAAATTCCATGACTTGTTTTTTCTTGTCTTTAAATCCAAAGCTCCAGGTGAGTCTTAAAAACTCCCCGTCATGCTCTGATCCATCTTCCTGAGAACTATTAAGCCCACCAACACTAAATGGAATTTTGCTAGATGCTGTGAGTAATAAGGAAGAAACTAAATTTACAGAAGAAGCGCATTCTAATATATGGTTGAAACCATCTATGATACGTATAGGCCATTTAATCTTGCACATCGAAATCACATCAACATCGTCATAAGCTGTACCAAAATAACCATCTTCAGTACCATAATCTTCAGAAATGCAACCTTCATTATCTCTATCAGTTGCATTTTCCAATGTCTCATTCTGCGAATTTAAATATTGTCCTGCATGCATCCCAAATTTCCCGCCAAGATGGAGTATATTATCATTTGTAAAAGAACAATTAAACACGTCAATTAATTCGAACTCATTTAAATTAAAATTGAAAAGGTCAAATGTATCGCAACAAAGGTTAACTTTGGAGTTTGAGAAATCATGATGTGAGTTTGAAGTGTTATTACCTAATTTGATTAAAGTTAAAAGGTCTTTCCAAGCATTCGAGATGAATTCGGATTGCACGCTATAATTTGTATTACGTGTGTGGGAGTCATCATAGGTTATATTCCTGTAGAAAATGGAATTATCTAATTGAAGAAAAGCATCAGAGGTTCCAAGGAAATATAAATTTCGAATTAACTTAATGTTTTGAGAAAAAATGTTTTCAAATGCCAATTTTTGGGTAAAGTCTGGCTGATTTCTTACAATGATAGAGTCATACATAAGGGAAGAAACATCTCTTCTAAATTTCTCTAGAAATCCCTCCATATGTGACTGAATATGCGGAAATGACTCATTTAAAATACTGGAAACTTCTTCTAAGTAGCTTTGAAATCCAGTTTTGTTCATTCTATCTCTAATATCATTGCTTCCATATCTGTTAAGAAGTCTCACCTAAAAGTAGAGAAAAATGTAATAACAAGAAAAAACCGGTAAAAATCTTTTTTAAGGACAGATCAAAAAGGTAAACTTACAATTTTTCCAATTCCAAAGATTTTGTATAAAAACTTTACTGTAAAGAACTTCTTAGTAAAAGATTCATATCTGGTGTAAAATAGTCCTTCCCATTCAAACACTCCACAATGGATAGCTTCCTCCTCACAATAAAGCTTGCAAAGATTTTCTTCTAAGTCCAGAGCCTCAATACAACTATATTAGAGATGAGTTTAAATAGTTAATTGGTTAAAGAAGATACCAAAAGTTGTAATTCTCTGATTTTGGTGTAATTATTCAAACTTACCTATCATTTGAAGGGAATGAAAATGATACTGATAAGCTGTCATCTTTTTTGGAATTGGAAGAATCAATAGGAATTGAAATGGAAAATCTCCCAACAATAAATTCCTCAAAAGGGTCAACTAACTTTCCCAAAATAATCCAATTTATCATTTGATAGCAAAATACTCTGCTACAAACTAGAAGAAAGTTCCTACTCACTGATTCTTGGAGTAAATCTCCTGAAGATGTTCCTAAATAGAAATAATCCAATATATATCCGCATGGAACACTTATATATATTTCACATACATTTTCAAATTTTTCCATTGTAATGAACATATTTGAAAATGAGAACTTGCAAGTAGAATCTACTCTAGAGTTAAGAGCTAGATTATACCATTCATCAATGAATTTCATAAATTTATCTAAAACTCTAGATGGTTTTGCAATGGATGTGAAAACAAAAGTAAGAGGCAAACTTGGATTGTCAAAAATTTCTCTTTCTAACTGATTAATTTTCTGAAGAAATCTAATAATATATTCCTGCATACATTTTGCTATTGCGTGTATATATAATCCAACAGGGTTAATTCTTAGTAATCTTTTCTTAAGATCAGCCTTAATTTGAAGCTGGTGGTTTTTCTCATGGGTAACTTCTGAACAGGAAGCTGAGTTTGAGTTCAAATTTGAATTGTAATTATTATGTCTATTGTATACTGAACCCTGAACTCTTTTAACAAATTCATTAATGGAATAGAAGTCGCTAGAAATATGCAGAATCTTGTTAACTAACAGTTTTTCAGTTTCTGACAAATAATCTTCCACGCTAGATTTCAGTCTTAACCTATATTTATAACTAAACAGGGATATTGAGTTACTTGTAAATTCGATGGGTTCTAATTCAATTTTATCCCCAATAAACCCTGTTAAAGAAAGTAAAATATCATGTATCATTTCTTTTAAAGCCCCACTTCGAATCAATCTGTCAGGTCTTAAATACCAAAAGGTTTGTATCTCTAGACGCTAATTAAAATAGAAAATCATAAAGTTTACTTTCTCATTCATATTGTAATTTTATATCCGAAATTTTATAAAATGATATATTATTTCTTTTAATATAAATTTGTTCCTTTTTTTCCGCCAGCATTTTCTTTAAGTTATGCAGTGGGTAACTAATATTTCTTTTAGTGTATATACAAAAATAATTGGCTTACCCTCATGTAAAAAAGGCGCCAATGTTAAAATTACAAATTTGCATGTAAAAATAAGAATTGAAAGATTGAAAAAATAATTAGTAGTAACATTAATGTTTATTTTAAGTAAATGATTATTATTTTGTAAACTTTCTCTATTGGTATGTATTTTCCTTTTAATATAGACATTATTATATTGTAGTTAGTAGATTTAAAATGAAAGATTTTGACAGAATAGGGCTAAATTCACGTAGTTTTCATTGATTAATCATAATTCATCTGAAAAATAAAATGAGGAATTTGAGAATATTAATTTGATGTTAGTCATTATAAGGAAGGTTTTCAAGGTGACTCCAATACTCTTCAATCCTTCTGAATGAAGACAAAGCTAATTCGTAGGAGCTTTTTCTCCCCAATAACCTGCTCTTCTTTTCTAGATTTCTCTCATATTTTGTAGAATCAAACTCAAGACTTTTCTGATCTGTTACCATAATGTAATACTCTAACTTAGCATTAATCTGACAAATTTTCGATTCAATAATTTCAATAATACTCAAAACTTCATCTTTAAACTCTTGCAATGTGCTCTCTGAAGTAATGTACCAACAAGAGTTTCTAATTTGCCTCATTAAAGAAGTAATTTCTTCTTGTTTCTTGTTTTTTGTTTCCAATTCAATCAATTTATATTTTTCATCTTCGGAATTCTCAACTTGATCATTAACCTCCTCTTCAATGTTAATTTCCGTTTCTTTAATGTACCTTATTATCCCAGAATTATTTAAAACAGGATTTTCCAAAAACTCGATTTCAAAGCCTATCATTAAAAAACATTTGTGACTATTGAAATACAATTTAGGATTAAATCCTAATGTTTCTCCTTCTGCGTCAATCATTAATTCGCCTTCAGTTTGAACATTATTTTGAGTATCTTCTTTATTACCTTCCATTTCATCTCCAGAACTTATATTTCCACTCTCGGAAATTGGTAAATCTAAATTGCTTCTTTCCATATCATCTATAAAGATTAGTTGATCCTCTTCCTCATTTTCCTCAGATAATTCACTATCAATTGATTCATCAATATCATATAACAGTTTCTCAGATATATCTGTATCATATATATCTGGGTCAATTTTTCCATTATTTAAATCTCCTCTCGAAAATGGTCTAGTTTTGATTAGTGAAATTCTAAAAAGAATGTTCTTTTTCTCTGTGAAATCACAGAATGATAATACAAGGCAAATAAAGGAAAATAAATTAATTGGTTTCATTTACTTTAGCTTAATCTTTGAAACTAAAAATAGTGTAAAATGTGACCAATTCCATTTTTCCCTCGTTAATACATTATTGCGATTATAAATTTATATAACATTGGACAAAACTATATTATTAATTTCAGTCTACAAATTAAAAGAGAAAAAGAATGAATTATTTTTTAAAAGTAATATCCACCTAAAAGCTTATATAATTCAACATTATTTTCAAAATTCTATAATTTCAATTAATTAAACTACATAGTACTGCTAACATGCAAAAAATTTAAAATCTATTGTATATAAAATTTGCCCCTCTTTTAATGAATTTTTTTTCAAAACTAATTAGTCTCCTTATTTAAATTGCTTATGTGGTATATTTTTACATTTTAAAACTTAATATAGAAAAATATTGAATAGGGTTCTTTCTCATGCCACTATTTTTAAATGGTATTTATTTAATTTTACTTTCATCACCAATACATTATTCCACTTAATAATTTGTGCACATTTTGGCGCCAATAATGGTGTCATGTGGCAAATAGTCAAGTGTCATGTAAGACTAAAAACAGAAGTGAGATGTATTGAAAAGATTTTTTAAAAATTATCAAATTAAAAAAACGGGAAAATAAAAAACACAGTTAGGGAATTTGTGAGAGGTTGGGAGGAATTAAGTGTAACTAATGAAGATTTGACTATCAATACTTATGAAACAAGATAATGGGATGTTGTGCCACAAAAGATGTGAGTGCGTTAAAGAATACTAAATCAAAAAAGGATAATCATAGCTCAAAGCTATTTCAGAATATAATTAATAGCAATATTTTTGAGAACCGATTATTATTTTTTCGAGATTTAATAAATGTTGAGCAATCAAATTACAAAAATAAAGACCATGCTTCATCGATAGAATTTATTCATCCTCAAATGAAAGAATTACATGCAATTTGGATAATCTCAATGTTAAAGAAACTAAGATCTGAAATAGATACAATCTTTTTATTATCGCGATTAATTGAAATAATGGAGTTATTGGACCCACTTGATGGAGATTCCATTATAAGGAATCACATGTATGAGTCAGGTGCTGTAGAAATATTGTCAAATATCATAAAATATCATAAAAGATCCCCCGAAATTGTGTTAATATGTATTTTCTTACTAACGCATTTATCTTTTAATGATGGGATTTCAGAAAAAATGGTTCTATTAGTAAGTTCATTAAATAACTTATTATTTAATTTAAAGATTAACTTAAAAATTCATTAATTTCAACTATCAAAGATTATACCTGAAATTTTGGAATTGTTTACACATTTGGAAAAGAATTTTTGGAGCTGTTCAGCAAATAATACGATTTTAATGGCAATTTTTAGATTAATTTTTATTTCTTCATCTGATTCATTAAGTGTATCTGAGGTGAGTAAATTAATATTAAAAAAACATTTTATGACTTAATTTTTTCTTATTGTATTTTGAAACTTTTAACTAATTGATTAATGATAGATTTGGGTTGATTCCAACATTGGGAAAAAAATTGTGTTGTATTTAAAAGATGAAAATGTTGATGAAAGAACTCAAGTTTGGGGATTTGCAGCTCTGAAATTTCTTATTAGATCAAGTTTAAAAGCATGTAACGAGTTTTTGAAATTAGGAGTTTTTGAATTAATAACAGCAAAGTTAGGGAAGAACCAAGATTTATTTCTTATTGAGAATATATTTTCAATATATGTTTCCATATTATCCACTTCTCAAGACTTTAAATTCAACAATCCCAATATTTTAAAGGAAATATTGGAAATTATTGATATTAATGTTAATAATGCCCAAATAGTTCAACAAGGCTTAATTATCTTAATTATATCATGTCAAAGAACTGAGGTTTATTCTCATATTGTTGCTGCACACGGAGCAAAGAAGATTATTCAATCAATTATCAATGTTTATAGAAAGAATTTCGAATTTACTCAGATTACTAAACTTTCAAAGCAGTTACTAAAATGTTTATGTTCATTTTGTTCAAAAACTACCTCAATCAAGCTCGTTAATAATCAGCTTGTTTTTTCACGTCAATTTGATCCAGGTAGGTTTAATATTACTTAAAAAAAAAATCCTTATTTAAAAAAAATTAAGCTTTAGATAACTATGGTATATTAAGGATGGATTGCATTTCAAAGAATGACCCAAAACAGCTTAAAATGTGGTTTTGATATCATTAGAAATTAATCAATCAGAAATCGAATTGTTAGAATTGGTATATTTCTAGAATGTTAGTTTATTCGAAGAGAAATGGAGAACAATTATTACAAAAGAAGAATATTCAACAAAAAGAATGATTCAAAAGTAAATATTGGATAATGTGTAGCATACTATTAAATATTATATTTTTTTTTGATTAACTTCCGATTTTTCTCTTACGAGGATACTAGTTAGAGCATACTGGTCAAAATTTGAATAAATAAGATTTAATTACCAAATTTGTGAAAGAATTCAATTAAGCTATAGAAAAACAGATTAGTATTATCATATTGACATAATAACATTAAAAATCATGATAATTTGGTTTAACAGTAAATAATATGGATACATTTTAATATACTTAAAAAAATACTATTATAAAAAAAAATAAGGCAAAATGTTAATAATAAACAACTAACATTACTATAATCAATTTATATTATTTATAATTTAATTAGGAAAACTTGCAATTTAATTATTAGTCATTTAGGCGGGCGATTCATATTTTGACAAGGTTCACTAGTAAGATAATCAAAGAAAAAAAGGTTAGAGTTAAAATAAATAAAAGAATGATGAATTTAACGACAAATAGATGAACTGTTGAAAATTAAGCAATGATATTAGATAATGTCGATCCAACAAATTTGGTTAGGAAATTTACTTTACCAAATAAGTTGGAAGTGCTAATTATTTCTGGCTCAGACAAATTATCGTCATCTGTGAGTTTTGGGCTGAATGTGGGATCATTTTTTGATCCAAAGGAATACTTAGGCTTTTCAAAGATTCTGGGCTGTATATTTCAGTATATTCAGGTTGATGGAAAGTATTTTACGAAATTGGTTGACTCCATACGAAAAGACAATCTAACATGTATAACATATTACTGGATTCCACAGTCTAGTGAAACTACGATTGAATTTTCAGGAGTTTTTTCATCTGAATGTTTGGATGAATATTTAGGAAGAATAAGAAATTCTTTGGAAGTAATGGACTATTCAGATGAAATTATAACTAAATGTTTAGGAAAGTTGAGAAAAGAGTACGAACACGAGATCAATTCTGGCACAACTCAAAGAAAGGCACTTCTAAAATCAATCTTTGAATCAGGATTAAAAGGATCACTTAAGAAAGATAAAGATTATGTGATTTCTGAATTAGTAGCAGAAATTAAAAAGTTTAAGAGAAATTATTTTAGTTCAAATATTATGAAATTGATTATAGAATCTTCACTCTCTTTTGATTATCTCGTTAAGTTGGTGACTAAGCATTTCTCAACTATTCCTAATTTAGAAACTGATATTAGAAAAATGAGTTATAATTTGGCATTGAGTAATTTGCATACTGAAGGCTTGTCAGGAAATTTGGTTGAATACAAAGGAAATAATAATAAGATATCATTTATGTTTGTATTTGATTCCGAGAAAGGAGCTCTTCTAGGCTCAAATAGGATGCCTTTATTTGAACATTTGGTAAAGTACTATTTTTGTGGAGATTTCTCAGGTTCACTCAGAAATGCAGTTTCTCCTCTTACATTAACTTGTAAAGTTGAATATTTTGCAGAAAGGCTTGCCTTTGTATTGCTTGAAGTGGAATCTGAAGGAATAAATATTGTATTTGAGGAAACTCTAGAGCTGGTATATAGTTCTGTGGTACTTCTTCGCAAGACCAAAATTGAGAGTGATTATTTAGAATTTCTTATGAATCACTGCATCGCAAACTATATGAACTATAATCTGTTTGATTACAAACTCAATATTCGGGATAGAATTAGCTCTTGGATTGATTATAATGTCTGGAATAAACTAGAAAGGTTTTGTAAGGATAAAAGACTCACTTTGGAAGTTTTTAATCAACTTTTGACTTTTCTTGATATTGATAATTTACTTATTTTTCTTAATTCAAAACAATTTAGCTACTCATTAAATAGCCATTATGAAGACTATGAAGATCAAATTAAATATAATGATGATTATTTAGAATATGGTACCGATCTTAGTGAAAATATTGGTAAAAACACTAGTATATACTTTAGTAGTTTAGGAAATGATGAAAATCTTGGTAAATATAATAAAAATAAAACAACAGATCAGGATGAAAGATATTTTTATAACTGTGAAGGAATATTCTTTAAGGTTAAATACAATTTTTTGAAAATTCCTAGAAGACTAGTAAATCGTTTAAAGAATACAAAGGAATCATTTGGTCTAATTAATGGGCTTTCTAGACCCTTTATTAACCCATATACTCCAAAAGATTTTAAATTGGTAGACTTTGTCTGGGAGGATTTTCCTAATACTAGAATGGCTGTAAAAAATATGGGTATTGAAGTCATATCAAATCCATTTGCAGAAACCAATGTTGAAATTTATCCTTCTAAATATTTATTATCAGGAGTAAGAGGAATATTTACAAATCAAATTACTCAAGAACATCATTTAGCTATAAGTAAATACCATGATACACAAATTTCTTTATTAGATAATATAAATATTTGGTATAAAGCTAGAAATTACAAGAGACAACCATATTTTAGAGGAATATTGAGATTAAGTTCACCATATAAATCATTCAAAATTATTAACTTAATTTTAACCTTTATTTTAGCAATATCAATGAAAATTATGTTAAACTTTTCTTTACTTAAAGATGCAAAACTTTCATTGAGTCCAAAAAATACTCCAGAATATTCTTCTGTTTTTCCAAGCTTGGATTTTGATATGAGTGGATACAGCTCAAGTTTATACCCTCTTTTAAAAACAATTTCTACTTCATTAAATTCAGAGGAAATCATTTCTGAAACTTTTTCTTATGATTCAATGCGAGCTTATGAAAGAAAGTTAATCAACAAAAAGAAATCAATGACTTCAGAACTTAAAGCAAAAGAACTTTCTTTGAGAATAACTATTCCAAATTACCCAACCTTGGCAAGACAATTTTTTGGTTTGAGCCAAACTAATCGAAAACAACTTTTTGATGAATTTAATAAGTTTAAAGAAAATCTTTGTATAGATGGATTATTTGTAGGTAACTTGGATAGAATTGAGTTGGAAGAATCTTTGAAGGATTTTTCTTCAATGTTTGGTTCTAAAGCTACTAATGTTCAATGTCTCAAGCTATTTAAAAGAAGATCTTTCCCAATTAAAGATGTTCGAGGGACAATATACAAAAAAATGATTTATCATTACGTTCGTCCTGATTCTTCTATTTTTTATGATACTTATATTAACTCAAATAATGAAAATAAAGAGATTAAAAAATATAATTCAACAGTTTCTATAGAAAATTTATTCAAATTTTTGAATGAGGAATGTGGCCATATTGATATTACAAATAGTACTATAGAGAGTGGTTACCTGGGTTTTGAAACAAGTTCTAATGAATTTGGACCAAATGTTGCTTTATTAGATATCATTATTTACAAGAATACTCAAAATTTGGATTCTGATGATATTGGAATTTTATATTTAAATGATGCCTATTATAATATTATATGGTTTAAAGAATCTCTTAAGATTACAAAGGCAAGTTTGAGTTTAAAAACTTCCATTCAAAAATTTGATAGCTATTATAAATGGAGCATTCAACTAGATTCTTGGGAATATTCAGCAAACGATTTAGGTTTATATATTTCTGAATTAACAAATGTTTACCAGAATAAACTAATATGGACTTTTAAAGAAGACTATGATATGATTAAAAATCTAACTATTTCTAAGCTCAAGAATGGACTTATTAAGAGAAACATTGATGAGGAGTTTAACTCTCATAAATTCAATATAGGGTATTCAGATTCTATAATAAAGGAGCTTGATAAGCTCAATTTTTTTGATTTTACTAACAAAATGAGTAACATTTTGCGTGATAATACTTTGTTTCTTTTGGTTCAAGTCCAATCTACATCTCTAAACAATAAATTTTTTAATATAAAATCTCGAAATCTTAAATCAAATAATAAAAATCATAATAGACTAGAGATGACTAAGAATGGCATGATCTCTATTCCATCAGGTTACAAGTACATCAAACATATAGATGAGCTGGTTCTGGATGATAGAATCCCCACAACTCCTTTAGATTTTGACGATGATGGCCTTTTATGACCAGATTGAAAGTAAGGTGTAGGTTAAAGGTAATAGTATTAAAAAAAAAAAAAAAAATGATTGGTTGGAAAGAGAATAATAAAAATAAAATTTAAATTGTAATTGTCGTCTAGTTGGGAATCATCTTAAATAATGAATAATAGGAAAAGTGTATAAATCTTCTAGAAGAAAGCACTAATAATTTGTCTTTTAAGTTTAGAAGATTTTGATAATTAAGTATAGTTTGTATAATTATTTAAATCTGATAATCAATCATATCACATTTATTAAATTATTAAATTTTGTCTAATGCTTAGAAAGAGTTTCGGTAGTAATAAACCATTTGGAACAGTAATCATTAAGCCATAAGTGATTAATTGCAGAGATAATACGGATGTATGTTTTTTTGGTTTGAATAATATCTGTGAAAATGATCCATTTTGGTTTGTCTTTAAGGTGAGAAACACTACTTGTAGGATGAATATTCACAAGCTGTCTGTTGACTTCTGTGAGGTACTGTTTGTTACTACTAGGGTCTAGCTTGGCAACATTTTGCCAGAAACTCTTTGTAAGACATTTGTAGAAAGGTGTCCACTTGTTATCTTCTTTTTGTTGTTCCTGTTGCTGTTCTTGGTTATTATCTGTAGAAAAAGAGCTAGAATCTGAATCAAGAGTACTAAACATAGTGCAACTATTGATGGTTTTTAGATTGAAAATTTTTCTAGTGATACTAATAAGCTGTTCTCTGATAGATCTTGCTCTTAAAAGACTGGTATGAGAAATGCCTACAGAGTTGCAAAAGTTAATTTGTTCATAGTTGTTACTAAAAGAGATATTATTTTGTCCATGATAAATTTTTCCTGAATCTTTTTGTAGAGATATCCAAGTATTATAAGTTTCAATTAAGCCAACATGGTCTCCAAATTTTGTCATAATTGACTTAAGATAATTCTTGTAGGATTGATCACTTTTGGATGATGAATTGTGAGTAAATCTGAGTTTCTTTTTACTTGGGCCAACATGATCTGAATTTTCATTTAAAGAACCAAATGTTTGATCTTTTTGATTACTACTATTACAATAATCTAGTAAACATTCAGCAGAAAGCATTGATACTAGAGTTATTGCTTCACTTGTACATCCAAACTCTATACTATGGTATATGAGTTTACCTAGGAAAGGAGGCACAGGAAGCATAGTTAATTTGATACCTAATTCAGTAATATTTCCACTCTTGTTTAAAGCTTCTAATCTGTAAAGAAACTTGAGAGTAGAAAGGATAGACTCTTTACTTGGATAACTTAGAAATGGAAAATTCAGAATCTTTTTCACAGAAACTTGTTGTTGATCATTAAGTAGAATATGGTCTTCATTAGATGAATTAGTTAAAGTTTCAAATTCAGGATTTACTTCTTTTTTTCTAGAAATATTATAGTTATCAAGAACATAAATAAGCTCGAGTAAAGTCTCGGATAGACTAGTTCTTAGTATCTCTGGAGTTTGAGAATTAAGAAAATCTGAATAGGCCTGCTTTGTGTAGATACGATAAACTTCTCCTGGTTGAAGCCGTCCAGCTCTCCCAGCCCTTTGTATTGAGGAAGCCTTGGAGATTTCTCTCATAACTAAAGCGTCAATGTTATTATTACTTTGAAAAAACTTGAGTTTTTCTAGGCCAGAATCTACAACATAAACTATGTTTGGTAAAGTCACAGATGTTTCTGCAATATTAGTTGATAGGATGATTTTTCTGTAATTTTCAGGGAGAACATCAAATACCTTACTTTGTTGCTCGGAAGGCATTGATGCATAAAGGCACTGAATAAATAAGCGAATCCTCTCAATATTTTCAAATCTTTGTTTACCTAAATAAAAAGTGATTTCTCCTTCTTGTTCAAACAAAGTCTCAATCTTTTTTGAAATAGTTGTTAAGTTTAAATATAAATGGTGGATATCTTCCTGACCAGGTAAAAATACTAGAATATCACCTCCTTTTGGCTTTGTAAAGTGAATGGTTAATATTGTAATCATGACTGCTTCCAAGTAATCTAATTCAGGTTCTGATAAGTAATTTAATTGTACAGGAAACTGCCTTCCAGGAACAGAATAACTACCAATCTTAAGCTTTGAAGGAGAGAGACTGTGAGAATGAGAACCGGTAGAGGCAAAAAAGTTTTCAAAACAAGAACTTTGAAAAGTTGCTGACATGATTACAACCTTTAATTTGCTTCCATTGAACAGTTCCATTTTAAGAAGCCCCAAAAGAAAATCAGTACGAATTGACCTCTCATGAGCCTCATCTACAATGATTACAGAGTAACTTTCAAAAGGACTTCTATCTCCTTTAATTGTAACGCACTCCCTAATAAGCATTCCATCTGTTAAGTATTTGATTTTTGTATACTTGGAGACCTCGGTTTTAAATCGAACTGAATAACCTACCTTATTCCCTACCTTGGTCTTTAGTAGCTTTGCAACATACTCTGCCAAAGAAATAGCAGCAATTCTTCTTGGTTGAGTCACTGCAATCATTTTTTTTTCCTCCTGTACAAAACCACCTTCAAGCAGGAAAGCCGGCAATAATGTCGATTTACCACTTCCAGTTTCTCCTACTATTACAGAAACATCATTTTCTCGAATTAATGATAATAACTCCTCTTTATGTTGATATATTGGAAGCATGTCAGCTCGTGACATTTTCTCTCCTCAGCTTGAGTGAAATTCTTTAATTCACTTTAAAAAGAATAGGGTGGCGCCTACATGTGGAATGCCGGTATATGATTATATTTGGCGCTTTACGTCATTTGAAATTAAATGGTCAAAAAAAACTTAAAAAGAATTAGGGTGAAAAAATAAGTAAAAGAAGCATAATTGTTTTGGATTTTTATTTAGAAAAAAGGATTAGTGTGTGCTGGGGTAGGATTTGTTTAGGGTGTGCTTGTTTGGGATAATATTCGAAAGAGAATGAAAAGAGGAATGAAAAGGAAGAGAAGGTGGGATTAGATCTTGATAACAAAAATAGCCAGTTAATATATTAGAGGAACAGAAGAGAAAGAGATACAAAAAAGAGCTGTAGAAATAGCTAACAATTTTTCAAAGTAAATAGACGATTTTGCAATTAAATTTGGTTAAAGGTAGGCTTTATTAGAAGAGAATGATTACAGATTATGGTAAAAACCGAATTTTGGTAGCGCCTGCACCAAATTGGTTTTGTAAAAGTGCATTATCTTTAAATGAGGAGAAAGGTTTCTATGTATACTCAACTAAGAATAGCCTAATTCTTGGGACAATTTTAGAGAATCGGATTTTGGGGTCTGTTTATTGTGGAATAAAAAGTAAGCCAATAGGCGTTACAATATTCATAAGTTCACATTTATCTGAGGAAGCAACTTTAATTGCTAGTACCCACTTTGACTGTAAAATAAGGTTTTGGGAGATAGTTGAACAGAGCAATGGAATTAAAGAAGTTTCAGAGAGAGATGACTTATATTCTGACGAGAAGCTGAAGCCATGGCAGGGAAAAGAAAAAAGTATTAATATGTTGGTTGATTCCCTAAAAATTAATTTAATTTCTGACTCAATCAAATGCAGTAGCTTAGCAAATGTGGTTTATTATTATAATGGGCAAGTTTTTGTCGGAGACGTACAAGGAGTGATCTTAAAAATATCGGTTAGTGATTTTAGAAATAAAGATAAGCCTGAGACTTTTACAAACAAATTTCATCCTATAAAAGAAGAAATTACTTTAATCGACAAGACTGCAGATAATGAAAAACTTGCTGTGGGATATAAAAATGGTCAAGTAATTATAATTAGTATTCTGAATGGTGATGTCCTTTTAATTTTGGAGGATGAATCTATGTTGAAAGAGAAATGTATTTTAAGCATCATAGATTTAAGTTCTCAGATGATTGTTAGTACTTCAAAAGGAAACAATAATTTGTTCAGTTATTGCAAAAAATCCGAGAAATTAGAAAAAATAGAACTTGTGAAAACTTTAAAGCAATCTATTTCAAGTCAAAAGATAGAAAAAGTTAAAAGAAAAAATCAATATAAAACTCAGAAAACACAAGGATGTTTTTGGACTTTATTACTCAGTTATCAAAAAGGAGCTAAGATTAATGGAGATAAGTTCTATATCATCATGGATCACGAAATTGCCGAGTTTGAACTATTGAAAAACAAAGAGATAGATATTAAAAGAAAGTTTAGTATTAAAAATAATGAAAAAGAAAGAAACAAAGATTCAATAAACTCTGAAATAATATTTAGTGTACTGAGTTATGAGTTTAACACCAAATATTACTTGTTAGGTATTACCAAAAGCAAGAGGGTATTTCTATTCAACACAACTGAGTGGAAATTAGAATGGATTATGAATACTTTGGGAGGTTGGATTGATGAATTAATCTCTCCAAATGGTTTCTCTCATATTATTTACATTTTAAGTGGAGAGGGAAAGCTCATGGGTATGGACTTACTGGAATCCCATAAGGATTTTACTCAAAGAATAAATAGTAGCTATATTTACGAAAATCTAAGTGGGTTTAATAAAGACGAACAAATCTCAAAGATATCTATAAATCCAATCAATTCTGAATATATCTTTTACTCGACAAATTTTGGTAATCTTGGCATATTGTATATTAATCCTGATAACATCAGTCATTATAGTAATATTAAAATTAGGATTGAAATCAGTAATCATGAATGTTCAAAACAAAAAGATATCTGTAACAAAAGAATTTGTGATCAGAAAAATTCTGAGTTTAAAGACTTTTTATCAAACTCAGATTTGGATTGGCTTGTATTATTAAGGTCCCCATCTTCTTGCTTAGAAGATCTTAAAGTGCCATTATCTGATTTCCAACAAAATATCCACTTCAAAAGCAATAATTCCAGCGATGGAAAATTCTTTAATAGTCAAGTAAAGTTATTTAATTCTTTAATTTACAATTTATACCGATTCCCAATTATACTCATTTTTAACTACAAAAAGAATAAATGTGTATATGCAGATTTAAGTCCAGGATTTGAAAATGGTGAACTTATTATTAATGCTATACCAAGAAGTTTTGAAATTCAAAGTAGATCTGAAATTGAAACCAAAGAAGATCATATAATTCGACTAAAAACTTCAAATAAAGGAATTGGAGCTGAATATTATAATACAGCCTATTTTGTGACTGTCAATGGGAAAGCTCAGATTGAATATCTTGGGAAGAATTTGCTTCAAAGTATTCAAACAAATAAATTGAACATCGATAAGGTAGATGATCACCAGAATGAGTTAATCAGTGAAAAAAAAACTTCTATTTATATTTACAAACTAGTTTTTTCCCTAGTTAAGGATGACCAAATAAACCTTGACTGCTTTGAAAAAATGGAGATTGAAAATGCATTAAAAACTAATATAAATACATTAGAGTTAGGAATTGAAAACCGAAAAATCAATCTTGAGAGAGTTATTAATGGTTTAGTTGTTTTTAATAAGTTTAAAGATTTCGAGGAAATTTATGTATTAATAACTAACTATGGTAATCTGATTATATTATCTTCTGATAAACTGGTGTTAAGGCTTGAGAATATATTTAAGGATAAAAACAAAATGGATTATGACTACGTTTCTATAAGTATGATAGAGGTGGGAAATATAGATCAATTAAATGGCCAAGATAATTCAACTTTAATATTTAATTTAGCAATATCAAATGAATTCAACCAAACTAGTATAGTAGAAGTGAAAATAATTAATAGCCATATATTTAATAAAGAGAATTTCTCAGCTGAAATTTTGCTAATTAGACCCAACACAGATCATAAGGGAAGTATTACTAATAAGTACCACTTTAAATCAAAATCAATATGGTACCGTGATGTTAGGGATTTTTACAATACTTTTGAAAGTAATTTGAGATTATTGATTGGAGGCCAAGAACAAATGTTACAGTTGTTTGATGTTTCAAAAGAATTAATGATTAAATCTAAACATAAAGTAATTAATAAGAATTCTTTATTATTTCTAACAAATAAAAACATTTACCAGCAAAATAATCAGACTAGTATTAAAGCACTTACTCTTCTTTTAGAGGTAAGGTTAATATATAAGCTAAATAATATGAAGAAATTTAATTCAAATGAAAGCTTTTGTATTTTAAAAGATATACAATCCAATATAAATAAGGTTTTAAGTGAATCAGGAGATAATGAAGTAATTTTTGATCTTATATTATTCTTAAATCATAAAAATTCAGCATCAGATCTAATTGAATTACATCTAAGTACCTATTTTAATAATCAGGTAACTAATATTGATAATGGATGTGAGATTACAAAATTCTTTAGTGTTAATTCAAATTACAAGAATATTAAAGAATCAAGCCAAAATTTAAGTTTATTGATTGAGTATTTATATCTAATTAATGGCCAAATAGATATTGATTCATGCTTATTTAAGAATTTCTTAAAAAAATACTCAAATAATGCCACTCCTTATATTGAATATAGCCAAAATATTGATATTAATCCAAGTGAAAATAATGATGAAAAATTTAAAAGGTTTGTTAAAATATTTCAAAATGTTGAGAATGATTGTTTACTTATTGAATGGCTAAGATATCTTTCCCAATTCAATATTAAAGATTCAAAATGTTTAGAATTTTTGGATATTGAAACTGACTGTATTATCAGATCTCTAATCTTATTAAAATTGGACAATTTACAGTTAAAGCTAAAATCTATCAATTCTTCAAATACTCCAATTAGTCATAAGAATTTATCAGTATTTATTGGGGAAAATCCGAATATCCTTCATGAATATTGTATTTTAAATATTTTAATGGGGAGATGTCATAAGGCTATAGAAATGTATTGTTATTACAACCTATTTCAATGTGCTTGGTTAATTTCAAACCTTTATCTTGGGAATGATCATGAATTAACTCTTAATGTTTTAAGAGATTGGAATAAAAATTTAAAATCTAATAATTTAATGATGCAATCATTTAAATGCCTTATTGCTAGCTCTGACTTTGAAGAACTTTATCAAGTTTTATTAGAAAGAATATACTACATTTCAGATTCTCACTATAAAATAAGGTTAAATACTGGTGGTAATAATGATGAAGATAGTTTTTCTCAGGTAGATAAGTTATTTCAGAATTTCAAGCTAACAGGATACTATTTATTAATTTCAAGTTCAGAAAATAATAGCAAAGATAACAATAAATTCCAATTACTTAAAGAATTTTCAGCTGATTTAGTTGATTATATATTTTTGATTTTTAATAGGTATCGAATTAATATTGTTTTAAAGAATAAGTTATATAGTAAATTTTGCTTTAGAGAAATAATTTCAATTAAAAATAACCAAATAATATCAGATTTACATAAGTTGATAATAAATGAAGAAAAAAATTGTTTAATGGATGAGATTTTTGATGAATTGGAGATGAAGATTATGAGGAATATACATTTATATGAAATTGTTATACAATTTTCACTTATGGTATTTTCTTGTGGAAATAAGATTTTAATTTCTGAACTGGAAAAATTCTTAAAGAAAAACAATATTAGAAAGAAAGAAGATTTATTTCTACTTTTAAAAAAGCTTAACTATTTACCTTTTGAAGATGAGATGAAATTAAATATGGAACTTAAAGTTATGAAAGATTTGTTGATTTTAGTTTTAAGTTTTATTTTGGAATCAAATCTTAACATTTGGATTTCAAAAGTTGATGAGACACTTAAAATTTTATATAATGACTTATTTTTTAATGATTTAAAGTATCAAAAAAAAAGTATTTTTGATATAACTTTTGAAGCCCTGTTTGATATTTTTTTACTTAAAAAAGACTTGGAGAATATAGAAAGTTTATGTTTTAGTAAAGAATTAAATAATACTTTATTAGAATGGATGAATTCAGAATTTTTATTAGAATTTAGAGATTCTATTCAAAACAATTTTTCAAATCAAAAAGAATTACATAGTAAGAGACTTATGGCAACTAAGTATGATCTATATATATTAAGTGTAATTAAAAGGATAAATAAAACATTAGTATTGGATCCAGTAGTAAATCAAAATAATTTATCATTAAGTAATAATAACGATTCAATATTGACTAAGTCTTTGAATGAATCAGATTTAGAAAACTTAACGAGATTTCTTAATAAAGAAGAAACTGGTGAATTTTTAAAAAAAAACTCAATTTCATACCATTTTATATTTAAGACCAATAACAGCAATTCCATTGTTGTTTGGCTTTATAATAAAATAACAAATTTGGCAAGTCAGAGTATAAACCAAGATCTAGGATCAAAAGCCAAGAAATTAGCCTTTTTAATTAAAAAACAATATTTAAATAAGAAAAATAGCTAAGCTGAAATCTAGGTAATAACTTCTTTCTGGTTATATATTTATACTAAGATATGACCTTTATTATTTAGTGTATTTTAGATTAGAATATTATGAATATATTTATATAATGTGGTTATTATTGCTAATGACTTTTCTTTTTTTTAATTTGTTTAATTTAAAATAAACTTTTAACCAACATATAGATTACTGTTTCTACATATAGCCATTCCACTGTCTTTTCCATTATTAGTAAGAAATTCAATCATTGTTTCTTCCTCGATATAATTCAAACAATTTCTTATAATAGATCTTTTAATATTGCTGTTCTCATACTTAAACTCTTCAGAAAAATGGTCAAATTCCATTGGACTCTTAAAAACTACATGTCTGGATGTTTTTAAAACTTTAGATTTTAGTAAACTTGCTTGTACTGGACACATCTTTCCAACATGAGACTGAATATCTGGTATCAAGATTGAAACAATCTTCCACTGCAAATTAGTGTCATTAGTTATTGAATTAAATTCAGTTACTATCTTCCAATCATCATTATATCCTTTTAATTTACCTACCAAATATATTAACATATACACGTCATTCATACCGCCATATTGGCTTTGCATGTAATTATTTGAAGTTACATATGGACAAGCAATCATAAGCTTAAATTGAAGAGGAATAGAGGTTTGTTTAAAATTTGAATGATTTTCTTGGTATTTATTATAAAAATATTTAAGATAGTTGTTTTTGAACCATATGGTAATTTTATCACTAAAGCCTGCAAGTAAATTCTTGTTAAAGTCAATTTCAATTTTCCCATTAGGCAGGATTCTGGCGCCACAATCATATTCAGATTCAAGGTTATATTTTTGGCTGAATATAACAAGGCCAGATGCTCCAGACGGTCTTTTTTTAACAATATGAAAGTTCATTCCTTTGTTAAGTTTGTTATTAGTAAGATCTTGACTAATTAGATAAAAAAGATTTCTTTCGTTTTCATTGGAAAACTTGTCAACTGATTCCTTTGATAGGTAGTTAAATTTTAGTTCAATATGATTTTTGGTTACACCTGAATAATCTTCTTTATGTTTTAACTTTTCTTGTTTTATTTTTCCTTGAATTTTAGGGCCCTCAACTTGAGTTTGGAATGGCTTGAAACCAATTTTGTTTGGAATAAATTTTTGGTCAAATATATTATCAGAATACTCATAGTTATTACCATTTGTGTTAAATTTTTCAGATTGACGGTTAGTTTCGTTATTATAAATATTCAAAAGAATTCTTGTAATACGTTTGTATTGAAGATATAGTGAAATAATATTACTTGGAGTGGAATCTGAATGAACTCCATATTCATGTAGAATCTTTACAACTCCAGAACAGGATGATATAGTTGTTCGAACCTTCTTAAGGATATCTTTTGGAATTGCGTTAACATAAATATCAATCTTGTTAAGTTTTAATATTTCATCTTCATTGGAAAGTCTTTTACGATACTTTTCTTTGAACTGGCTTAAATAACTATAGTCTTCTTTTTGATCAAAAAGTTTTCCAGTATTTGGGAAGTAAACAATATATTGAATATAAAAACTGAGTTTTAATAAAATACTTAAAAGCAAATTATTAAATAGTTGAAGTTCATTGTAAATGTTTCTATGGTACTGTTTAAGATCCTTATGATTAATTTCCTTGTACTTTCTTAGCATTCTTCTATTATGTCTATAAGTTTTAGAATCAATTTCAATGGTTTTTAGTAAGTTCAAAAAATTTATCCAATCATTAGTAAATCTTCTACTTAATCTAACTTTCTGACTAGAATTAAAATTCATTTCTTCAATATTTGGTCTATATTTACCAGAAATCTTATCTTCAGTTGTCCTCAAAACTTTAACAAATTTTGGATAACTTTCAAACCATTTAACTGAAAGTCTACAGATTGAATCAATATCAGACACAAAGCCTTGAAATAAGTTCATTCCAGACATCTCTAAAGTACTGTTGTTGATGCAAACTATATTCTCAAGAAAATCATATTTTGGAGATAAAATTATATTTGTATATGAATCCAAATTTTTATCTTTAGACAAAAGAGAAACTATATCAGATTTCTCCAAAGGAATTGGGCTTGGAAGGTCATTCAATTTTTGAATGTTAATGGGAAAGTAAGACCTACCATTAATTTCTTTCTTCTCTATCTCAATTTTTCCCTGTGAGCTCTCTTTTTTTACAATAATATCCTCTAGTTCAGGTATTTTTTCAATATCTGTGGATTTTTCTACAGTAATTTTTGGTTTTTGAGATTTTCCCTCTTCTTTTGTATTCTCAGCTTTTTTTTCTTCAAATTTGCTAATTTTTGTACCTGAAATACCTCTTTGTTCTAAAGACATGCTATCCAAAATGCTTGAAATTGATTTTAATTTACCTTTTGGAGGATTGTTAGAAATTAAATCATAATTCCAAATGTCATCCAATTTATATGTATCTATTTCACTTGAAGATAATTCAGCCATGCAAAGAAGCTCTAATAAATATAAGAAAATCAAAAGCAATAAACATTTATATGAAAAACATATCATCCTTACGTAAAAAGGATACTGTTTATAATACAAAAATCTTAATATAGAACAACTTTTGAATATTATAAAAAAATTCCAATAAATTTTCTTAACTTGAGTCTCTAAGGAAGTGATATAATCAAATCCTCTCTCCTTTGTTGTTTTTGTTAAGTTTCTTTGTTATTATTATAACTTTTTTTTTAATTTTTGCTTTTTACCTATACTAATAATAGTCGAAAAAGACTATTGATTAAATGCATTTTGGCGCCAATACGTGTAGGCACTTAATTCTTATTTTGGCAGGAAAATAAAGAGGGGTGACAAAGGGGAAAAATATGATTAATTTAAAAAGGGTAATCTTGGTCAATCACAAAAATTAGAGGGAAATAAAACGATTTAAATCAAATAAATCGTTGAATTTTTGTACTAGAAATTTGGTTGCTTTTTATTTCACAATGGGAGGAGTTGCAAGCAAACAAAGTATGGAAACCAAGCCAAGTCAGGTTGAAATATTGAATTTAAAAGAAATTCAGAGTTTGCCATACAAGGAACTTTACAAACAGTTTGAAAAGTATAAGAAACTTAATTATGTTGAATATGTGTTATTGTTAGGGACAAGACTACTTTTGGATCATAACAGAAAGTTAGGAGAAAGAAGATGGGAAGTAATGGAAAGCATTGCAATATCAACATTTCATTTTCAAGTCAAATATGAAGAAGATGGGGATAAAAATAAGATTTCAAAATGGCAAAAATATTGTATGGACGAATTAAATAAGAAATATGGAAAAACATTTAGGTATAAAAAGCTTGTAGGTATGTTATTGGAAAGTAGGGGAGAGACAGAAAAAGCCTTAGATGTATATAAACAACTATTAAAGTTTGACCCAGAGGATCTTGAAATTAGAAGGAGAGTGATTTCAGTACTTTTTGAAAATAATAAATCATTATTAGATGAACATTTAAAGGAATGTATAATGGATGTAAACGCCTGGAAAATGAAAGCTTATTATCTTCTTACTCACACAATTGACTATAAGTCTGCTCTCTTCTGTATGGAAGAAATTCTACTTCATGAACCACAAAATATTGAAACAATCAACATTATAGCAGATTTGCATTTGGCTCTTGGTGACTATACTAGATCTAGACAATACTTTTGTTTAGCTCTGAATATTCAAAAATCTAATTTAAGGGCTCTTTGGGGTATTCTCCAATGCAATCTTTTAAAGAGTGACTACTCAAATCAAAATAAAGGCAATAAATCTAAAATTGAAAGTTCTATGATTTCTGATATTGATCATAATTTAACTCAACTTACTGTTAAACAAATAATTAATCTTTACTCAGAAAATGATTCTGATTCTGATTCTAATATTATTAATAACAAAAAAGATATTAATATAGATACCGTTACCTGTAATAATAATAATAAAGGTACCGATAATCATCAAATGGAAATAAAAACATCAATGATAGTAAGCGAGTTATTGGATTACTATACAAATAGAATAAAAGGTTTATAGGAAAGTATAGAAAGTATTTATTAGCTTTTTATTTTGGAATATTTTAATTCTTGAATTTATAATTAATCTTGAAAAAAATACTATAGAACAACTTAGTTGTCTTTATTTTGAGACATGTTATGTGTTTTTTGCATTATTTTTTGAAATTGATGTGGATAATTCAGTATAGGTATTTTTAGGTAAAACATTGTTTTGATTTGGATTTAACATTCCAATATCTAAATTTCTTTCCATTTCAATAATTTCAAGTTCTTTCATAGTATTAGTTCTGGATTTAAAATGATCAAAAGAAGATAAGGAGGAATTGCTTAAAGTATGATTTAAATTGGATAATTTATAATCTTTAGAACTTGGACTATTTGATGGAGTTTCTTTTGCTCTTTCATTTGGTTCAGAATTATTTGTATTAAACCTTTGAGAAAGAGTATAATTTTTATTTGAAACATAATCACTTCTAGGAGTATAACAGTTATCTTGTGGATCATAAATCTTTCTAGATTTAACCCTTCTTTTCTTTCTCTTTCCACTAAAGTTCTTTTCTTTATCCTCACTTTTTTCAGAATCTTCATCACTAGAAATATCTATTGTGAATATCTTTGAGTTAGTTCTAAATCTCTTTTTGAGTTCAAATTTTAAAGATTTAAAAGGTACCCACTTATAGTATCTTAATATTCTAATTGAAATTAATACAAATGCAAACATTACCATAAATAGTCCACAGAAAACCAAAACTAGTCTAAAATCTACGTAGTCTTTTGAGTTATTGTACCACCACAAAGAAAGCTTTTGTTTTAAAGCAGTTATAGGCTCACTATTATTGTTATTATCTTCTTGAATTCCGTTATAATGTTTAATATTATTATTTATATCTTCTATTAAATTGATATTGGTATTTTTTAAAGTCTGAAATTCTTGGATATTAGTTCCAAGTGAGTTTTTAATATAATTATCTATATAGACTTTTCCTAATGCCATTGAAATTAGGTTATTTTTAAGGTATCTTAAAATAACATAATGTTTACCAAGCAATTCAATATTATCATCTTGAGTAAACTGGTTAAAATCTTCCTTAGTTTGTATATCTGTGACCATTTCAAAGATTCTCTGTCTAGAAATAGCCTTTATACTTTGAAATGGTATTTCCTCATTTTCATCCCCATGAAAATCACTTATAGAAATAACTCCTACTGAATTCAATTTTTTGTCGGAATTTATCAAGACCTTCTCTATGTTATGGTATCTAAATATATTTAGATTTAAAAGATTTAAAAATTCTGGAAATTTAAGGATTACATATTCCCCATTATTTTTAGGTTCACTACTAATAGATACTGTTAGTTCTAAAGTAATGTTGTTAAAATAAGGTAAAGTTGTTAAAATCTCACTTTCATTTTCTAATAAAGAAGGTATAGGTTTTATTGTCTCCATCTTTTCATTACCTCCTTTTGTATTTCTACTAATTATTGAGGTTCTTGGTTCGCTTGGAATAACATACAGGTTACCCTGTAATTCATTGTGGGAATTCTCTTTAATAAGATTCATATTATCTAGAAATATTTTCTGATTACCAGAAGTTCCAATTTCATTTGAATGAATATACTGCATTATGTTAGAAAGTTCTTTAGAATCTTTGGATGAGGGCTCTTCCATGTTTAAAACCTTTTTAGTAAATTCTTGAAAAGCTAAACATGATTTGACCCATTTTCCATTACTCTGGATAAAAGATTCAGAACAACTGGAAAACTCTATTTGCAATACTTCTTGAGGTTTAACAATTTTGATTTGGAATCCAGATAATTGATGGGATAAATCAGGATCTGACCCTTGTATTTGATTATGTGGGTATTCTTGTATGATTGGTACTACATTAGGCCTATCAATTCTATTTCCATTTTGTGAAGATCTAAGTCTGGTAAATTTTTCAAATAAGTTTTTATTTGAATTGGAAATATTCTGAGTAAGTTCAAGGTCAAATTCTAATTCTACTTTAAAATTGAATTTTTCAATTTCACCATTAATAGAATTTAGAATTTTTGTCTCGGTCGGTACCTTTACTAAAATCTTAATAGGTTTAAATTTATTAGATTGATAGATAGATTTACATTTGTTTTTAACTCTAAAACTTCTATTAACAATTTTTGTAAGTAGATTTGAATCATTACACTTGTCTTTAGAGGAATAAAGTGAATTATTACTTAGAATATCTTTTATTTCTTGGTTATTTAGAAATATGGAAGAACATCTCATATAATAAATAGTGTTTTGAAAGCCATTTAGTCCTTCATTCACAAGAAAATTAAGGTATATTGGCTGTTGTTCAGGTTGGTTTTGAGAAGAGTTATTACTTTCAAGTTTAAGCTTTAAGTTACTAAAAGAATAACAGCCAATGACTGCTATATATAGAACAAAAGTTTGACCAAAATAAACTGTATCTGGTGGTTTATTAAAGAAGATAATATCTGGATAAGTATATTCAACCAGTTTAAGTAGCATTCTAAGATTTCTAGTAATATGAGAAGGTTGGATAGAAAGCTTATCCAAATCAATCAAACTGAATAAATCAGGCTTATAGCCAAGAGAATCTTGACTCGGAGTCTTTTGGTAATCAGTTTCTATTAGAAAAGTCATAGATCCTCCTTGATTTGCAGAGTGAGTTTTTTGGAGATAGTTACTACATGATATATGGTTTACATTATATCCATAAAAAGACCAATCCTCAAATCCTCCTTTTACTGGATACACAATTTTTGCTATACTACCAATTTTATCATAAAAATAACTTAATTTATTAACATGATTATTATTATTTAATATTTTTCCAGCCGATGCCTGTAAATCTTTAGCAATAAATTCAAAGATTTTGTTATTATCATCACTAATATCAGAGTAACCATTTCCATAAGAAATACTTTTTAATCCACCATGCAAAGCTGCAACAAATACAAATGATTTCAAATTAAAAAGATCATAAATCATCCTGGAGCTTTCACTTTGAAGACAATTCTCACCACTTTCTGAAGGAAAATCTCTATTCACATCAATTTCTTCCTCAGTTCTTTTATTATGATAGAAACCCCAAGGATTAGCTATTGGAATAATCCATATATTTCTAGTACTTAATAAATACTTGACCCCAGCATTTTGATTAGTAATATATTGGTCACAAATAGAACTTACAAATTCAGTGGCTATTTCTACACCTAATTTTTCATCTCCATGTATTCCTGAAACAAGTAATATATTAGGTACATCATAATTAAGATTAGAAAGTCCAAGTTTTATATGGAGGTACTGACATTTTGATTCTCCACAATAAAGATTTTTTTTACTGGTATAGTTATATATCTTAATTATATTTGAACATTTAAGCTCTAATTCCTGTAATAAATTAAAATGTTGCATATAACTTTTGTACTTATACTTTAGTTTCTCATTTGTTGAGTCATTATTTTTACTAAAACCAATAAGGGACCTTAAATATGACTCAAAGTCTTTCATTTCAAATCCATATACCATACCATTATATCCTCCCAGTATTGACAGTACCAAAATAAGTACAAAAAATAGTGTATATGATATCGTTACCATTATTTCTTAATTAAAGCACTTGAATGATTACTACCTTTAATTTAAATTACCTGAAACTCTGGAAATATACAAACATATATGCATACACGCATAAACAAATATATTATTTATTATTAATATCAAATTCTCTAAATGGACAAATCTAATGATTGAGTTTTTTCTGTACTTCTTAAGTAGTTTAGACTAATAAAAATACCCATAAAACCCCTTACTGAGAAATTTAAATCCAAATTTCAGCCTTTCTTGAATTAGTTTGTTAAATTTATAGTACTATCTTTTTATTTATTTAATTTTTGTTTCATGTAATTATTTTTAAATTTGGCGCCAAACCACATTTGTGTGTATTATTATTAATAGTACCTATATAATAGATAATAAGAGTTAAGATATATAACTTTAAAGTTTTCTGACTTTTAACTCTGGATCTTGTTTATTTCTTTTCTTTTCCTTTTGTATATTTATAATTTCTAACTATGTCTGATATAAGGAGTGATATAGTCAATTTAGAATAATATATAGTCTTTAATATATTATTACTATTATTATTATTTATACATATATTAACTTGTGAATGGTTGGATAAAAATTCACAATTTGATTATAACCAATTTAAAAAAGAGATGGGTAAGGATTAAGTAAAGTATTTGTTTAGAAAAAAAACTTAGATGATTTAACTTAGATTTTCAAAATAGTCCTAATTAAAATTGAATGAAAAAGTATTTATAGGAGAAATAAAAGAATATATGGTTAATAATAAAGTAAATAAGAATAAAGTTAAAGATCTATTTGAATTTGTTCAAATAAATTATAACTTACCAAAACTTTCATTAAACACTGGTATCGATGTGAAATTTGGTTCTTAACAGCAATATCCATTTCAGAAAAAGTTCTAATTATTAATAGTTATTAAAGTTTAAAATTAATTATATTATTAAAAAAAAGATTTTGTAAAATAAAGGAAAGTCTTAAAAACTTACGAAGTATACCCATTGGGTTTGAAAATAGGATCCCAACTGAACCCTTTTTCACCTCTTGGTTTAACTATTTCACCATCAATCTTTCCTTCAAAGATGATTGGCTCAGACATTTTTGTCTCATCATAATATCCAATTAGAGTTACTGCATATGCTGATTTATTTTGGTATGCTTCAAGCATATTGTATAATCCTTGTGCTCCAACGGATTTAAGAAACCATTTTCTTTAAAATTCAATAAATAAATAAGCAGTTAAATAGTGAAATATAATCCACAAAAATTTAAAAGAACTTACACATATGGTCCAGGAAGGCCATTATAGGCATTAAAACAAAGAGAAGTGTCTTCTACAAAAACTGGCTTTTTAATTCTCTCATAGGCTGATTTGCATTTATGTATGGTAATTTCTTCTGGAGAACCTTGAAATTCAGGTACTTAAAATAATTCATAAATTGAAATAACCACATTATTATGAACAATTTTTAATTATATAACAATTATGCACAATAAGTAACTTACAGTCAATGTCAACCACCTCAATATCTATTTTCCCATTTAAAATTTTCAAAAATTCTTCAGATTTTTTTTTATTACCTAAAGGTAAAAAAGTAAAGGTTCGATTTCATGGCCGTTTTCAATATTATTGATATAACTTTTAATTTTTTTTTCACACTTGCCTGATACTAAATATACCTAAATTTAAAGAAGAAAAAAATCATTTTATAATATTTTTTAGTTTATTATTATTCATATTATTCACATAAGTAAATTAGCTTACTTTTAATTGACTCATTTTTATTAAGCACAATTTTTCTTTTTTTATTACTAACAGAGCTCAAAATCTTGCAAAAAAAACGATCTTCAACCTTATGCTTTTTTGTGAAAAATTAATTTCTTAATTTTTTTCTTTAATTCTTTTATTATCGTTCTTACCAATCTTGATAACAATTAAAACTTGATTTGCCAGAAAAAAAAGTTATTAACATTACGTGGTTCTTACCGCCTAAACTAAAAACATGTTATCAATAGTAATAAAAAAGTAAAATAATTAAGTCAACTAATTTAAAAATCAAAAAAATCACCCTTATTATGAAAACAATTAACATTGTTTTGCTCAATATAGTACTATAATATTTGCATCTCAAAATTCTCAAATACTCTACAATTAACTGAAAACCATTTTTTTTTCATAGTCTTTTAAATGGAAAAAGAAAATAGAAAATAAATACTAACAACAGGAAAATTAAGGCCTAACAATCTATATTAATCAAACAAATATGAACTTCTTATATTTCTAATATTTCCTTTTCCACTTAATTAACAAATTGCCCATATTTACATATACTTTTTTTTTACTTGTAATTTATCATTCATTCTTGGAGCCAAATAAAATAATTGGCGCCAACATGTGTATTCAATTTCAATATAAATAGGTAGGGGGAAAAAATTGTTAAAAAAAAGATAACAATTAAGATAGAATAATAAAAGGGATTTCTCCAGATCATTATATAATAGAATTAAGAAATTCAAAAGTACAAATAGGAAAGTTTTTGTTGATCAAAAGTCTTAAAAGAGGTAAAAATAAAAATCAAAGCTTTTCATCATTCTTTTTAATCAATATTTTTTACTGGTATCTAAGAAATAAGAGGTTAAGTAAATAACGTGTTAAAAATTTTTAATTAAAAATTATATTAACAACATTTAAATAGCAAATAAATAACATTCATTTTTCTTTGTTTGCTATATTTTTTTTATTTACAAAGAACCAAAGAGTTTCCAAATTTATTCTTATGTTGGTAAATATTTAGTATCATTATATCAATACCAATACAAATATTATAACTCAAATAGTTCTAAGAAGTAATTATTCAACCTTGGAAATTCAAAAATCACACAATCATTTTAATATTTGTTAATATCTGAATTATTTCCTGGTCACTATTCATATTTGTATTGGATCAATAGTACTAACATTATTAATAAATCCATAATTATACCTATTATCAATAATACTATTCTTTATAATAAATCTAACACAAACAAATTTATATATTAGGCATTTAAAAATAAATATTACTAAAGATCATGGAATTTTACAATAATTTAAAATATACAAAGATATCTAGAGTTAAACTAAAGAGAAAATATATTGTATTATTTACACTATTAATTTTCATATATATAATAGAATTTAACTCATTAGCTAATTCTTTCCAAGAAACAAACACACTTTTAAATGAAACTGTAAATAAGACAAAAGAATTATCTGAGAATATTGATTCCACAAAAAATGGAGATAATTTAGACACCTCTAATGGATTACTTAATCAACGTGATTTTGATGATGAAAGTGATGATGAAGAATATGATCATCTTAAATCTCAGAAATTTGTTAATAATGGCACCCATAATATTATAAATAAGAATGGTAATAAAACAAATAATATTAAAACGTTATATTCAAAAGATTTTAAAGGAAATCACATACAAAATCAAGAAGAACGGACAAGTAAAAGTAATCAAAAAGTAAAGAAAGTATCAGAATCAAATATTACAACTATAGAAGAGGAAATTGAAATAATTAAGAGCAAATTAATGAATTCTACATTTAAACTTGATGATTTTTATGCAAGAACAGTTTTTGATAAATTATTTGAGATCTTTGAACCTGCTAGTGATAAGATTTTGGACTTTTTGGAAGTAAATAAAAATTTGACTAGGATTATAGATACTTCTAAATCTATTACTAATATTGCAGATTCATATGGAGTTTTGTCATATTTATGGTTTTATGGAATACCAAATAAACGTGGTAGATTAGAATTTCCTTATGGATGGCCAAGAAATATTGATATAGCTCTAAGATATGCCTTAAAAGGAGCAACCAAATTTAATTGTGGTTTTTGCTATACAATGATGGGATTACTTTTTGCTTGGGGATATCCTCCTCTTGTTAATAATACTCATGGATGGATAGGAATTGATAATTCTACGTCTAAAGTGGATTTATTAAAATATTCAGCATCTAAAAATACTTACTTCTTATATCAAAATCCACATAGATATACTAATAACATGGACTCTGAGAAGATTAATTTTCCATTAGAAAAGAATGGTTTTGACTTGGTATCTATGAATTATGCTTTAGCATCTAAAAATAAGGATATTTTTGGGCAGCTTGCAAATTCATACTACTTAAGATATAGCCTCTCAGATATAAGTTATCAATATAACACATTAGAGAATTCATCTTCTTTTAGTCTTCACAGAGTTCCAAGAAATTTAACATCAGTTGTTGGGTTATCTTCTTCCTCAAGATGTATTGTGGCTCTAGAACCTCTAATCTTTGTAGCAAGTAAAACTCTTGGTGATAGTAGAGATCTTTTTCTTCCTGAAATATCAACTTTATTGAGGGAAAATAAAGCAAAAGAACATGAGACAAAACACTATGCTGAATGGGTTAAAAGTCTTGCAGCTGATAGAGATCCAGAAGGAATGACATCTTTAGGAGAACTTTATTATTATGGACATGAAGCAGGTGGAATAGCAAGAGATGTAAATAGGGCTGCTCAACTTTGGGAAGAATCAGCAAGAAGAGGAGATCCTCAAGGTGCTTTGGCAAGAGCCTTTTTAAATTTAGATGGAACAATAGGTACAGAAAGAGATTCTAGTCCTTATTTAAGACAGGTTGCAAGGAATGGGGAACCTTCTGCAGCAGCATTAGCTAACTATTATATATATAAGCTTGGACTAGAAGTGGATAAGAATTCTACAATAGCTGGCCAGTATTTAAAGTTAGCAGCAGATCTTGGTGATGGTAATGCTCAATTAATTCTTGCACATGCTTATGCTGGAGGAAAAATGGGAGTGATACCTCCTGGAGGTCAGAATGATACTTTAGCTCTAAAGTATTATAAACTTTCAGCTGAGGGAGGTAGAACTGTTGCTTATTTTAACTCAGCTGTACTAACTTTGAAAGGCTCAGACAAAAAATACAAAACTGAGGAAAGTAGATGCACTGCTTCCATAGACTATTTGACTCGTGTTGTAAGGAAAAATAATCATGTAAAATTTTTGAGCCTACTTAGTAGGAAGTCATATGAAAATGGGGATATTGTAGGATCTCTTTTAAGAGAAATGACCTTAAGTGAAATGGGTTTCATTGAGGGACACATTAATTCGCAGGATTTATGGAAAGAAAAGTCAATTTTGTTTTATAATAATGCAATTAAAAAAATGATTAATAATATAAATTACGATACCTATAAAATGATAGAACCGGTATGTAAGGTATCGGATTTAGAATCTGTTGATATTTTGAAAGATAATTATTTGAATTTTTTGAATATTATGAATAAGATACAAAGTAAATTAGATATATGTGAGGTTACAGTATTGGATGAGAGTAATGAGAAATTTTCTACTTTATATCCAAACAAATTTGATTTGGAAATGAGTGGAATCTCTTCTAAATCTTTTTGTTTGGTAAAGGCAAATAGGAGAGAAGTTTTCTTTAATGTTCCAATCAACTTTGATAGCTCAATTATTCACTTGAATTCAACTTATTTCAAATATTATGATATGTTTAATTCACAAAATGCTACATTGAGAGGTAAATTAGATTTAAATTACTCAAGAAATATGTCAGAAAAGGAGAAAAATAGGGTATCTGAATTTTTAAATTGTTGGATGAGACCAAAATCTTATTATGATAATTTGGGGAAAAATAAAAAACCATTATTAAATAGAATGATTGGTGATAGAATTATAGATGAGATAGATGATGAAGAAAGTGATCAAGAAGAAATGAATATATTTGATAGAATATTGGAGTTATGGCAAAGGCCTAAAAGTGGGAGCTATAGAAGGTACCCAAAACCGTGGTATAAAGCCTTTAACAAAATATTTAAAGTTTTCAAATATGTATTAAATTCAGCTTTCTTTAAATCAATGAAAAACTTAAATTCTTACTTTGGAACTAATATAAATAAGAATTATATTCAAAAAAAGGAAAAAGGAGGTTTATTTTCAAGTATCTTTTTAGATCTAGATGAGGATTTTGAAATTGATGAAAAGAAGGTACCGGAAATTATACAATTACAAAGAAACTCATCTCTTTGGTGTAGTCATTATTATACACGAAGATCATCGTCAAATGGAGATATTTCTTCAACCCAAAATTTGGTTCAACAATTTTTAGAAGGAAGTTTTGGAGTTAATAAAGATCCTGTTTTTGCTTTTAAATTCATAATGCAGGGAGTAAATAGTAGAGATCCAAAATCAATTTTGGATTATGCTATTGCTCTTAATAAAGGTATTGGAGTTAAGATGGATAAACCAAAATCTTATAGACTTCTTTGGCATTTGATGACTAGAGGTCCATTTAATATTGAAGATATTCTTCCTAAGGTACCGTCAAAACCCAAGTTTACTCCATCTATATTTGACACTATTAGGGAAGCTTTGGAACCTTTAATAAAAAATAATACAAATTTGAATAATACACGTATTATAAACTTGAATAATAATAATTACAACAATAATAGTAATGTTTACTTAAAAGAATCTAAAGAGATAAATAACTTTGATTTTGAAGATCATTATCAAGGAGAGGATGATAATGAGGAAGAACAAGATCAGGACCAAGATCAAGATCAATCTAGCTTGAATAGTGATTCAAAGTATAAAAAAGGAAGAAGAGCTAGAATGAATGATACTATTAACATGAATCTCAAGACACAACAAGACCTGGCTACCAGAATCTCATCTTTTAATATTTTAATGATATTAACTTTAGATTGGATTTATTTTAACATTGTTTTAAGATGTTATTACTCTTCTTTGGCTTTGAAGAATCAGATTTGGTCTTCTTTATTTAATTTATACTACAAAAACATGAGTAATGAAGATTTATTATTGGAGAATAAGGTGGTTAATAGTAATATTAATAAAAGTATGCATGATAAAGTTTTGGAAAACGAGAATTTTAATATGAATTTTTCTTCTTATGAATTAATAAAAAACAGTATCAAAGATCCAAGTAGGATTTTAGATACTTGTAATAATAATATATGTAATATTAATAAAAAGATCAAATCTGAAATATATTGTAGTTTATTTAGACAAGATTTATGTGAATATTCAGAAACTTCCGAAAATTTAAAAAGAAACAATAAATTATCAAATAATAATGAAAAAAACAATGAACTATTGGAAGAAGATCTAATCTTAATGATAGATGAGGATCCATTTCCTTTGTTATCCAAATTTAGATATATTTCAGATGAAGAATATGGAAGGGCTTCAAATATTTGGAAAGCCTCTATTTCAATTAGATTGTACTACTTCATCTTAAGGATAGTTATTATTATTGGTACCATTTCAGTTTTGATTCCACTTAATATTGCTATAACAGAAAAACTAAGTCATTAAAGCTAGAAGAAAGATCTAGTAATTTTTTTAAATCAAACTCGTAATATTAAGAAATTACAAATAAATTATTAATTTATATTATTTATACATTTAATTTTAAATATCTTTTTTTATTTTTTTTACAATTTTTTTTTTCACATTTTTCTGGATAATTATTTTTCGATACCTATACGATACCAATAATATATTTGCATGCATGCACAAAAGAAATTCTCAAGAATTTTGAAAAAAAGAATTTTGAGATTTGATGAATTTTACTTATTATTTTCTTATTTATATAAAATAACTAGTTATTTATTATTATCAATTCAATTAATAATATTATAGTCAAATGATGATTCATGATGGATGATGTTACCTGGATAAGGCATGTCATAAAAATTAGAACTAGTTGGACTGGAAATAGAGTTAGAGTTTGATAAGTTAGTAGTAGAATTTTGTTTATTATTCAAAGCATCATTATTAATAAATGAGGAGGAATCAAATTTTTTAGCATTACAATTTCTGAGATGTACTTGGCAAAATAAGGAGATATCATCAGGATTTGAAAGATGAGGAAAATCTCCACCATATTTAAGTTGAGCAAGTTTAACATTTTCAAATTTGGTGATAGAATTAATGAAATTATGATCATCAAAAGAGTTATCTGGGCTATAAATAAATGTAATCCTTTTATTATCTAATAAACTTGAGAATTTTGATAAATTTAATATGGACGATGTTTCATCACCTGATAATACAAAACTTAGTCTAGAAGCTAGATCATTATTTGAGAGAGAATATAATTGTCCAATTACAAAATTTAATGATTGATTATATAGTTTATCGTATATATTATTACTGTTACAATTATTATCATTAGAAATGGTTGAATTAAAATCCATATCTTCTATTGAGGAGTATAAAATTTCTCTATTTTTAAATATTTCAGAAATTAGCTTTATAAGAATAAATTGTGGACAAAAATATAAAAATGTGGAAGCTATTGATGGTATTGGTAGATTTAATGTTGATAAAAAAGCATTACATAATATTAGTGATTTTACTCTATTTGGGTATTCTTGTGAAAACATGATACTTAAATATCCTCCTAAATCACTACCATATAAATGTATTGAACTTAACTCAAGTTGATCCAAAAAAAGAGAAAATGATCTTATCCAATCATTAATATCATCATAAATAGGATATTGTACGGAAATAATTCTATATCCACATTTTAGCATATTTTTCATAAACATAAAATATTCACCAGCAGTACCCGAAATACCGTGTAAAATAACGATAGAATCAAAATCAGAAGATTCATGATTTTCACTTTTTATAATGGTCTTATTATGTTGTGAAACAGAATTTAATTTGTTTAGTTTGTCCAGATTTTTATTAGATAACTGCTTTACTGTTTTTCTAGAGTAGTAATCATCAATTATATCTTCATGATCAGTAATGCTTTCTTGAGAGTCTATTCTACAGAATTTTTCCACATTTTTAGGATTACAATCAATCCAAGTCCAAATACCATCCAAATAAGGTATTGTTGTTCTTTTCAAAGGGTAAGATTCAATAAAATCTGCAAAATCACTAGAAATTCCTCTCCTCATTTTTTTTTTTCCAAGTATAATGGTATGTGTATATGTATATATATATATACATATATATATATATATATTTATATATATATGTATATATATATATATATGTATATATATATATATATATGCTTACCTCAGACCTTTAAATCAAATGAAGAAATGATCTGTATAAATAATTGAAAACTTTTCAACCTTTAAATATTTTTTAATTACTTTCCTATCATTCCATACCAGATTTAGAAATAGTGATTTTAACTATATTTCCAATATTCTTTCTCTAAGCTCTATTACATTCAAAATTGTATTAAAGAGTCCTACTCTTTTTTTCTAATTACAAATTTTCTAATTCTTAAATGTTGTAGTTTGTATATGAATATAAGTTAATGAATACATATGCTCATACATGAAATTCTATTTATTAGTTCTAGTTTTACTTTTTTTCTTTATTTCTTCTGCAATTTAATACTATTATATTAATTTCTGGACCTCACACAATCTCAGCGCCATCTAAATAAAGGGCGGGGTTGTGGTTTTAATGCAGGCAAAGCATAATATAGTTTAGTATTACGTGTTAAAATATAAACAAAAATAAGTAAATAGTTAACTAAAAATTAAAGAAAAAAATTTTTTAAAGTTTGTAACAAACGCAAATATTCTAAATTCAACATTAATTTAATAAAAATTTGTATTTACAAAAAAACTAACATTGTAATAAAGAAAATAAATTTATATTAAGGTATTCTTGTAGAATTAATATATTAATATAATTTCTAACAAAAAGTCATTTTCAAATTAACTAGCTAAAATATTTTAAAAATAAATACATCAAAACGTGATTTAAATATATAACTAGTTTTAAATGCAACTTTAGATGTCATTATTTTACATGTTGGCGCCAAATTGATTTATAGGTTGTGTAGGAGGAGGATAGGTGATAAAAGAAGAAGGATAGAACTTGCTATTGCTTTGATTGGATGGTGGGAATGGATTAATATTGAATCCATTAGGTGTTTGAAAAAATTGTTCATTTGTTCCAAAATTCACTTGATTCACTGTGGTGTTGTAGTTGGAGTGATATTCTGAGTTAACAAATTGATTAACAGAGCCTGTAATATGTCTAGTTGGAGGTAATTGTTGATAAAAATTATTTGAATTTGGGAGAGATTTAACGGGAGCAACTAAATGCTTATTTATAGATTGCATTGCAGTTATTGGGGGATAAGTAATTAAGTTTGAAGTTTGATTAATATAATTTGAATTATCTGACGATCTATAGGAAAAAATGGGTGGTGTTGGAGGGGTATTAGTAACACCATGTGACGAGGAGGAAATAGAAACTGGGAACTGCTTCATACCTGTAGAAACATGAAAATTCTGGAATTGGTTTTTAGAATGAATTAATCTTTGATTTGGAGTAATTTGATTAAGGCGAGAGATATTTCTCGGTGTAATGTTTTTTATGGGATTAGAAAGCATCACTCCATGCACTGGTTTAAAATCATGATTTTGATCTAAAGGAGCTTTGAAATTATGAGAATCATGTTTTTTATTTTTGTTTCTAGAGGATAACTCTGTGCCAACAAACATTGAGTAAGGATTAAAAGTATTGAATCCTATAGAATTATTTCCATCAAATCTTTGTGGAATTTCCCCGTTTACTGCCTTATTTTGTGTATTGAAAAATGAATTTGTATCCATTTTAAAATGATTGGTATCTGAAAAGTTGTTTTCCATTTCATAATTATTCAAATCGTAATTTGGGAAACCTTCATTTACGTTCCTATTATTAAATCTTATTGGGTTAAATAAGCTTGCTGTTGGGGGAACCAAGTTAACTGAAGATAAAGGAAGATTGGAGTAATCCTCATTAAAACCTGAGGAAGAATTTTGTATAAATCCCTGATCAAATCTTTGTATTTGATTACTCGGTGGAAATTGGTCAATTCCAGAGCCTGAAACAGGTGCTAAAACTGGAGAAAGAGCTGAAATAGTAGCAGAAACTGAATTTAAGATAACATTCTTATTAGTATTTATCTTCTTTTCTTCAAACTGATTAGCCTCATCCTTTTTATTTTCTCCTTCTTGATCACTGTTTTCTCTAAATGTTGGAGGGGAATCTCCTTTAGAAATTTGACTTTCAAATGAATTAATGGATTTGTTCAAGGCATTTGTGTTTACGGAATGGAAAAATAGATTTTCATTCTTATTGGCTTGAAGCATAGAATTATAGGCTTCCTGAGGTATTAAAAAGTTCTGGTTCTTTTTTAAATGTCTTATACAGTTATCAGTAATTTTAAAATAGTAATCAAAGTTAAAATCTATGCTTTTATCTCCACCAAATGGAGAACAAAAATATTCAGAAATAGTACCAGCTCCTCCAGAATGTATTGTTAACTCTGGATTTTGATCTAGATAAGGAAGTATCGAAGATTTTAAGCATGAAATATACTCTCTAACCCTTGCTAGAATGGTTTTGAACGAAAGTTCATTTCTTGGTCTTCCTTGTTGTAATATTCCAGTAGCTATATCACTAATAGCTTTGCAAAATGACCAAGTAAAAACTCCATGTATAATATTATAAGCTCCTCCTCTAGATATTGGAATTTCTATAACACCTAACTTAGACTCAGTAGTAGATGAAAGAGATCCAATATTATTAAAAGACAGTGAATTAGAAGGAGGAGTACTAGTTGTTGATAAACCATTTCCAATACAAGAATCAGTTACCTGAGTTTTTCTTGTAACCGATAATAAAGGTAAAGAAGCTTCAGCAGCTATTTGACTCCATGGAGCAGCAGAAAAACAATATCCCTTACATGAGAGAGAGACGTATTGTGTAGATTGTAGACTTGGATCTTTTAGATTATGTGTATTAGCAACTTGAACACAAGGTACATATCTTGGTCTTACAAGTCTATGAACCATTTGCTCTTCTTTAAATACTGAAGAATTATAATGTGCCCTTTTTACCTTATTAGTGGCTGAAAGAAATGGCCAAATTCCTTTAGTTACTATACCTTTAACATACCACATACCATTCAAATTACCAGCTGGATCCAAAATAGTCTGACCTCCATTACAGTCTAATATTACGTTTAATTGAGTTTCTGAAGGAACACACAATAATAACTCCTTAAGTTCACTACAAAGTAATACATTATACTCATCTAAATCAGATCCATTTGAAGCTAAATACAGTGTTGAATCTACTGGTAGTAGAGCTTCATCATAACCTTCCCCTTCATATGATGTTAAAACGTCCACTTGTACTCCATGTCCTGCGAAGTAAAATACCAATATATCACCAGCTTCTGCATCTCTAGTTAACCAATTTATTGCAGTTAAAATATTCCTCTTATTTGGATATATTCTTGAATCGTGATGTTTTACAGGTGGGATTTCGTCTCTTGGCCAATTATCATAGAAAGAAACAGGCTCCTGAAAATCAACTAAAGTATCATAGCCTCTATCTGGTTCACTATCAGTAAGAAATATTATATCAGATGCATTGAAATCAAAATGAGACATCAATGTTAAAGCCATTAACTTTGCATCGTTTGCACAACCTCTTAAACTTATTCCCTCTGTCTCTATATAATTAATTCCAATAATTACTGCCTTTTTCTTCGGGATATGTCCATTCATTTTGTTCTTATAATATTTTTAAAAGCATTAATATGTATATATTTATTCACTTGTATTTATTGTGTTATATTCAAATATAAAACCAAATAATTTTTTTTTTGATTACTAGTTTTAGCCTTAACTCTAAAACTTTATATTTATATCAATAAATATTTATTATTTGTTTAACCTCAATAAATATAATCGAATTGGATTAGTGCTAATTAGTAATATAAAATTTCAAAAAATTGGAAAAAGGCCAGCCATATGTGTTAATTTAATTTATTTATTTTTTTGTTAATATATTACGTTAACTTTAAAAACCCTGAATTCTTTAAATGAATTTAGTTTAACTTAGAATTTCACAGAATCAACACAATTATACGTGTGATGATTTTTGTATGTATTTACTTGCTTACTTTAAACTATTTACCATATAATTCCAATGATTTTTTTTTCTTTTTTAAAATATTATTAATAGTTTTCAATTTATTTATCAATTATTTAAATATTGTGTGGATTATAAGCCTTAACAATTTCTAGTTCATATTATAATTAAAAACCCGCCACTTTCTGTAAAAAATAATTTAAATAAATTTACATGCAAAACAATTAAGTAGGCAAATAAATTCCGCGAAAAAAAAATGATTTGAATAACATTTTAGGTTATTTATGTAAGAGTATTAGCAAAGACAGAGTATCAGTAATTAGTGTCAGAACAAAGATTAGTGTGAAAAGATGAGAATTAAGTAGAAACTAGAGATAGTTAATGAGAGAAAGTAAGAAAAATTGAAAATAGCCAATAATAATAATAATAAGCAAATACAATTTACATAAAAAATTATTAAGTATAATTGCTATCTTTCTAAATATGAATCATGTAAATTAATAATAAGAATAAATTTGAATTCAATTGTATAATTATGTAAAAATAAACAATGGATTTAAAAAAAAATGTTGATTTGTATATTATATCATTAAAGTTTATAGTGGTTATTAATATTATACAAGGTTGAAAATGTCTTTAATTAATATGTTCCAAACAACCTCAATAACAATTTCAGCACAGATTAGATAAATAACAATCCATTCAAGTTTATAGCCGTGTTGAAGAGATAACTCATTATTTAACATATCATATAAATCTTTAATAATATCCAATCTTTGATTAAGAATCTCAACTCTTTTAGGTATATCTAGATAATTCCTACATGTAATATAATGTGGTTCATAATCTTGCAGATCCCAAAAAATATCAGGAGTATCCAAAATATCGGTTTGTAAATTAATATAAAAGCGATTAATAAAAAGTTCACCGATTCTTTTACTAATATCCTCTCTATTATCCTTGATTGTTCCACTCTTAGCCAAACTTTCTGGAAGTGATCTTGTACTATCAATATTTTGATCAACAACACTTTCAAATACTGAAAGTTTTACACTTTGACTTAGTGCATAACTATAACTTAATCTTTCTAGTAGAGAATCTGATACTAAATGAATGTTATCCTGCTTTATAGATGGCCTTTCTCCCCAAACATAAGTCATATCATCATCTTGAGGCTCATCTGTTCTTATATGTAATGGTTGTTTAATGAATGTTTTCAATATATTTACTATTGCTAATCTTTCAGCTCTTGTTAAATCCCATCCAACTACACATCCAAATTTAAAAACATAACAAATTCTGTTTTGCAACCATCTTAAACACACTACTTCATTAAATTTCATCTCTATATGTATTTGCTTAGTTGATAAGTCACCCTGTTTCCAAGCCTCAAGAATCATTGGAAAATCCATTTCATTCGCAAAACAGCATGCCCAAACCATGCCAGCAGGTTCTTTAATCTCTTGTTCAAGTTCTCTTATTGATGTTTGAATATCTGCTCTTTTTCTTGTTACACGAATTGACGACTTAAAGTGCCTATTCTTCAAGTTACCATCTGAATGAAAGTCAATATCCTCCATGTTTACAAAATTATCTTCACTACCTCTTCAGTTTACCTGCTTTAATTATTAGTTCTGCGCTCAATTCCTCTTCTAATTGATATAAAAATTCAGTTGGATTATATTTAATCTTTCCTTTTTAATATCACAAGTTACTTTTATACATTAATGTCAATATGGTTCCATTATGCAATTAATAGGATAAACAATTTCCCGCCCATCCTTTTGTTTGACCGCCAAGCATTTGGAATATTTATCATTTGTGCGGGAATGTTTTGTATGTAAAAAAAAAGTAATAATTAATTGAGGGGTATTGTTTTTGTATGTGCAAAAAAATAGTAAAAAAAATAGCATAGTATAATATAATATAACAACATAACAAACTTAATATAACACGAAACAGAAAAAGTAACATAAAGAACAAATAATAATAGCAATAGACATATAAATAAGAGTTTGGGATTTAAAAAGAATAAAAAGTCAGTTTTGAGCAGAAATAAATTTACTCAAAGTAAAATTTATTGAAAAATTTTGTTTTATTAAGATAATAGAGATTTTAAGCAAAAGGAAGAATTTTCTAAATAAGTTACTCCTTTGATTTCAGTTAAAGTTCTGAAAACTTTAATCTCCATTTTCTCTATAATAAAAAAAAAACATAGTTTTTAGTAATAATTGCAAGTGTTTAATACTAAATTGAATTTATTATATTTTCTCAGGTATTTGAAGGAATAGTTACAGAAATAAAGTACATTTTTATATTCGAATATTTTAATTTATATATTTAAAAATAATAATACACATATCATCAAACCAACAAAAATTATATGAAGATGAGTCTCTATTCAGAAGAAATTAACGAGGTTAGTTTTTAAAAGTAAAATCATAAAATAACAATTTTTGATATTTTTAGATCGAGAATTGCTTGAATTCAGGTTATTATGATAAAGTATTAATGCTAATCAAAGAAGCTGAGTATATCAGAAATAAAGACTTTGATGTAGATACACTTTTGGAACTTACTCAATTTAGATGTAAAATACATTTGAACCAAATAGAAAAAGATTCAATAGGATCATATTATTCAGAATCAATTTCAAATCAAAAGTTTGGTATTGCAGCAGTTTGTTTGTTTACTATTTTTAATCTACCCGAAACTACTGATGAAAGAAAATATGAACTAATAAATGAAATGAGACAATTATATGTACATAATAATAATAAAATTGCAATTATTGATGTTATTTTATTATTAATGAATTTATATATGAATGACTTTAAATCAGCATTATCAATCACAGAGTCTGCTCCACCCAGTTTGAAAATTATCCAAGTTTTTGTTTTTTGCATTATGAACAAATATGATTTGGCACAACTTTTATTTGATGATTTGATTGAAAATTATGATACATATACATGTGAAATGGAGAATTATTACTCCATTTCTAATTTTAAAGAATCTTCTTTAGTTAGAATTGCACTAGCTTGGTTGCAATGTCTTAAAGGTGAATATAATTCATCTTTTATAACTTATGCAAATATGCAGACTGACTTTGGTGAGAATTCTTCTTTTAGACTTCCCTCAAAAGCAAGAGAATCCCAATCAATAATTATTTTAAATGGGATATCTGTGATGCATATGCAAAGACAACACTGGAACGATGCTTATGAAGTTTTATTAAATGCTTATAAAATTGATCCAAAATGTCAAGTTACACTTTCAAACTTAATTACATGCAGCTATTTTTTAAATTTAAAAGAAGAACCTGAAAAATACTTAAATGAGCTTAATTCGATAAACTGTAATCATCATAAAATTGCTTCTCTTGAAGCTATTGAGAAAAGCTTTAAATCGTTTAATTAACTATTATTGAAGAAACTAGTGCTAAATAGGAATAATTTAGAAAACCGGCTTGAAACTATATTACATTTATAAATGCATCATTTATATTAACTTTTTTTGTTAATAATATATAAAGGGATTGGATTACTTTCCTTATAAGGAGATTTAACCTAATAGGAAAATTTGTTGAAGTACAAAATTATATACTACACTTGTTTATATAATATATTATATTAGATAGCTTAGGATCAGGAATGTGAAGTAAATTGAAGGCTTGATCAAATTATTTACTAGTACTTAGAATGTTGAGTTGTAAATATTCTAATTTTTATTTTAACTATATATTTGCTTCTCTTTATTTCTCCTTTCCTCCTCTATCTATTGACTTAATTTCACTGAATTACAAAAACTTTTTAAGTATATATCAGTTATGGATTTTACTTTAATAGTCATTTTTTTTTGTTCTGAAATTTATAATTTTTACACATTTCAAAATAAAAATTTAGTTTAAAATTCAGTAAAAAAAAATAAAGTATATATATATTGCATATTTTATCATTTAGTACATGTAGAAATAGAATTTTATGTGGTTAAATTGTGTGCAAACAAATTTTAATATTATTTCTTCTTTAAGTGAAAAATAGAAAGAAAAGTTGTTTGTGTATCTCTGTTCAATATAGAAATGTTTTACATGATATTTAACTAAAGATTATGACTTTTCTCATAGTACAATTATTATAATATTAAATATTGTATGTATAATAAATTTTATTAATTACATGTTTAAATTTTTAGTTACGTGTATAATTACTAATTGATGAAGCCCCCTCTCCTCATTAAAAAAGTTGGCGCCATCCCTCATATAAAATAATGTAAAGTATATCTAAAAAACGTAAATTATTAAAAAAAATATTAAAGGGTTAAATAACAAAATAAAAAAAAGTAGATAGACTGATTTTGAAACAAACAACAAATTACAGTCAAAAATGTACAAAGTAACTGACTAGGTTTTAATTTTTTTTCCATTTTGAAGTAATATTAAACTAATTTATGATAATAATTGAAATTAAGATTTAAATTGAGCAATAAGAATTTAGGATCGGCAATTATCTGCCTTGAGATGATTAAAACTGTCAAATTGTGGGAAAAGTTTCTAAAATTGGTCATTTAACTTTTAAAACATACGAAAGATTGAATAATAATTAAATACCACTTAATAAACTATTATTTATTGAATTGAATAACATATTATAGGGAATTTAATTCTTTTTTTTTTTTAATAAAAAATGGTTAAAGAAGATATTATTGTAAAATGTGAATTGAAAAATAATACAATGAAAGAATTTTCGGACTCAAGTTCACAAGAAAAAATAGAAGTTGGAGATTTAAATGAAATAGAACTAGTATTAGAAAAACAAAATCTTAGTATTAATAATACATCAGGGTATCCGGAAATATTTGATCAACTTTCAAATACTCCTCTTAACTGGGATTTAAAAATATATGAGCAATTTTTTAATCTAAGTAAAAATTGTATTAAAGAAGTATATAATTACAAGGATATTCAAATCCCAAATGAAACTGTTGAAAACTGTTTCAAGGCTATGCTAAGTCCATTAAGATTACTTAGGTTTCTCATTGGATTCAATTTCAATATTAATAATGCATTCCATGCTTTTAATAAACATATTAAATGGAGAAAAGAATTTAATATGGATAATGTAGTTAGACCCTATGTAATTACAAATATGGTTCCAAATAATAATATAGAAATGGCTCCACTACACAATATTATAACAAGATATTATCCTTGTAATTTATTATTAAGGGAAAGTACCCATGAGAAAACACCATTAAAAGACTTTTATGGTAACATTATTTGCATTGAAAGATTTGGTTTACTTGATGAAACAAGATTATTAGGAGCTGTCAAAGTTGAAGAGTTATTATTATGGTATTCTTATCATATGGAATATAGAAGTATACTTTTAGATAATCTTTCATATGAAGTCAAATCACTTGTTAGAGCAACTTGCATAATAGATTTATTTGGACTAAGTATATCTCAAGTGCATTCTTCACATATGATAACAATATTGAGAAGAATGATACAACTGGCTTCTGATAATTATCCAGAAGGTATGTCTTATGTTATTTTTGTTAATTCACCCAAATTTTTTTCTATTGTATGGAATTCATTCAAATCATTACTTGCTGCAAGAACTGTTGAGAAAATTCTAGTTTTGGACGAGGATTATAAGACAAAGTTGATAAATATAGTACCAATAAGTAATCTTCCACAATTTTTAGGAGGACTTACAACTGATCAATTTTCTACTGTACCTAATACTGGTACATTATTGTTGGACTGTTTTGGACTTGGTGATGATAGGCAAACATTACATATTAAAAGGATGAAAAAAGAAAAAGTTTCAATTTCTATATCAAAACCTAATACGAAAGTATTTTGGACATGGGGAGTTTTAGATGGAGAAATTAGTTTTTCTGCTAAATACTTTACTGATAAAATATTTACATCATTAAGTAATGAAAAAACAAGAAATGATTTTTGTCATAGTGGTGATATCGATAAACAATTCAGTTCAAATAACAACTTTTTATCTGAGAATTATGATAATCATCCGGAATTTAAAATTAATATTAGTTCTACTAATGATCTTAATAACACCTACAATTTTAATACTAGCAAAAGATCATCTAAAAATTCCAAAAGACTTTCCAGCAATAATATAACAAGTCCTGTTACATCAATGCAAAATTTAATGAATCAAGAAATTACTTTGGTTCCAATGTCTAAATTTGACTCTACTAAAGCATATGGTGGTTCATATTTTTCAGAATCTCCGGGTTATTTAGTATTACAATGGGACAATTCTTGGAGTTTATTTTCTGCAAAAACTGTTCATTTTGTTATAAAAACTAGTAATACAGCATTGCCTGAGGATCATAATGACAATAATAGTAATACTAATAATAATGACAATGATAATGATAATAATAGTGGTAATAATAATGATGATATTAATGTTAACAATATTGACTCAAATATTAATGATTTATCAGATATAAGTAATTTAGTATCTCATAATGTAGCATTAACAAATATAACTAAAAAGAGGCCATCAAAAAGCCACAAATCTGTTGAGAAGAAAAAAATTAATTCAAAAAGAAATTCAAAAGTGTCAAATAAATCTATAGCTTTAGTAAAAATGGATGATAATATTTCAATGCCTAATATGGATAAAAGTAATAATGATTATTTGATGTCAAAACCAATTAAAAAAGGTAAACAAAAACATAAATCTAGAGAAGGCAATACTCATAATATTTCAGATTATAAAAAAAATAATGTATTTAATGAAAATGATAAAATGGCAATAACATCCATACTTAATGATAAAGACCAAATACTTGATTCATCTTTGAATTATGATATTGATAGTAATTCAGAATGTCAAACAAATTATTCATTTATGACAGCTTATTCAGGAGTTGATGAGATTTTAGATTTGTTTGAATATAATAAGAATTCTTTAATGAATTTAAATACATACAAAAAGAAGATTAATCAGACAGATGAAAATAATAGTAAAGATAAAGAATTATTTGATAAACCTTTAAAAACTTCTGTTAATTATAAATTAACAGAATTAAATTCAAATATTATTGAATCACGTATATCTGTGAAAGATCTAAATAGAGATGATGATAATGATGATAATGGAGAAGATGATGATGTTAACGATGAAGAAGAGGACAAAAATGAGGTTGATAATGATGATGAGGAGGAGGAGGAGGAGGAGGAGGAGGAGGAGGAGGAGGAAGAGGAAGAGGAAGAGGAAGATGATGATGAGAAACAAGCTGAAGAAGAAAGTAATAGCGAATTTACAAGCTCACAATTAAGTGTAGATGAAACAGGCGAGTGTGATTTAATAGTGGATAGCTTAAATTCTTCAAATTGTTCAAACTCTAGTAAAGAAAGTTTTAATAGAGAATTTAATTTAGGTAATAAATGTCTAAACGTAAGAAATAGAAATTTGTTAAGTAAAAATCAAATTTCACTGGAAACTAGTATTAATATATTTGGTTTTGAAAATTTTGGATTTGAATCGTCACAAGAATATAAGAGAAGATATGATGAACTTTTAGACTATATTAATTCCACTTTAATGCTAGAATCCACAAAAAATCAAGAATTTTATTCACCACAATCTTCATTTATTTTTACAGATAAGCCGAAAAAGGCGAGTTCTCCAATATTTGAATGTAAATTTGGGCATTTACATCATAAATTTGCAAATATATTTATTCGTTCCAGAAAGAACAACAATAGAGTGAACAATAGCTCTACTAGTGTTAAAAACAACAATAAAAATATTGGTAGTTTGCTTAAAAACACGTTATTTACTAGATTAAGAAATAAATTCAAAAGAGAGAAATAATTCAAAATTACTAGTAGAAAATATACAAGTAGAAATCAAGTATGTAAAAGAAATAACAATTATATAGGATAAGATCAAAAAAAAGTAAATATAATAGATCTTAGAATGAGGTTTGGATCAGGAACTTCATTTTGGGTTACTTTTTAATAAACATTACAGAGGAAAGCAGAGCAAAATTAAATTCCGTAATGAATTTAAATGCATGCATTTTAGGCGGGCATAATGTGGACCATTTTTATAGTATTTAATAATTATTAGTAGTATGTGACATCTAGATATGTATATGGTGCATATTTATACATATAAATATACATATACATATACATATACATATATGCACTAAGTAACGTAATAAATGCAAACTGAGTATTGTATTGTATTATCTTTTTTTGAGATTTGTAACAAAGTTAAATTTAGTAGATTATGTTGTTATTGTGTGGAGTGTTAAAGGGAAACAATATGGGAATAATTTGAATTATAAAAAAAAGATTTAGAAATTAAAAATATAATTGTTTAAATAGCATAAGGTAGCAAGAAATTGTGATGAATGATTATGACAAAGTGGGTGGTAATATCATAATATATGTTAAGTCTATGTAGGTAAACATGTAAGTAGTACAAACACAACTAGTAGAAATTAGCTTCGTCTTCTTCATCTCCCTCTTCAGTAGGAATATTAGTGAGATCCAAATCTTCCCCAGTAATGTTTTTCCAGAGTCTCAATACATCTTGAGTTAGAGATTCGAAGTGAGAGGAAGCATCACAAGATTTAGAGACAAAAACATTATCATCCTTTCCTGAATCAGTTGGTTCGTATAAATCAGATGTGTAGAAGAATTGTTCTTCAATGGAATTTCCTAAAAGTTTTATTGCTGGATTAATTTCCAAAAGTGGATTATCAGTTTCAACAGTAGTGGAAATAATTGCAATGTACTTGCCTTTAAGAGCCACCCCATGAGTACATGAAACCATCATAACATAAATATCATTCTTTCTTCCAAGCTCATTTTGAGGAATAATAATTTGGCATGAAGACACATCATTGGTGTCATTAATAGGAGAATTTAAAATACATATACAACGTAAAACTTTACCGGTACACTTAACTTTAGGTTTATTATCATTTTCATTTAATACATATGATGGATCACAGATAACCATTTTACATTCAGCCTTTCCTTGTGAGGTAATAACACCAGATACCTTACCTTGTTCATCATATAAAAATTGTTTAACATTTGTATTTAGCATAAAAGTACCTCCATGAATAGCACATAATCTTGAAAATCCCTCTGGTAAACCACCAAGACCGTATACAGGATATATAAAAGGAGACTTACCATACCTACTTAGACTCATCATATATAATCTAATCTTATCCAAAGTTTCACCACATGGCTTATTAATATAATCATCATTTGTATAGAGAGCTAAAGCATGTCCAACAAAATCTATAGTGGTCGAAGATAGACCGAAATGATCATATATATCTTTCATTGTATTTGTGTTCCTATTAAATCCCATTTGTTTTGAAACATCATCATCTGACCAATTTGCCACAAATGAAAAAAACGATCTGCATCTGTTCTTCTCCATAAGACCTAATAATGGACTCTTTAAAGCTTCAATTTCAGTAGCTGGTACCTTATGTATGAATTTGGGATTAAAAAGCAATCCTCCTTTTTGAAATTGATATACATAGGTACCTTCAATTACCTGCCATTCTAAATATCTTGTCACTTTTGTTTTTAATAATATTTTTACGAGATCACCACTTGCCATGACAAATTTTGGTATTAAATCTACATTCCAGTCTCTATTAGCTCCATAATTATCAGGAGGAGATTTACCAGGTCTAAACTTCTGATACAATGTTGTTAAATTTAATGATGCTGCTTCTCCACCATAATAACTGTTTCTATCGATATGGAGAACTTTTTTGCCTGATGTTGATAACAATCCACTTATTATACATTCAGTTAGTCCAGTTCCACATATTAATACATCATATTTTTCATCCATTATTAATTAATTACTATTATTACCCGTCTTAAGTAAAAGTATTTTAAAAAAAAAAAAAAACTTAGAATACTCACTTTTCTTTCTTTGTTTTGCCTATTGTTTTATTCTGGTCCTCCACCCACACAACTTATTACGTGTTCCTATTTAATTTATTTAAATGTATTATTTCAATTTTTAAACATATAAGAACAACTTAGACTTCCACTAAGCTTTATATGTGAGAAATATAATATACAGTATGCAAAATGCAAAATATATCAACTTTCTTATTTTATCTTTTTTTTAATTTCTTTATATCCTCTTTTTCCCCATAACTCTGACATTTTTATTATTATTATTATAGGCGCCATTGTAAAGGCGGGAAGATCTTGAAATATTATTAATGCATGTAGGTATAATAATAAAAGTATAAAATAAAATGTATTTATGTTTATATATAGATATAAACAAATTAAAATTAGCAGTAAAATTATTAAAACATAAAAGGTGCAACTCTTGAAATAATTAATAAAATTAAATGAATGGTAGGAAAATAAGAGTCTAATCTTGAGAATTAAGAGGAGAAAAAAGTACAAATTTGGAATAAAAGATTAATATTAGAAAGAGAAGAAAAATCTTTGGAAAATTCAACTTTGGATATTTGAAAAAAAAACTAAGTAAATTTACAAGTACTAAAAATAAAACAACTTAATTTAAATATATACAAGAAAAAGCTGGGGCTGAATGTGTGGGGAAGGACAAAATATATAATATAAATGCTTATCAAACAATTAAAAATATCACTTACTATTAGTTATGACTGAAGAAAAGGCTTTTGATGTCATACCTGAGCTCATTGATGATGCCTTTGTGCTAACAAGATGTGAATATATGATCCAGCTTTCATATTACACTCCAGATTTGCATGTTACTAGAGGTTGGTCTTTAATTACTAAAGAACAAAGAGAGAGATTTAATAAATATGCATCAAATTTGGGGGGACACGTAATACAATGCATATATGAATTATCTGAGCTACCCAAAAACCAAAATTTTGATACTATTTTTGGTGAAAATAAAATCATAGTAAACTCAAAGAGCATGGTTTTCAAGAGTGGAGCATTACCACCCCCCAAAGGATTTGATTCAAATCCCATGGGAGTTTATAGATTTGGAATATTTACTATAGCTTTAGGACCAATTTTAATGGTAGATAGTATTGATGGAATAAGATCTTCGGCACCTTTTCCTCCAGGATATATGTGTAGATCATGGCAATGCAATGACTCTATCAATGTTCCATCAAGCAGAAACTCCTTTACAGCTAACTATCAAGTAAAATTCTGCGATCAAATACTACCAACTATGCTTATAGAAATTGAATTTAAACCACTCAGAATTGAAATTTCACAACCAATCTGTGAAATGTGTGATATTAATATTTCCACTCTTTACTGTGAATCAGATAAGGCTCACCTTTGTGCATCATGTGATGAGTTTCACCATTCTTCCAGTAGATTACTTTCAAAACATCAAAGGGTACCAGTATCACAAAGCCCATATCAATTTGGTTTTTGTCCACACCACTCAACAGAAAGAATTGATTCAGTATGTATGAATTGCTACATATCATTATGTCCACATTGCATACTAATAGGACAGCATTCATCAGGAGATGCAGCTGAGCATATATTAATATCAACAACAGATGCAATTAGAATGGCATATTCTGGAGTGTCACAGAGTGATCTGGAACTACAAAAAAGAAAAAAGCAGCTAGCAGATTATTTATCAGGTAGACACAATCATATTAATGATATTAGGTCCAACTATGATGAAATACAAGAAAGGATTGAAATTGCATCAAAAAGTTTATTGCAACAATTAGCATCACTTAGAGAAAGAAAAATCTCATTCATCATGTCTATCAAAAGGCAATTACTTACTGAACTTCTTCTCATTGAGTGGATGGAAGCATTTTTTGCCCATTTAAGATTGGCCCTTTTACCTTCGGATTTTCTTGTATATTCACACAGACATGATTTAGTATGTAGTTATTTTTTTGGCGGGAAATCAAATATTGTTGTAAGCAATGAAGTTTTGCCAAGTTGGATATTAGAAAAGTTTTTTGTAGATGGTGGGTTTAATGTAATATCAAGATCAGGTGAGGCTGATGATATGCTGAGCATTTTGAAAGAGAATCAAAATGGCTTGGAAGATGGGTTTAATGACAGTAATGACGAGAATTTAGATTCATTAAATGCATTAAAAAAGAAGTTCGAATATATGGATGACATTGATGAGGGAGAAAGTACTAACTTAGATGAATCTAATAAACTTAATAAAAATGCAGTGGCTAAGTGGGACGAGTTTAGTGTTGGAGAAGTTAGTAATAAGTCTATCTGTGATTTGAGCGGGAAAAATCTCCCCATAGAACAGAAATTATTAACATCAGAAGAATATAATGCATGCAAATTGCCATCACTTGGTACGGAAAAACACAATAAAGATGAAAACAATAGTCAAAATTCATTTGCAAGATATCCAGAACTAAGAACAACAAAGTTGATGCCTCAAATGAGGGATTTAGTAGAGAAGTTGAATCCAAAATCCAGAAATTTACATGAGTATTATTACTCCAAGTATGATGTTGACGATTTGGTTGAAAATGTAGTATCTCGTGTTCAGGAAAAACTGAATGGAATTTCTACAACAGAAAATGATGAAGAAGTTATTTGGTTAAATATAAATAATACAAAAGAGAATGATATTAATAATACAATTGATAATATATTATTATCTAGGAATAATAAGGCATCAAAGAATATCAGTATTTGGGATCCAAGTGTAGATAGGCCATCTGAATTAGCAAAAGAATATTGGAGGTTTTTGGTTGGTTATAATTATGAGTTATTAATAGCTTTGCTTCATTCAGCTCCATCATTAAAGAGAAAGAATCTGATTCAGGATGTATTTAACTTATCAATATATATGCAGTCATTTGACCACCTATTTTATTCTTTGTTTCATTTTGAAATTAATTTCTTGAGTAATATTCCAATTGATACAATGCTATTATCATCTTCTGTAATTAATGATTTCTTTCATATAATGTTAAAAGCTAATAGTTTAACTAAAGTTGATAGATTATTTTTGGTTCAATATATCCAGATTGTAATTATTAATATACTAAATATACGAGAAGGTCCTTATGTAAATCATATTGGTAAAACTTTAAATATAAAAAATTCAAATAAGAATGAATTGTTGTTGGAACAACATGAATTAGATAAAGGTTTAATAGAATTTGAAGAGAAAATTTTAGAAACAACTGAGAACTTTATAAGGCAAATAACTTCATTAGATATTAATGCAATTCCAGACACATTAAGAGGTATTTTATATGGTATAATAGATATAATAGATTCAATAAGTAGTGAAGCTCACTTAAAAAAATCAAAAGAAAACAATTTAAATCACTTGCCTTCAAGATCCCAAAAAGTAATAGCTTACTGCACAAATGGGTCAATTTCCTTTTGTTGTCAAATTTTATTAAACCATTATATTATTCCAAGAATCTCAAATGTTATTGCATCTCTAAATTATACATTAAAAGATAATAATAACCAATCAGGAACTGTTACCAAGAAAACTGATATAATAGCTAGAATTCAGTGTTTCAGAAGGGCTTTAAGTGCTATATCTATATATGTATGGGAACCATCCACAAAAAATACTCCAGAGAAAAATCTCAATAATTTGGAGCAAAAATACAGGGAATTGGGCTTGCAGGTGTTTTCATGGCTCCAAAAAATCTTTAAGAAACCAAGATTGGTTTCACCAATAATATTTAATATTGTCGGTATGCCAGAAAGAGGAATAAATTCGATTGATAATATAAAAAACTATATGATTTGGTTAGATAATGCGTTAAGAAATGACCAATTAAAGTCGGATGGTGGTATGGGTCAGAAGGAAATCTTAAATTGTCAGTACTTTGAGAAACTGCTTTCTTTGGCAATAAAAGGACTAAAAAATTAATTACATTTATGTTATTTCAATTAATACATATATGTATTTTTATGCACACATTTGGCGGTAACCATTTTTTATTTATTATTTGGCATAAATATCTACATGCATTAATAGTATTTCTTTAATTTTTGAATAGCCACATAAATTTAATTACGTGTATTAATATTGAAATAACAGTAATAGTTAAATAAATGAGTAGTTATAAATATATAGAATGAGTTCTTGTGTTTTCTTTAGTTCAGTATATTCAAGTGTTAAACAATATTAAGTTATTTGGCATTGTAAATTCTTCAAGAACTTTTATTAAACAATTATTTATAAAGGAGAATTCGAATTTTTACATATATAATTACAATTATTATTATCTCAGCCTCCCTTTACTTCCTTGAAAAAGAAAGAAAAGTTGTACAGGAATATTTTTTTGTCAAGAGAAATAAAATATTACAAATTACAAACAATTAAATAATTATTCCCTTTAGATTATTTGGACTAAATTTGTTTCCGTTTTTTGGGTTATTCTTGCAGTAATCATCCTGAAATGAAAATGATCTCGTTGATAATAACATAGAGTCATCCAAATTCTGAACTGAGTAATCCGCTAGAGGAAGAGTATCATTTTTAAGAAAAGTGGAAGATTTAGTAAACGAAGAAGATTCGCTCGGTGAATCATCCGAAGAATCATCAAAGGTACTCACAGATGATGAGCTTATAAATTTGCGAGATGATAAATTTCTACCATTTTCATACTTGAGATATTTATGGCAAATAAGCTCTTCAAGCCTGATTTTGCTGACATTATTTTGATTCTTGCCATTAATAAGATTCTCTAGATCATTAAGAACCATATCAGTAGTAGTTTGTATTGTATTAGATACACTATTTGGAGCAGAATCCAATTTCCCACCAAGTTCAATATCAACTCTGGATACTATATAACATACTATAAGTGCCATTATACATATAAGCAAGAAAAATGCTTCAACTGCAACATATGATTTGAAAGTTGAATGTAGAAAAGCAACTTGTATTGGGGTAATAATGAATCCAAAGTTTTGTATACATGTAACTACACCAAGTGCAGTACCTAATAAAGTTGGTGGAACACTTAAGCTTATACATGGCCAATAAACTGTGGCAAAAAGTGTATATCCAAATCCCAGTATAGTAATGGAGATTGCAGGATGTAATTTGAGCATTAAAGCATGAGCAAGTGCCAGAAACCCAACAGAAATTGTGAGTAATTTACATCTTTCACCAACACGATCAACAATCCATCCCAATATTGGAAGTACCAATACAGAAACTGCATATAACAAACTCATAATAATACCTGCATATTGTCTAGCAGTAGAAGCTGGAATATCCTTATATTGAGTTTCAACTATTAAAGGTCCTGCAATGTAATTAAATGGCATAATTACACTATAAGATAGTAATCCCAAAATAGATAAATACCAATATAATCTCCCAAGTCCACGTATTTTTCTACCAACTAGAACAATCCTGAATTTTAAATGGCTAATATATGATGTTTTACTAGTTTTCATAATTTCATTATGAGAAATCAAATCAGTATGGCTATTAGTTTTAGTTTCATTAAACATATTATCAACATTTTCATTTGACAAATCTTCCAAATAATACTTTCTGATGTTTGCAATGACACTAACTCCTCCAACAACCATTAGTACTAATCCCAATAAAAAAGTCCAATATACTGGGAATAATGTTGCTATAATAGGAGAGACCATATCACTCAATACAGATCCAATTCTTCCAATTGCTAAACATATAGATAGGGCTAAAGCAACCTCCCAATCCGGAAAATACCTGATTAGCAAAGAATTAAAGGCAATAAGTGATGATTCAGATCCCAAACCAAAAATACATCTCCCAATTAACATAGTAGTTAAACTCTTCATTCCAAATCCAAGAGTTAGAATAAATTGACCCAAAATTAGAAATGATATAAGTGCCATTGATAAATAGTATAAGGAAACTGTATCTATAAGAACTCCTGCTAAAAGAGGAAAGATCAAATTTGGAACGGATACCAATGAACAAAGTGTATTGTAATAATATTCAAATTCTTCTTTACTATATAGGTCCTCAAATGCATCAAAAATAAAAGGTGCAATTGCAGGTAATGTATCGTTACTATACATTATTCCCATTGTAACTAAGCTGATACATACCAATAGCATCCATCTTGCCACCAGTTGTGACCCATATTCGTTATTACTTTCAACAATTTTCATCATTTTTTCCAGATAAGTTTTAATTTAGACTTAGGCTTTGACTTTAAAGTTTTAAGCTTAAGTTTTTCTTTAGTTTTAGATTAATTAAAAGAAAATAAAAGAGAAAAATAATAAGCCATCAATAGTAGTAAAGTTCAACCCAGTAAACTTTAAATGTTTCAAATTCTTTCTTTTTTTCTTACAAGCAAATCCTTTTGCTTTTCTTCTCTTTCAATTATTTTAGTCCTTCATCATAGATAATTAATACTTTTTTATTACTAATGCTTTAATTTGGCTGTAAATTATTTTCTTTTTTAGTGTACTATCTCAAAGCCTTATTAAATAATTCAAATAATTAAATTAATTCTTAATATTTTGTATATATACAAAAATTTTGATATATTAATTAAGAGAAATTATAGCGATTTTCTGCAAATCTTGTAATTATGTGTTAGACTAATACTTGCTTCCAAAACACTTTCTTCTTAAGTTAATATATGAAAGTTATAAAATTAATATTTTCAGTTTTTAACTGAGAAAATATACTTTACTTTTATTTTTCTTTTTCTTTTCAATATTGTACTTTCAATTTCTTCTTCCTCTTTATTTTTTTTTTATTATTCTTTTCAATGAATTGTCATTTGCATGTAATTGGCGCCGAACAATGGCGCCAATTGTTTAGCATGCATGCGATGTATTATAGAAAAGGTTTAAAGCGGTAACTAAAAAGAAATAATGGTTAGAGTGAAGTATTTTTTTTTTTTTAATTTACTTTATAGTTGTAATGAAAATAGATATTTTTAGTTTTCTATTCTTTATAATTGAAGTTTTTATTCTGTTTATTAATTATTAATTAAATTTATTTAGTTATTTATAGTATTTCTTCATAGATTAGATGGAAAAAAGAGGGGTAATAGATTTTTTTAAAAAATGCAATACATGTAAAAAATGGTTTAGAAGTATTTAAAGCAAGGTTGATTAATAGAGGTGATATAAAAATTATATTATAAATCTAACAAGTTTGGCTTGATTACTAATAATCAACTTTTAATTTGTGAATCTAGTTCGTCATATATACTATCAATATTAAATTCTTGTGACCAATTAGAAACAACAGTAATAGAATCTTTTTCTAATAAATCTTGATCAGAATTACTTTGAGGGGGAAAATTATAATAAGGAATTTTACCATTGAACCAATCAGTTAAAACAATCATTGCTGCAGAGTTAATATCAGGAATACCACCCTTGTTAAGTTTACCTCTTGAAATTGAGACATTTGTTAGAAACTCAGAAACATTAGTAAACATAGGTATTTTATATAGCTTAAGTAGAATCTCATGATCAATCTTTTGTAAAAGTAGTGATATTGGCTCGAAATAATCTTTAACATTTGTTAACTGTACAGTATTTCTCAAAATTTGTGTAGGATCTTGAGAATTACCAATAAATACAACACCTGGACTATCAATTAACTTAGTTGTAGAATCTAGATCGACTCTTTGTAAATGTCTAGTTACTCCAGCAACAGCTCCAACCTTAACACAATATCCTCTTTTCAAAGAATTAATTAAGGATGATTTCCCAACATTAGGATAACCCATAATACCAATTGTAATGGATTTCTTTGCATTTTTATTACACCTTGAATAATTTTTAATTAATGACATTAATGCTGAAACACCAAAGGCAACAGATCCTGCTCTAATAAAATCATTGGATATTTTTAACCCACTATTTTTAGAATGATTTACTCCATGTTCTGTAGAAGTATTTAATGCTGATTTAAATGCCAAAGTTGGATGTTCTCTTCTTAAATAAGTCAACCACTCTTTGACAACATCTCCTGGTACCAAATCAATCTTACTTAAAACTAAGACTAATTTTTTACCTTGTGCAACAATTGATCTTTCTAACTCAATATTTCTAAATCCCAATGGATCTCTGGCATCCAAAATCTCCAATATTACATCTGACTCGTCAATTAACTTCCTTAAATCTCTAAGAAAAGCTTTTCTAGATGAATCTGATGATGATGGATCACCCAAAGTCTTCATATTAAGTTCTTCCAATTCTGATTTGGATGCTTCAAAAGCATTTTGGCGACTAAGTGCATTTTCTACAAAATCAGATAAATTTGTTGGTAATTTAGATACAGTAGAATTTTGTTCCTCACTTATATCCACCATAGATTCAGTCCTTTTCTTTTCTCTAATTAATAGTTTTTTTTCTTCCTTTTCCTGTTTCATTCTTTCCTTCAAATCGTTCATTTCATTCAACATTTGTTCTTTAAATGGCCACAAATTTGGTATATTTAATTCTTTAGTTTTCCCTTTCTTGCCCTTAATAAATGATGACTTCCTTGCTATCTTTTTCATTTTCTTTTTATGCTGGGAAACTCTTTTTTCTATTTTATATTTCCTCCCCAGAGGCATTCTCTTACTTGTGCTTTTCTTTATCTTCATTTCTGTTTATATCAATAACTTATCGCCTTAAACTAGTAATTAAGTTCGAGTACTTTCTTAAGCTATCATATATATTAAAATTACAAATATTTGTTTTTTGTATAAATTAATATATTTATATCCGTTTAATTCTTATTATATGTAACAATTCTTTCAGTGATTACTTAGTAGCTTACTTAAAAGCAAACCCAAGAAAAATATAGAAGAAACTATCTATAATATTTACAAATTGTTTAATATTTTTAATTTTGCTCTTTTTCTAGTTTTATTTTGACATTAACTATCCATTAAAAATCGTCTTAGCCCGCCTTTTGGAATTGTATTACTAATTACCGGTATGGGAATTATTTTATGTACATAACAAAAATATTTACTAAAAAATTATTAAATTTGCATGTGGACAAATAAGTAAATGAAAATATGGATAATTTAAATCAATTGAAAAAATATTTATTAATTTATTATTTTTGTAGACAATTGACTTAATAATAATTACAGGAACGTTAATATATTGAAATAAAAAATGAAAACTTATAATAAGTAGTAATCAAATAAGTTTTTGTGAAATAGTTTCCTGGAGTAATCCTGCATCTATTAATGTCGTGTTTGGGTCATATTTAATTTCTTTTGGAGGAAATCCAGAAACAAGCTGGTAATCTCCGTCAACGGGAGCACATTCCATAAAGATACAGTGCAAATCAGCAATAGTGTGATCATGATTTAATGTAACAACTTTCTTTTGACCATTATGAAATCTTAGTTGTATGTTAGTAGTTGGCTTGGTATTGTCAACAGTAATTTGAGCTTTAGAATCAATGTTAACTTCAAATGCTGAACTTTTTGTCTGACCAAGTGAATTTCCTGATCCTGAAAACATTTTCATTGGTTTCTTTGGTGGAACATATTCTTCGGAGCTACGATCATCTAGAGCAATATTAATTGTTTGGTTATTTTTAGATCTTTTCCTAAGTTCTTCTGGAGCTACTGAATTTTTTATATCTTTGACGAAAGCTTCATTTTCTGGCAAAGAAATATCTCTAAATTCCTCATTATCTATAATAAACCCATTCTTATACAGTACAACTTTTATAGCATTTTCTGGAATGCCTCCTCTTCCATTACTATTATATTCTCCAGGATTTTCAACTGCTAATCCACTTTATCTTTAGTGAATGTTACTTAATTTAAAAAAAAACACTACTCACCTTTTCTCACCACCAGTATAACTATTGGTGATTTTCTCATCATTGTTATTATTATTTAAATCAGAAAGTCCCCTATAATTATTAATTATTATATTGTTTTATTTCTAAATTACACATCTTATTCTTAATATAACATACCTAATTACTGGCATACTTCCAAATCTTTTTAAAAATATTAAATTATTTTTTCCTTTAAATTTCCAGCTTCTTTACTAATATTGCTTTCTATGTGTACAAATTAAATTGATTTATTTTATTGGAATTAATAAAATGTTTTCACCAGAAATATTTGGCAGGAGAAAATCAGATAAACCTTAATAAAACAAATTTTTATCAAAAATTAATGTTAACTTTCTCCCTCACCTTCTTCCCTCCCTATCTCCCCCATCTCTTTTCTGTTTATTTCCCTCTTATTATTGCATGCAAATAAACCAGAGTTTGGGCGGGCCATATAAAATAATTAATATGTTACTAAGAATAAAAGCAAAATTCATCTCCCTAAAAAACATAGCGTAAATAAACAAATGAATCAACAAGATCAAATATAAAGAGACAAAGAGTTAAGTCGAGATAACTTGAAATGAAATAGAACTATGGGTTAAGGTATTTCTATTAAATTAAGGAAATGTATCTAAGTCCTGAAATATTTAGACTGTAACCTTGTTGCTAGTTACAGCGAGGAAATCAGAGAATTGTTTGTATGGAGAAGGAGTGAATGAATATTCTTTCCATAAATCAGGTGTAAGGTAAGCATAAGTACTCTTCAATGCGGCAAAAATGGCCAACATAAAGTTTCCTCTGGTCTTAGTACATCCTCTGGATGAAGTAAAGCAATCCTTAACACCTGCAAATTGGAGCATTTTCTTTGTAGTTGGAGCACCAACGATAGCAGTACCTCTTGGGGCTGGTACTAAACGTACAAGTACTGAACCACATTTTCCACTAACCTTCATTGGAACTGTATGTGGCTCACCAATTTTGTTACCCCAGTAACCTCTACGTACCGGTACTAATGATAGCTTAGCGGCAATAATTCCACCTCTAATAGCAGTAGCAACCTCTTTTGCGCATTTTACTCCAAGTCCAATATGTCCATTAAAGTCTCCAACAGCAACGAAAGCCTTGTAACGAGTTCTTTGTCCTGCACGTGTTTGTTTCTGAACTGGCATAATTTTCATAACTTCTTCAGATAATTGAGAGCTACCTGAGAAGAAATAATCAACAATTTGGTGTTCTTTGATTGGTAGTGAATGAAGATAAATTTCCTCAATAGAATTGATCTTTCCATCACGGACCAAACGACCCAATTTTGTTACTGGTACCCAACTTTTGAGTTCATCTTCAGCTGGAGATGCACGACTTCTTCCACGTGGACCTTTACCACGTCCACCTCTATCGCCACCTCTCGATCCAAAACCTTTTCCAAAACCACCTCTTTCTGTAGCTGAGTATTATTAAATAAAAGAATTCAAGTTAATTAATATTTTTTACAAAGAATTGTTTAGATAGACAAAATCAATGTTTCTTTTACTAAAAAAACACTTTATGAGTTTATAAAACCGTGAATCCATTATCTCGTCTATCTACTACATATTAAACATACCTGACATATTTCTATACTCTTTTATATATTATTAAAAACTTTCCCTGGATATATCACTTTGAAAATACACTCCTGTAATAAAATCTACTCAAAATTTTTCGTAATGAATAAATCTCAAATTTTTTCTCCAAGAGTTTAAAATTACTATAATTATTGGTAATTTATTTCTTGTTTTTTTTTCTGTATATATATAAATTATTAATAAATTATAAATTTATTTGACTTTTTACTCTAATGCTATATATAAATAATTTTAAATTAATTACCCGCAAATTTTAAATATATTTTAATATAATCAATTTATACACTTCCAAGTCAATAAATACTATTATTAGCTTAAATTTATATTCAAGCTTTTTATTTTAATTTTTACTTTTGACTTTAATTCACTATTTTCATTAAACTATTACGTCTCAATTATTTTTGATTATTTACTCTAGTTCTTTTAGAAAAATATTATTATATTTTTTTTATGTACTCATCTTTTCCTTTCAATTTTAATTCTGTCTCAAACACTATAAATTTAATATCGCGCACGTCGTGTCTTTCAGGCGGGCAACATGTTGATTACTTATAGGTATCGAAATGTTCATCTTAAATTCATTTTTTTTTTTTTTAATGTTGAAAAAATAAATCAAAGAAACGCAGGAGCATATTAAATCATATAGATAGAATTATTATATTCGAAGTATTTTAAAAGATTTAGGATAGTTTGTGAAATCTATCCAAAATAGATCTTCATTAATGTTTAAAAATGTATTTAAGATGCATGTATGCATGCATGTAAATATACACGTATATATATTTTTTTTGAAAAAAATAAAGTAAATTAATTTATTTAAAGAATTATTATGTATATAATTAACAACACCTACTTGAATAAAACACTTAGTGATTTAGAAATATGATCAAAACCTAATGAATTATCTGTATCTCCCTTAATAAACTTAAAGAACTGTTCCTTATTTATTTGCTGGTTTTCTCTCTGTTTTAGAAGCCTGATCTTTGTTTGTTGATCGGAAGAGCATATTGGACACTGATCTTGTTGTAATAAGCAATATCTATGAAATGAATGATCACATAAGAAGTGAATTATTGGTAATTCTAAAGGTAAATGGCATTGATTACACCTTGAAGTATTTAATAACTTAGGCATTTGCTTTAAATCTTTTATTTCCTTCTTCATTCTATTAATCTCACTGATATCATTCAATGAATTCCTACTATTTTCTGAAAGATTCTCGTTATTATAATCTGAAAATAATGCTAGAATTGGTTTAATAATCTGGAATGTTAGTGAATTATAATTTTCAACCGATGAACTATTGTTATTTACCAAGTACTTTGACAAAATCTCTAAAATAGATAGTGGAGATATTAATTTTAATGAATGAACGTTTTCCAAAATCACTTTAAGATATTCAATTAATTCACAATTATCCTTTTTATTTGTACTCTCTGATAATTTCTTTATGATAAGGCATAATGCTTCCTGCCATATAAATGGGTCCTTGTTACCAAATAACTTACAAAATTCTATAAGATCTTGGATTTCTCCTTTTTTAATTAATTCTGTAATTGCAAATTGATGTAAATTACAATGTTGTGAGATATAAAACACTCCCGAAATATATTCATAATATATACAAATACACAAAATTGAATGCCAATTCTCTGAATTATCTACTCTGATTAGTCTTTCTAGTATTAATTTAGCCCATATCTCAGATTTTGGACTCTGTCTTAAAGATACCTGTAGTATATGTATACATAATTCTACTGAAATTGTCTCAATATCTTCTAATTCTATTTGTGATTTATTCCCTTCCTTGGTTAATACATCCCAAGCCATTTCCAATAGTAAGTTATCATGATCTACAAATATTGGTAAAAATACATCTATTGGCATATTATGTTCTATTACCAAATTCTTAATAAATTTAGTTGTCTGTTTTTGAATCTTATTAATCAAAACTGGCCCATACTTTAATATTAATGACAATTTTTGTGGTTCGTCCAAGTTAATATCTTCCAAATATTCTAATGCTTCAGTTGGAGATCTTCTATCTTCTAATTGGATCTGCATATATTTATCATGAAATTGAAACATCTCTGCAATCTTCCCTGCTATTTCAAATTTATTATAGCTTCTACACATATCTATGGCAGTTTCCACTTCAAAATTATCAATTTCTTCGTTTAAATTTCGATTTTGAAGAAAATCCATAATATCCTCCAATCTATCTAACTGTGCAAATAATCTATATAGCAAAGTTACATGGTCCTTCCCAATAGTAAATCTAGACTCTTCATTATTTGTTATATTAATAACACCCTTGCTATATTCTTTACTTCTAGATATTAACACACACTCTTTTAGATACGTAATTGCCTCATCTAGTCTATTAGCTTGGAGAAAATTGTGTATAACATGGCTAGTATCACCAGAAAAACTATCTAAACAATTGATATAACAGTTTAAAGCTCGAGAGTAGTCTTTTCTTATATTACATAACCAGTCACCATATGCTCTTTGAATCTGTGAATATATAGAGTTAGATACATTTTCATTCTTTGCTAAAATTAGAGCCCATTCATAAAGGTTCTTACTTATTAATATTTGAATTCTTTCAAATAAGTTTAGCTCTTCTAAGTGAAATAGTAGATTTGGTATGGTTATATTTGTATTTGTGATATATGAATTATTTGCACTGCTATTAGTAGTACTATTATGATTGTTATTAGAGGAAGAGCTAGATAGAACATTATTTTGAATTCCTTGTCTTCTTTCTATTATTGGATTATCAAGCATATTTTTCCTATTTGTATTTATTGAAGCTGAAGTTGAAAATACATTATTTCCAGAACATAATACAAATAACATATTAAGGCCTTTAAGAATATGTGAAACATTCTTAAATTCACCAGTATAACATATACATCTTAGCTCTGGGAAATAGTTACAAATAGTAACATCGCATAATGTAGTATTCAAACTTTCAATCTGTTCTCTAGAATTGTTTGAATAGTATTCTGATGAGATATTTAAAGGAGAACTGACCAAAACAAGGTAGTTTTTAAATGTTGAAAGTATGATTGGATTCCCATGATTTGTTGGAAGAGCAGAACAGTTACCATTTACTGGGTGGTAACAGAACAATCCTTCTTCTCTAAATACGACCAACACGTCAGATACTTGTGAGGCATCCTCAGTCCATGAACTTAGTATTGAACTACAATTCAGTCTTGCACCCCCCATTGTATCATTGTAAATTAACTTTGGAATTTTGGTGTTTACTCCAATCTCATAAGACAATATAGAATTCTTTGTAGATATCATTATATAATATTCTTCTTTTGTATTTGATGATATAAAATGAATTCCAGTACATGGCTCAGATAATTCAATAAAATGACTTGAATATGTATCTACCCCAAAAAAATCTCCACATAGTATGAAAACTCCAAAATCATCAACTGTTCCCAAACCAACAAATTGGTTATCACAGCATGCTTCAAATACTGTAATTCCTCTTTCTCCCAATTCTCTATGTATTGGAAGTTCCTGGTATTTGTCCAATCTAGAACTTAAAATATTTCCGTCCAAACAATCATAAAGTTTTAATTTCCACATGTTATTACTGTCCATTCCAATAGTTATTAGGGTATTTTGAGAATACCTTATATCAAAAACAGTTACTTCATATGCTTTCCAACTCTCAGTGATGCTCAATAACCCATCTCTAAGCCCAACCTCGTATATATAGCCATCTCCAGAACCAAACCAGAGCGAGTTCTCGTTTCCTGAACATGTAATAAATGATCCCAATCCTAACTTTTCAAAATCAAGAGTTGAACTAAAATAATTTTCTCCTTCAACAACTTTTTTTTCAAAAAAAGGAAAGTACCTAAAACTCTCCATAGAACACCAAAAATGTTTTCTTTTCTTTTTCACTCTTTTCTATCCTTTTCCTTTTTTCTATTTGTTTGTTTTAATTATTTCTTCCCACAATTAATTATGCACATTTTTGCCGCCATTTGTCCCCTCCACGTCATTTTTAACTAATTTAACAGGAATATTTAGGTATATAGTAGAGGTGCATGCAGAACAAAAATTGGGTAATAAATCAAGAATAAAAAAAAATGAGTAATTTTGCAAAAAAATTGGTCAAGTTTTTCCTTTAGTAATAATAAGATTTCTCAGTCTTTTTTAAGGAAACAAATTGATTTAAGAATATGTTCAAAATTAAGAGAGCTACTTAAAATATTCACAAGCTTCTAATATAAAAAATTTTGAACAACTAAGAAAATAAAAATTCTAGCATTTTTAATCTTATTTTGGTGTCAACTCGTGTAAACAATTTCTCATTACTTCTGTATTTACATTTTCAAATTCTAGGCTTGAGTATAGCTTTTTGGCAATAGGGGACTCCACGGTTAAGTCAATTCTACCACAATCAAACTTATTTTTTGCATCCTCAATAATTTGTTTACAAAGTAGTCTTCCAAGTCCTCTGTTTCTATAGTCAGGTGAAATTATTACATGCTCTATCCTGGAATCGTTTTTTCTTCCCAGATGAGGAATAATATAAAACCCAGCATATCCAACAATAAGGTTACTTTCAGTATCTACCAAGCAGTAAGGGTGATAAGAATTGTACCTAAATCTCTCTTCTACCTGCTCTTTACTCAAAATTTCGGTACACCTTGTCACACCACAAATCAAGTTTCTCAATTCAAAGTAATCGTCGATTGTGGCCTTTCTTACTTCAAAGGAAGAACTCATATTTAAAAAAAAAGCTTTTGCTTTATGTGATAATATGTCAATTTTTTTGAGTGTTTATTGTAATAAAATTATCATTATTTCATGCATTTCACATTATAATATCAAGTAAGGCGGGCTTTGCATTTTGCCTATTCAAAAAACTCAAGTAGCAGAGAATCGGAAACCACTTTTTTCCTCCAATAAGATTCATTAAAATTGTGAATACTGAACTTTTTAGAGAGAAATTTGTGCTTGAACATATATCGAAAAAATATTGGGTGAAAAGAAGATCTTGAAGTATCAGTTAAATACATTTTGTATTTAGGTAAGGGTCTATGGAATAAATGTTGAATACTGCTGACAAAATAAGAGCTAGGAATTCTGAATTCAAATCTCACAGAAGGAGCAAAACATTTCCGGCAATAAGTCATGCTTTTCATTCAAATATTTATCGTGGAAGAAATGTTGTAATAACTAATACAAGTACATTTAAGAAAAGTTTTACCTATTTATTATTATTGTCATTAATAGGGATAGTTACAGTAGACTTTATATTTAGAAGATTTGGAGCATTGACTTTATTTGATAATATTAAAAGTATTTCGTTAGATAAAAAACCTTTGGAAGGTGAATTCACATTTAAAAATGTGAATAATATATTTCATTCTTCAGATATTATGAAGGTGAAACGAATATCTCTTTCACAAAAGAATAATGGTGTTAGTGTGATAAGTATTAAACACATTTTAAAGAATTCAACAATTTCAGAATTAAACTCTGATTTAATTTTATATACAAGAGATGAGCAAAAAAATACAAGCCTTCAAAGAAGAATAATGAAAGATATAGAAAAGGGAGTAATAGATGATGTAGTTGGATTAATGGTATTATTATTGAAGCATAAAAGAATTTCATCAGAATCCCCTTTATATTCAATAATTAGAATTTTACCATCAGTAAAATGGTTTAAGAATAATGGAATATTTTCAATGAATAGAAAAGATTTTGATGTAGCATCATATGGAACAAGTATGGAGGGTATTTATGAATCTGTTGAGAAACATTGTAAATTAGCAACTTCTTATATTTATTCATCAATAATTAAACGTGAATTCGGAATTCCTCAGTCAGTAGATTACTTGAATGGCCCTCCAATAACTCAATATGATATACAATGGGCATATATGATAGTTAGATCTTATTCCATAGAAATAGGAGGTGGGCTTGCTTTTATTCCGTCATTAATATTTATAAGAAAAACTAATAAGGATTCAAATTTTGAGATAGTTTTTGATAAATATACAAGAAATCAAAATGGAAATAATAGTACAGAAATTTTTGAAGATGAAAGGTTTGGTAATAACACTGGTATAAGACAGGCAATTAGGTTAGTTTCAAAAAAAAATATACTTAAAGGGGAAGAGATACTTTATAAAGATGATAAAAGTTTAACGGATTCAGAAATGTTTATAAGTAGAGGACAGTGGTTACTAAATTCCCATAAAATGATTCTTCCAATAGTTTTTCCAGAAAACATTTTGATTAATAATAATCAAGAGTCTTTTGATAATCATCAAAAGTTATCTATCAAGCATTTATATTCAAATAGTACTTTGTCATCTGATATATCAATTAATAATAATATAACAAACATATTACTGAGAAAGTTTGATTGCTCATTAGATACTATACACAACTTTTATTTCGAAGAGAATAATGCTATAAATAGCAAGTTTACATTTTGTTTAAAATTGTTATCATACATTAAACACTGTTCAGAAATACATAATTTGTTAAATATTGATCCATATCAAATTTTAAAACCATTGGAAAGAAAGATTGAGATAGATGCAGCTTCCATAGGTATTTCAATAATACAGAATAAGATAGACAAATTAAGATCATCGGCAGCTAATATAATAAGTCATTTTGGACATAAAAGCATACATCAACTTCCTATAATTAAAGTTAGAGAAGCCGAGATGATTATTCTTAGAAATATAATTAAAAATCTACATAATTGGTATTATATAGTTAGTGATATTGATACTTATGAATCATACTATTATTATTTGTTACAAAATTAGTTAATTATCATTCACTTAAGTGACTAAAAACATATATAAATTAATATTTTTTCTACTTAACTCTTTTAATAATATTTATGTGGATAAAATAATCATTACGTGTCATAATATTTTGTTTGTGGAAATGCATGCAACTTTAGCAATAATACATGTAATACCGGTATGTGTGTGTTGGTTTTTTGTAGTTAGGAAAAAAATTAACAAATAATATTATTATCATAATAGAAAAATAATAAAATTAAATGTCAAATTAAGATTTTAGCAAAAGTAATGTATTATATAGTTGGCAAAATAATGAATGAGTAATATTAAAATCAATATCATATTCAAAATAGTGTTTAATGCCGTTCCAGAATTTGGATAATGATTTTTCACAAGAATCAGGATTATCAATTATAATAAAGTTATTATTTTTTATTATGAAAATAATTTCAATGAGAATACCGTGAAGAATTTGAGAAAACCAAAATGAAATAGGTTTGTTGAAAATTATTTTTGGATTATCGAGATCAAAATTTTTGAGGATACAGTAATTGCTGGACCACTTCGCAAAAATTTGTGATTTTTTAAAGTCTTTAATTGGAAACTGGAATTCAGAAATAGTTGATTTTCTAATATGATTTGAATATTGAAATTGTGGTTGGAATAAAACACTAAAAAATTTGAATAACTTTAATATATTAAAATGCATCAAGTCGAAAAATTCGCTAATATGGATTTTTTCACTATTTTTAAAGTCAATTTGATCATAAACTTCCTGTATTATTGCATATATATTCCAAATTACGAAGATGTTTAGAAATAAGATTTCAAATCGATTGTACAATATTTTAACAATCTGTATAGTGGCATCATCTTCATAAAAATTATTATTATTATTATTATTAAGGTTTTTTGGTGACTCATATTTGACTTTATTAGAATTAAATAAGTCAAATAATCTGAAATTGTCAGTCAAGTTCTTTATTTTAATTTTATTATTATTATCAAGATTATCATTATAAAAGCAATCGTTAAAGTATGAAATACATGAAAAAAGTGAATTATCCCTTAAATATCTTATCATTATAATAATAGATAAAAAGTAAATGGCTTTCTGTTTATAATTAACCAGTGAAAATTTTTCAATAATCCAATTTTGGCTGTTTGAATCAAGAATATTACTGCCATTCAGACTATAAGAAAGTTCGAAGTGCATCTTTTCCATCATTTGTTTAAAATTTTCAATTGAATTAAAACCAAAATCACTTTCATTAATATTCTTAAAGAATATTGTGTTAATATGTAATATTGAATTTGAGATTATTAATTGAAAGATATCTTTAATAACTTTTCTAATGAGATTTTCACAAACTTCAAAGTCGATTTCAATCAATTCTTTGTAATTTTTAATAATATTAAATAATTCATCATTGATCAATTTATTGAATATGTGTTTATTAATTTCAATAAATAAAATTTCAATGTCAGAGTTCTGTAAAGCAATCACAAAATCAAAGAGATCATTCCATATTTCTTTAGTATTCAAGTCCAAATTTTCAATTTTGAGAAAATCACTTAAAATGGATTTTTTCCACTCGATGCATTTTCTTTTAATTGCATTGTCATCACTATTACAATATTCATCACCCATATCGCCATCCTCACTTTCGAAGTTTTGTTCAGTATTGACTATAATATATTTATAATTTCCAGAAGAGAAAGTTGGATGTTTTTGAAAGTTAGTTAATGATAATGTTCCAACAAGCTCCTTAATTGATTGATTCAGATATTCAAATCCTTGTAAGATTGGTTTAAAATTAAGCTCAAATTTTGGATTCTTTTTTTCATAATTTAAAATGTGTCCAAGTAATTCAATAATTTTTATGAATGAAACTTCAAACAAGTTTTCTAAAATAGATGAAGGTATTAATGGATCAATTTTATTCTTATTTAATTCTGATATAATTAAGTTAAGAGGAATAAATATTTCTTGATATGATTGTTTACAAGTATTTGAAAATATTACCAACTTGTCGTTAATTTGAGTATCTTCTAAATTTTCAAGCTGTTTAACAACAATTTCATTAACAATATCTTGAAATAAATTATTAACATTTAAAATCAAATCATTGGTGAAATCTATTTGTCCATTATTTAATAAAATATATGATTTAATAATATTACTAATGCTTGGCAATATTGAATCCTTATTAATATTCACAAGTATTTGTTTTTTTAAAATATTTATTGTTTTTTCAAAAATTTTATGGCTATTTTTCAATATTTCTTGAAATTCCATTTTAAAATGATCATCATTAGAAAGCATTTCAAGCGATGTCTTCCATTTATTATAAATATGGATTAATAATTCATATTCTTGTTTAGAGAAGTAATCCTCAAGAATTAAATCAAATTTTTTCAATTCAGACATTACGAGAATTAACTTATATTGAGTCAAATATTTTTCAAGGTTTTCATTATTTTCAATGGTGAAAATATGACTTTTTATTTCTTGAAATTTATCGTTAACAAGATTTTTATTATTTTCGATATCTTTTATCATTTGATTTGGATTTAAACATGAATGATCATTACTATTATCATTTTCACTACTAAAAATGCTTTTATCAAGAAGATTTGAAATAGATTGGAGCTTTTTATAATTGGAATGAATAAACTTTTGCATTTCAATTTGGCATTCTTGGATCACTTTATTTAATTCTTTTTTTATCAAAAACAAATCTTTAATTGTTTTTGTTTTTAAGATACTATTAAAAACCTCATCAATATCAATATCATTCTGGGAAAAGTCTATATTTAATATACGACCATCTTCAATTGTGTTACAACCAGCAGCATTATTAAGATTAATTAATTCATTTTCATTAATTAATATTTCATTTCCATAATATGCTTGAAGCTCATCTCTAATGTTCTCTCCACGGTCTTTCATTTAATTTCTGGATATCATATACCCAGTTATTCGTCTGAGAATATATTATTGGGAGTCAAGAATATTTATTTGTATTTAAAAAAAAAACAAAATGGTTTGGCGCAAAATACAGTAACGAATTAAAAATTATTAAAAAAAAAAAAAGAAGAAAAGAACAACAATTAGAGATGTTTATAAAAGACTAAAAATAGTGTAATTTAAAATGAAAAATAACATTTAAAGTTTTCTCATGGAGTTTATTTGCTAAGCTTGTATTTAGAAATATATGATATTTTTAAAACTATTATAATAAATTGTTCAATAAAGAAATGGTTGGTTATCATAATAACAATAAATAAAAATTTATCAATATAATTCCTAAGATATAATGAATTATTAACACATTTCTGAAAAAAAAAATTTCATTTTATTTTACGTTAAATTTTGACATAACCCTCGTAAGAATGCAGAAATTCAAGAAAAAATCAAAAAAATAAATTTAAAACAAGGCGCCAAAATTTTAGATCTCTAGAATATATTTAACTGGAATAAAAAAATTTGAGGTTGGAAAAAAAATAATAATAATAATAATAAACTAAGAATTAATTATTGAAGGTTAAGTAATATATCAGAAACTAGACAAACTATCGATTAATATAAAATTTGAGGTTATTTTCAGGGTATCAACTAATTAATAATTTGAAGGAAGCAAGTCCGAAATTACATTATTAGTGTAAGAGGAGATATTCCCAAAACGAAGGTTGGGAAAATGGGGGAAACATTGCTATTGCTTGTATTATCATTTTGTTTTCTGATATTGAATTTGAATTTGAATTTATCATTTATTAATGGAAATAACTTTGGAAATGGTTTAAAGTTGGTAAAATGTGATTCAAATTTTTACATGAATAAAGATATTAATTCAGAAAGCATTGACCTTGGATTAGAATTATTGAAAGAAACAATAGGAACAACAAAAAATGATTCCAAAAAGGTAATTGGTTCAGAAAGTGTTAATAATCATAAAGAATTATCAGTAAAGAGCACATTAACTGAATCAGAAAATATTGATGAATCAGAAAAAGATACCCATAATAGTTCTGGCAACAAGAATTGCGAAAAAGATGATTCATTTCCATCGGGAGAATCTAGTTCTAAAGAAGGATTTCTTTCTCAGAGTTTAGGTCCTACTTTTGGCCATATGAATGATGATTCTGAAATAGATTCAGCAACTGCAGACAAGGTTATTAAAAATAAGATAAAAAATATTAAAAATTTTGACAATTTTAGTAGAGGAACTGAGGAGGATGACGATGATGATGATGATGATGATAATGATGATAGTGATGAATATAAATTTAATCAGCAAAGAAACAATTTATCAACTAACAATAATAATGCAAAAACGGTCAATAACGGCCCAAAACTAATATATAATAATTTAAATGAACCAAATATAAAATCAAATAATTTGGATAATATGAATAAAAATGTCAACGATAGAAACAACTCCCCTACTTTTTATTATCCAGGTGGTAATGGAATATCTAGACCTGACGTTTATAACTTACCATTAGGTGGAGTTTCAGTATTATCTAAAAATCAGAATGTAAATCATCCAAGACCTACAATGAAAATAAACAATATTCAACAACCTGTAACTACTAATAGAAATATTGGTTTTGTTAATCAAGGATTATCTCCAACAAACCAAAATCAAATTAGATTACAAGTAGTACCAAAATCTCAACCACAACAACAACAACAAAAACAA